ATTTATTTTGTTACTCAACTATTTTATTTATTTTCTATTGTCAATCTTCCTATTTGGTAGTTTGTATTAATTTCAAAATCTTAAATATGTAACGCTGTTTAGTTTGGGACTAGATGGCGCTGCATTAATTGTCCAATTTCAACAAAAGTCTACCACGGTTAACAAGTTCGATGATATGCTATATGCATTTTCATCGTTATAAATAATGAATGAATTTATCGATAATTATTTTATCGATATTCTATTTGGTAAATATTAAATTAGTTATCGCGAACACGACAGGCCATTAAGGCGGCGCACTACGGTTCTCGAGTGGATTTCCTGAGATTAATTAGGTCTCTAAATCTTCTGGTGAGCGACAAACCCATCTCGGTGCGGTCGAAACTTCGAGTCAATTTAAAACTTGCCCGTTTTGGCAGCCAGCTACGCCCTCTGACGCCCCGCGCAGTAAAGCGACATTTCCACATTGTTCAACAGTAATTTGGTGTTAAACCTTACAAATTATATAAACGTAACCTAAATATGAGAATAGTAAATTAATGTTATAATGAAACATCTTACTAATCTTATAAATGCGAAAGTTTGTGAGTATGGATGGATGTTTGTTGCTCTTTCACGCAAAAACTACTGAACGGATTTTGATGAAACTTTACAGTAACATAGCTTATGTATCAGAATAACACATAGACTATATTTTATATTTAAAATTTATATATTAGAATTTAACGCTGATGAAAACTTGGACACAACTAGTAGGCTATTAATTAAAAATAATGTAAATTGAGCGATATAAAATGATAAGTGTGATGCAGACGATGTCGCGCGGGTCACCTAGTCTATATAATACTGAAATCGAAATTAGAACATAATGAATTTAAATTGTAAGTTTTTTTTTCTCTTTTTTATCTCCGGCGGAAATTGTAAGTTTGAACATCATTAAGGTTCAATTTACAAAAAAATTCTTTACATATTATATAGATTACTTCTTTTTTTTCTTTTTGATGCTTGGCACGTTGGTGCATTTGCCAAAGTCAAAATTAAGGAAACTTGTTTACGAATAGATTACTTTGATAGCACAGAAACAAAACTCGATTTGACAATTAACAATATTGACATTATTTGACGTTGACGTTTTCATGTCATCAGTCGTATTAATATAACGGCAGTAAAGACAATAGCAGTATGGGCTGTGTGCTTTTGCCTTTCCCTGAGATGGGAAAACCCTAACCAAAAAAAAAGGAAATTATAGTAAGTCTAATGTTTTATTTATAAATTTATTTTATTTTAAATGCATAATTTTAAAAAAAATATTAGAATTTTGCACTCCTCTAGACAGACAATTTGTGCCCGAAATTTTATACATTACAGATAGTTTCGTTATTTTATAAATTAACAGTAATGTAAACGAGACAACACATTTTGATGCGTCTTAATATATTCGAAGTACAAAATTATAATTTACAAATCCCCACGGACTGAACGATTTTTGTGAATTCGTGCGCGAATTTTCTAATCGTATATGCCTGCTACAGACAGCGTATGTCAAGATTTTATGTTATTACGCATTTTTATATTTTACACGTATCACTTGAGTGTATTATTTCTTTTTACTGATCCGTGATGAGTCACGATTTAGCTAACAATGTTATAAGAATATAAGTGTCTCGGCCTCAGTTGTGTAGTAGTTTAGCAGACGACTTTACTTCCGATTGTCGCGGGTTCGATTCCTCTGTTTAAACGGTAATTCTAATTCGCTAATTCTTTGCGCTATAGATATACCTATAATTGCGGAATTGTATTTAGAAACGATCTTTGTTCTAATAAATGTAATTTTATGAAATTATTGAATATTTTTTTTTCACATTTTAGATTTAAGAGTAAATAACGATCGGGCAAGAAACTCAGTTATTATCTCTTTCCAGAAAGTATAAAATTTAACTAATCCATTGTGTGAATAAAAACTACAAAATAGCACGTTATAAAATACATTATATTTAAACACGCTTACAGTTAGTTATATAATTAATCAGAAACAATAACCACAGTTGACTAACACCTACAAATAAACCCGTCCACGAGTATGACGGATAATATAGTCAAAAATCGAATCCAGACACGGAAGCATCGAGATTCATATGAACGTACGTTACATCTCGGTATGTTGTAACAATTTGCGTCACTGCTTTAATATATGGGTAATATAAGTCAATAATAAAATGTTAAATGCCTTTTAAGCATTTACTGTAACATCAAACTTTCTAATATTCAAAAGGATACGCGCTTCTACTCTTTATTATAAAACTAGTTAACTATGCCGGCACCGTCTTCGCATTACATTACAAATCTTTAAATTTCTCAATTTATTCTATACTATAACACGCATTTATTATATATATAAACGTTCCTCTTGATTCACTCTATCTATTGCTGAAAACTGCATTAAAATCCGTTGCGTAATTTAAAAGTTATAACACATACAGTGGGAGAGAACCCTTCCGATCGATCTCCCGTCCAATTCAAACGGGGATCGAAATTACGACGGCTTGACCCGAGATTCGAACTCCTAGCGATGCCCTAAAACTAAAGTTGTATCCGTCAGGAGAGAGTTGACTTTCAGCCGCTCCATAATTCCTTTCGCGAGTTTGGAGTGCCATCTACACTCCAGTGTACTCCAGAGTATCGTCCAGTGAAGCTGTAAAGTCGAGCTGCGGCCAGCAGTGTTAGCGTAGTCTGAAAAAAAAGTGGGAGAGACTCTATTTTAAACTATGTGAAGATGTCAGTTTAGAATTAACAATTTTTTATTATAATTAATGTGTATAGCAGTAACCATTATCTATATACATGAACAGCAGTAGTTCTGGTTCACTATTAGTCGACACCTGCGCATACGATTCTTTATCTTATGTGAATAACCCTAAAGCGTTATTTTGCGTGCGACATCACGTTATCATGTGATACACATGCCATTCTAAAGGCTGAAGGTGAGATTGTTATTCCAATTAAATAATGAATAATTTTTCATTATTTATCAGTTTTTAGTAAAGATCAGTCTCAAATCTTGGCTTCCAACTGGTTCATTTGGGTTGTTGGCTTCGGTAGCCTAGCGGTTTAGGACACTGCCTTACCTCCGGTATAAGCGGGTTCCATTCCTCGCGCGGTAAAAACATTTATATGTATTATTGTTTGTATCGATCTGGGTGTTTTCTGTATATTCTATGTATATATTTATAAAAATATATTATATGTATTTACATTGTCAAGGACTCATAATACAAGCTCTGCTAAGCTTAGAACTAGATGACGCTGTGTGGACTGTCCTGAGATATTTACTCTTTTTTTTTTCGGACTATTCTAGTGCTGTTGGCCGCAGCTGGCCTTTACAGCTTCACCGGCTTTTCTTCACCGGGAGTTTCTTCAACTCCCACCTGACGGATACGACTTCAGTCTGAGGGTACCGCTAGGGGTTCGAACCCCGGCTCAGGCCGTCGTAACATCGGTCCCCGTTTGAATTGGACGGGGTATCGATCGGAGGGTTATTTTGTCTTATTAAATCAAATAGAATATGCCAGCTAAAATGCACGTAGGCGAAAATAAAAATAAAGTAAAATGACATGATTTTGTTGCATTTTGTTTACGTTTATAATTTTGCACCGCCATCAATTATTCTCTGCACCACCTATGGTTGCCTGGTAGAAAATGCCGCATGGTGTTAAGTCCGCCAAATGTACTGTACTATATATTATATTGTGTGCATTAAAGTTAAATAAATAAATATTTTTGTAAGAATAGACAATATTAATGTTTTATTGTTTTTAACATAATTCTGAATTTTGTTTTCCTCTACATACATAAATCGCCAAATATGATTTAATTGGTTGACATTTACACATATTAAATGTCCATTAACTATTTACAATTCCACACCATTTTTATTGCTGCCGAACCGTTACTATATATCTGTGTCATTACATATATAACCGACTCTTTAATTATTACATATTTATTAAAATCCACGCAATATATTCTACTTTTGTGACCAATTCCATTTGAGATTTTATGACAATTAATATACGTGTACATTTATTATATACAATATTATGTTAATTTTGTACTTGTTTGATATTTCATTAGGCAAATGACTGTGATACTAATAACCATATATTACATATAATTAATGTCTTGTACAAGTATTGGACGCAAACAAGACCGAATCGGTGAAAGATGGCCGCGCGGATAAATCACGCGGTACGAAAACGTGTTTCATTAAAAATTATGTTCTATTTATTTTAATTTTAAATACATTTTGGATTGCATAAATAAAGAAATAATTAATCGAAACATTATATATATACATACTATATATATATGTATTAATACGTAAAGCAATGTATCCCTTTTTACGAAATTTACAACGTCCGTGTATCCGTGTCAATTTCGTAAAATTTTTTACGAAATTTACACGGTACATCTGTGTAAATTTCGTAAAATTTACACGAAATTTACACGGTACGTCCGTGTCAATTTCGTAAAATTTCCCACAATTATCGTACTAATATTATAAACGCGAAAGTTTGTGAGTATGGATGGATGGATGTTTTTTACTCTTTCACGCTAAAACGACTATTATTTTATTATTACAGACTAGCTGTGCTCGCGATTTCACCCGCTTTAAATTTCAATAAAAAATGTAGCCCATATGTTACCCTCATGCATAAGCTATATTACTGTAAAGTTTCATCAAAATCCGTTTAGTAGTTTTTGCGTGAAAGAGTAACAAACATCCATACTCACAAACTTCCCGGGTGTCCATGTATTATATATATAAACCTTTTTCTTGAATCACTCTATCTGTTAAAAATAACCGCTTCAAAATTCGTAGTTTTAAAGATTTAAGCATACATAGGGACGGACAGCGACAGCGACTTTGTTTTATACGATGTAATGATAATGATTAAGATTAAGATGTGAGGATATTGACTGATTGTTTGTTTATTGCGCAGGCGGCGCCGCGGCCGGCGGCGAGCAGCAGTACTCGCTGCGCTGGAACGACTTCCACTCGGCCATGGTGTCGTCGTTCCGGCGACTGCGGGACGAGGAGGACTTCGTAGACGTCACCCTCGCCTGCGCAGGTGCCACCTTCACTGCGCACAAGGTAAGCAAAACTATAACGGCCCATCCACAGAGTCGTTCGTTATACGCGTCAAGCACGCGCTGTACCGCAATTTCTGCGTGAAACGAAACGGATTCATCAGCCGAGATCTCCGATCTCATTTAGAACATCATCTAATAAACGTTACCAAAGTATTAAAAGTAAACTATAAAAGCCAGCTGCGGCCAACAGCATTTGAGTATATTATATAAAAATTATATATATAGAGTATATTATTAATATTGTTACATATAATAATGAAAATCGATAATTTTGAAGTTACAAACTACTCAAAGTTACAAAAATATTTATTTATTTTTATACCAATTTGGTCAATCTGGTAGTATTTTGTAACTTCAAAATTACCGATTTTCATTATTATATGTAACAATATTAATATACTATAGTAGTTACTGTCTAGCTCAACACTAAATACTATTTCATCTAGCTTAGTGACTGTTAGATAACTGGACACATTGACGGCCTCGGTGGTCTAACGGTTTAGCACACCGCCTTACTACCGATGGTCGCGGGTTCGATTCCTCGCACGGCACAAACATTTGTATTCATGAGCATGATTGTTTGTATCGGTCTGGGTGTTTTCTATGTGTAATATGTATGTATTTACGAAAAAAAAAATATCTATGTATTTGTATCAGTTGTCTAGTACCCATAACACAAGCTTTAGCTAGCTTAACTTGGGTCTAGATGGCGCTGTGTGAATTGTCCTGAGGTTATTATTATTATTATTATTACATACAGAATACAGAAGTAACTTGTTCCTCTATTCTGTGGCTTTTCACCTGCTTTTCTCGTTTGCATAAACTCCGACTGTCTCGTGTCCCATGGGAATATAAAACTGGGCTGGAAATTGCTCTATGTATGTCACGACATACTCCACCTGTGTCCCATATTCATTTATACACCAGTTGTTGTGTGGTTTTGAAATAAACACGCTTACTAAATTACTATAATCTTATATATAAAATTCTCGTGTCACAGTTTTCGTTCCCATACCCCTCCGAATCGGCTTGACCGATTCTCATGAAATTTTGTGAGCGTATTGAGTAGGTCTGAGAATCGGCCAACATCTATTTTTCATCCCCCTAAATGTTAGGGGTAGTCCACCCCTAAATTTTATTTTTTAGACAAAATTTTTAGTTTCTATTTTTTTATGATACAACATACAAAAATACATACAATCCTAAATTTTCACCCTTCTATCATCAACCCCTATTTTTTATAGCGTTATTAATTTATATGGCAAAACAACGTTTTCCGGGAAAGCTAGTAACACTATAATATTTACCCGCGACTACACGTGTTCAAAAACTTTTATATCATACTAGCGACCTGTCCCAACGTCACTCAGATGCATTACATATCTTTGAATTTCTCGGTTTGTTCTATACTATAATAAAACGTATGTATTATACATATAAACTTTCCTCTTGAATCGCTCTATCTATTACTAATAACTGCATTAAAATCCATTCCGTAATATAAAAGATATAAGCGAACGAACAAAGACGGCGACTTTATTTTATACTATGTAAAGATAGTCAGTGAAAATCATACTCCGCCATCTAGTCCAAGCTCAGCAGAGCTCAAGTTATGGGTACTAGACGACTGATTATTTAATACATAGCTAGATACAATTTTATAATACATCACATAATATACATAGAAAACACCCAGACCGGTACAAACAATCATACTCGTGAATACAAATGTTTCTATATTGCAAGGAAACCTGCGACTGTCGTAAGTAAGGCAATGTGGTCTCCGAAGTTGTAGATTATAGGAATTTCATTGTACCAGCAGGACAATAATTACATGCATCTCATTCAGGTGGTGCTCTCAGCATGTAGTCCATACTTCCGACGACTATTAAAGGCGAATCCTTGCCAGCATCCCATCGTCATCCTACGAGACGTCCACGACAAAGATATGGAGAGTCTTCTCAGGTAAGATGCTCTCGTTATTCTTTTAGATCCTAAAGTAATTTACAACTTTATTATAAGTATGAATAACGTAATGTAGGTAATATTCCGTTGAAGTATTACTTTATAAATAATATAAATGGATCCTGGTCTGCGGATAACGTAATGTATATATACTTATAGAGATTTATCCTGCCTGACTCAATATATGGCAAAATTATCTAGAACTTAGAATTATCTAGAAACTTTGGCCTTAAGTACCTTTTAACGGGTAAGTATCCAATAAGAAATACCAGGATATACATTACGTTACCCATTGGTAGTAAACAGTAAATATAAAATTATTATACAAAAAAATAGTGGAATTTTTTTTCATTGTCATTTTCTTTAAGTCAAAGAGTGATAGCTTAAACGCTTATTCACTTTATATAAAGCATAGAAAGAAATTGACTAAATTGTACTGTATTTTGTGCAATTAACGGTTTAATTGTTACAATTATAATCTTTATATATAACTAAATTTATAATAAAAATATATATATAAATTACGTGTCATGTTGTTTGTCCGCGATAGACTCATAAAACATTGAATCGATTGCAAATTTGATTTGCACATTGCGTGCAATTTGATCTAACTTGAATGCTTACATCTCAATATTATTTTATTCAAGAACCTTAGCCATACAAAGCATGGCCGAATCTGCTAGTAATGTATGAATAAAAAATATATATAATTTTAATAGATTTTTTTTTATTCATATATAATAATAAATATATCAATTAAAAATATTGTGACGTCTTATTAAAATACTTATACTACATGAATAATAACGATTATATACATTGATATCATCAAACGTACCGTAAGACTAATATTATTATGCAAGATCATATTTACAGATTTAGATGCACATGCAGCATTTATTCATCTTTATTAAGCTCTACACATAAGACCTTCTATTTTAAAGTACTCATATAATAATTGTTTTTTTTTTTAATAGAGACGGGGTATAGAGTATTAACTGACTTTGTTTTTCTTCAGATTTATGTACCAGGGCGAAGTTCACATCGGTCAAGAGCAACTAAAGGAATTCCTCAGAGCTGCACAGTTGCTGCAAGTCAGAGGTCTGACGGATGTGCCGGCGCCCGCGCCGGTGCCCACGCTTGACCAGAAAGCATCCCCTGTATGTACATATATAACTTTTTTTTTAACGCAACTGGAAGACAGTTTTGTATAGACTTTGGAAACCTCGGAAAATGTTGGTTTTTGCAAATCGAACGCATTTTTTACCCAATTTTTTTTTAATGGATGATTATAGATTATGGTGCACCATAAACACGTCTGCTCTATTAAGGATTTGGGCTATGGTCAGGTGCTTAGACCTGTAGCCCTGCGACCTACATAGATCTATTGTGCTCGCCCTTTTTCTGAGTTCACTACCTAAACCCGTCAGGGTCAAGAATTTAAGGATATACTTAGGTGTGATGGTTTTTATCTCCTCAGGATAGAGTGTAAACTTTGTAAATATTACGTTTGTGCATGAGTGGTCTAAAATCACATAGGGTTTACAGTGGCGTTTCTCTTTAGTTTGGCAAAATCTGCCACGTCTGCTCTAACGGTTTACACTGGCAGGGCACCAGTGGAATATTATAAGATGATTATGAGCTCAAGTCAGTCAGCCCATCGTGACAATTCACCAAGATTTTATCATCACTCCCAAGGGGAACTGCGTGATGGTCACACTGACATTGCTAGCAATGGAGTCAAAAGTCCTCATTACCAATCCAATTCCTCCTTCACTAATCAGCTAGTAGGGAATACCATATGGTATGAAACTCACCTAATATACTCAATATTATAAATGCATAGTTTGACGGTCTCGGTAGTCTATCGGTTTAGCACACCACTTTAGTTCCGATGGTCGCGGGTTCAATTCCTCGCACGGTGCTAACATTTGTATTCATGAATATGATTGTTTGTATCGGTCCTTTTCGGGTATTTTCTATGTATATTACGTATTCATTTACAAAGAAAATATTTAAGTATTTATATCAGTTATCTAGTACTCATAATACAAGATCTACTTATTGTGGGACTAGATGGCGCTGTGTTAATTGTCCGGAGTAATTTGTTTATTTACAACTCGCTGTACCCGCGACTTCGTCTGCGTGGAATTTAAGTTTATTTTTCTAAAATAAAAGTAGCCTAAGTTACTCCTTATTACAGTAGCTACCTGCCAATGAAATTCCCGTCAAAATCGGTCCTACCATTTCAGTGATTAGTGATTCAGGAACAAACAGACAGACAGACAAAAATTGTAAAAAATGTTATTTTGGTGTATGTACCATATGCGTGTAGTAAAAAACGATTATTTCAATATTACAAACAGACACTCCAATTTTATTTATATATATAGATAAACAATAATGGACAAACAGAATTGTGCGCAATTATTTACCAGATCGGCGATTGCAAGGAAAATTTTAAACGAAGTATTGTTTTCATTTTTTTGTTTTAACACTTAATTATCTTTATAAGTGCCGTGTTTATTCCTTACTCGTGTCCTCTCATACATCGTCCGCCTTCAATCTCATCCATTAAGAGGGTATTATGCCAAAAATAAAATCTTAAGAAGATATAATTAGGCAATTGAAAAGAATTGCAGCAATATTTTCCTGATTTGGCTCATAAATTAGATCGTTATTATATACTACTTGAATTCTGAAAATAAAACAAATCCTAATATCTTTATTCATGTAAGTTACTTAAGATATCAAATTTAATCAAATTTGCCGTTAGTTCGGACAGTTGATGTTGTGAAGGACGGACAAGAAATCCGAATATAACAATATTCTAATTGATATAATTAATTAATAATTATGTTGCGTACTATTTTTTATATTATCTATGTTTTTTTTATAATACTATATTGTTTTTACATATGTGACATAACACAGACCGGTGCCGTGTCTTTTGCTCGCCTAGTCTTGGTCTCCTTCCTACACAGATTACTTAATTAATATGATATGCGCCACCTTCCAACAACAGTATTACTGACGTGATACGATATTAAAAAGACCACTTTCAAGAAAAGAGATATTTCTTAAAAGGGTCGGTAACGCACCTTCGCGTCATAGGCGGTGGTAGTCTTTTACCATCAACTGAGCTGCAAGCTCAATTGACCCCTATGCTATAAAAAGGAAAAAAAATACTTAAAATATATTTATACATAATTTAAGTATTTTTATTTATTTATATATAAATTTTATTTCCCTCTATCAATTAGGAAAAAAATATTTATATATAATTTTATTTCCCTCTATCCTCTGCTCTTTTTTATACCACGTTGGTGGCAAACAAGCATACGGCCCGACTGATGGCAAACGGTTACCGTAGCCGGGTGTCACGTGCGCGTTGCAGACCCTTAAGAAACCTTAATATACCCTTCTTGAAAAATCCCGTGCTGTAGTCTCGTGAGAAAACCTCGGCAGGAAGTTCATTCCATAATCTAAGTGTACGCGGGAGGAAGCTCCTCTGAAACCGCCCTGTCCGAGACCAGTTAGGTTCCAGCATGGATGAATTCCCTGTCGATGGCGAGTGGTGCGATGGTAAAAGATAGCCGTGGGCATCTTTATTATACCCATGATCATGGTGATTGTAGCACTGCCGAAATATCGGGAACTTAATAAATATAAACAAAGCGTGGTAACATCCTGTGATTTTTCCTAATTTGACGTATAAATAACAACCGCGTCATATTTAAAAAGGTACCTTTCACATTAGTTACATCATAATAATTAACTGTCAGCAGTCGGCATCGTCTTGGACGGAAACGGGGAGCGGAGGCTCTCGAGAGGGCCGGGAGCCCCAGCAGCGTGAGGGCAGGAGATCACGGAGACCTGACGAGGGTTCAGCAAATACGCCGCCTCCCAAACGGGCGAGATCATCCGACTTGTATCAAGCACAACTCAAAACTAGGTAAGTACTTTATGAAGATTTTGTCACTGAATATATCTTTAATATTTTGACTACTTATATATACTACTATACTTATATACAGTGCTAGTTAGTATTCATACATTTCAGTTTAAAAATGTAAAATTGCAATAATTATATGTAAAAGAGCAATACGCAAGTTTCTTCTTCGTTCTTCTTGTAATGGGATATCTTTAAAAAAAGAAGTATAAATGACTAGCAATTGTTAAAACCGAACTTTTATTTAACAATCATGAAAATACTTATACCTACTATATAAAAAATTACCGCAACAGACGGCGTACTGCCTCCCTGCTTCACCGAAGTCCCGTTCAAAAGAAATGGCTTGCGTATTAAAACAAACTTTCAATCAAACTTGCAATCCTAGACATTGCATCACATTGGTGGCCTTTGCTTTCGACGTTTTCGCTTAGCACTTATTCCAACTCTACTTTTTTACACTAGGAATTGCGTTGTTTTCCATTACTAACAATCCCTCTCGCGTAAACTACTATATTACTAAATGTAAAGAATATGATCCTAAGTATATATTTGTATTTGCAGGACAGAACAACTTTTAGCAGCGCAGGGGGCGAGCCCGGAACGCTTGGGCACAAACGGTCATGAGCTGGCACTGTTCAGCCAAGTCTTGGACAATGCACAGGGCCAACATATGTCAGCAACTTCCAACAATTTGGTAAGACATATTTGGTGGTACCTGCTTTTACTTGGGCAAATCTGTTAGGTAGAGCCGCCCGTTTCAGGGGTAACAGACTGTCGGACTCCTAAAAACCGGTGTGCTAAAACCCCAAATGGTTCTACAACTTATTGCCAAAACCACGGAGTTATGCGAGCATTCTTCCGCACTCATAATCTTGGAGTTTACTAATTACTGTATTACTAAGGTATATAAAAATAGATATCTACTTAATACAGATACCTACAGAGAGCTACTTCAATGTATAATATGTTGTACATTGGTAATGATAGTAATTCTCTGTCTCTCTCTCTGACCAACTCATATTCCCAGTTTATCTGGCGTCGGGTCTCCCTGTACATTTGCGCTAGAGAGTTCAGGGTTGTCTGAACAGTAATTCTCTGTGAGTGTACAATTCTTTTTTATTCATTCAAATAACAATGACTCTTATTAAGCTCATGAATTAACATGAGTATTCTATATGAATATATTTTTTTTATATACTACTATAGTGGCAAAAAAGCATACGGCCCATCTGATAGTAAATAGTTACCGAAACCTATGGGCGCCTGAAACACCAAAGGTGTTACATGCGCGTTGCCGACCCATAAGAAACCTTAATATACCCTTCTTAAAAATCCTCATGCTGTAGTTTCGTGAAAAAAACTGTAAAAAAAATAGGACTGTATAAAATTACATATTTTCTACTCATCGTTATGGTATATTAATCTACTTGTCCAACAGTCGGGAGACTGTGATGATTCATCGTCTGATGCGGGTGCTAGCGATACTGAAGGTGAAACGAGAACCAAACAAGAACCTTTGGATTACGACGACCCAGCTACCATGGCCAACACCAACGGAGCATTGCCGCATAACTTCCCAGGACTATTGAATTTACCAGGTATTTATATCACAAAATATAGAAATGTAATAACATAAATATCACTTGTAAAATTACTAGTTGGTAACTGCAACTTCGTTATCTATACCCTACCATCTCTTATTTGTGATAAAATGTAGCCTATGTTCATGCCGGCGGTTTATCTGTTCTGATATCAAATTTCATTAAGAACCGTTCAGCCCTTTTGTTGTCAAAAGTTACAAACAGATAAATAGAGAGACACATTTCGGTATTGATATCATAATGTCTTTATAAAAATGAATTTAACATTTAATGATAATATTTAATATTTATTCTCATTCGACCGCTCTATTCGTACTTCTAATCACCTTAGAAGAATTGTGTAGAAAAACATTAAGACAACTTTCAGTTAACTAAAATTTTTAATAATCGTTGTGATTATAATAGACCGCTCCTACAAGTAATATTAAATACTATGACTGAAGACCCAGGCTCATTGTGAATATAAATGAATACTTTTACCATAACTTTACTTACGTATTTTTACCTAATGAATTCCTTTACCATTGCAGGCTTCCCAGGACTTCCAGGACCCTCAGGATTACCAGATAATTACGGTGAGTAAAATCTCGAAACGCACTAACAATCCCTTCACGTTATATGACTCAATAATTTTCCAATTAAATTTTGATATCAAGTAGACTTACCGTTCTATATGTACAATTAATTTTCAAACCAATATAATGGCGATAAAGAACAAAGAACTCGTACGTATATCAATTAATTGGTAATTATTGGGTCATGTATTGCATGCCGTCAATAACACTAACAATTAAATAATGAGAATGACACCGAAGCGCTTAATTACTCTATTAAATATTGTTATGATAAACATTCCGTTTTGCCCCAAACTGTACTATTATATATATTGTATATACAAAAACGAAATAGGAAAAATCCGAGCAACAATGGAAGTTACATCGAGAGCGTATCCGATAATATTGCATAGTAGACTCGACGCGGTAAACCGAACGTTACGATAGGCGCCAGCACTGAACGAGACCTCGTCTGCCCCAGGAGCCTCCTGGCCGGGCGGCGGGGAAGGCAAGCCGGCCACTAAGCCCGAGGAGCGGTACCAGCCGTACTCGGCCTCCGGCAACTACGCAAACGGTGAGCCGACCAAGCCCGCGTGCCCCGAGTGCGGCAAGCTCTACAGCAACAATAGCAACCTGAAGCAGCACATCCTGAACGTGCACGCGGCGCGCGACCTCGCGCACTCGTGCCCCGTGTGCGGCAAGGCGTTCAAGACGCGCCAGTACATGCAGATACACATGAACTCTATACACGGCGTGAAACAGAGGAGGCGCGAGCCCGCCCCGTCCGCGGAGTACTGCGACCGATACACTCACAATAGCGCTTAACCGATGTTCTAAACGGATGACTTGTCTAACCGCCGCCTCTGTGTTACAGGGGCGGCTCTCGCGGGCGGGGCTGCCATGGGATACCGGCCGCAGTGTCCGCTGTGCGGACGCGTGTACTCCTCCACTTCCAACCTGCGCCAGCATATGCTCAATGTGCACTCGCAGACCGACCGTGACCAGTGGTTTCCTTGCCAGCACTGCGGCAAGAAGTGTAAAACCAAGCATTATCTCATCAACCACCAGCTCCAAGCGCACGGCATCCGCCAGCGGCAGAACTCTTAGAGACGGCGAGACGCCGAGCGACTCCCACCTCCCACGCACCCGCCGCTCGGCGCCTGGTGGTGATCACCCCGCCCCCCTTTCCCTTAATTCCTGGTCCCACCCCCCTTCCCGATCCCGTAGTCCTCGACATGCGGACGGCTCTTATTGATGCAAATGGCGAGTAGGCAGTTTGCATGCGCCGCACATTCTCCGTTTTTTGTATAATAATGTAGGAATAGATGTGCCAACGGAAGTACGTAACCGAGGACGTAACGGAACTGTTTATCGATATATATTGTATTTATGATATGATATAATATTTTTATAGAGTTTATAAAGGCATTGCTGTTAGGGGATATAAAATTGCCGCCGGATTTGCCAAACGCTTTGCCAATTACTAGTTTGAGTAACGTGCTGCTGTCGGCATTGCAGATGCCGCGGCGTGGGGGGCATTGGCAAACCCGACGGTAAGCGATTGCGTCGAGGATGAGGGGGAGATGCGAGGGAACGAGTTGCTTAAGTATCTGGAGGAGAGTGAGCTGGCGAAAGGCGCCAAGTTTGGGGGCGAGCAGCTGCAGTGCCCTCTGTGCTTCTCTCGGCTCGAGTCTCTGGCTCTAGCACGGCGGCACCTAGAAGCACACTACCCTCGCGACAGCCCCGTCTGCCCGGTGGCCACATGCGCGAGGTATTTCGCGCATCCTAATTCCGTGCGTAATCACATGAGAATTAAGCACCGCCGTCAATGGGAAAGGATGAAAACCCTCAAATGGAGCTGTGGTTGGGCAAATTAATAGGAGGGTAACGAATCGGTACCAAATCGGTAACTGATACTGAAGCAGCAACTCGTTCACACTTAATTGGCTATAAAAGGATTTTGTATAAAATAAAAAGGCTGTGAAACGGAACTACAAGTGGGGCAAAATTGACCGAGAAAGAACCTACGACATTGATCTCCAGGATGCATTTTCATATTTCGCTGTCGAGTACGTTGTATAAAGCAGTAGGATAAATCGACTGAAAATTATTTTTGTAGTAGAATAGACTGATATTGTTTAAGTAAGGTTTATTATGTAAGCGCATTTTGACATGTGATGATTGGTGCCATTGATAGTATATGAAGTGCTATAAGAATGTCGATCATTCTCGAGACTTCCTGAATGTGTTTGAACTTCCATTGTTACTTCTATGTAATCCTATTTCGTTTAGTTGTAGATGTTAGTACCTAGATGTCCTGACCCACCTCGCCATTGTGATCTTCCACTGAAACTCTTACAACGTGAGCTTTAATGACAATGTGTTCAACGATCAGGACATCGTTCCATCGGTCTCTTGCAGCCGTTGCAATGGTTTCCAATTCTTTCCTTAATACTTCTATAACAGTGCCAATAGATTTATTACACTTGTTTCAAGTTGATTATCCTGCTTCATGTGTTGAGCGCTGACGTCAAATTTACGAGATCAGTAAAGCTATCAATAGATACAGCGGCAGTGCTCAATTTATGCTCCAGGAGACATTTAGGCATCTCCAGAATGTATGCGAATTTCAAAGCAAAACCATTGTACCGGTATTATATTTTCGACCATAGATAAGACAATACGAAATAGTATAAACAAATCTAATGCCTTTTAATGCAATAGTTAAGAATAAGTTCACTTCCAAACATAGAGTATTTATTTTGTAAAAATGTAGTCGTGTGTGATGTCCGCATTATAACAGCACAATCGAAACATATCTAGTCAGTGTAGGCAAACATACGAGAATATTATGAGAAGGATTTATTTAATATGTAAATAAAAATAATTAATTCCGTTCGCATATATTTTATTAGCGGTATGTGGAATGTATATTATGTAATATTAATTGCAATATAGCAATGCAATATAAGCCTTCGAGGGCAATTAGATCTATCATATCTATTTATATTATAATATTATTGGACATTTCTATGTAAACTTTACTTATATTCCCCATTTCGTATTAATGTTTGCCGTCATAAACTGGCAGTAGAACATCGACTAAAACTTTTATAGAAATATTATTAAAATATATTCATATTATAACAATCATTAGGAGATTGGAAAAATATCGAAGCATGCTCTTAGTTTTTGAGCTATTTGTCGATATAATAATTACACTTAATACGTAGTGGTTACTTGTTCAGTGGCTACACGCAAAGCGCCGTCAAAATCGGTATCGTAACAGAAATGTAAAATCAATAGATGTCTGAGAGAATTAATATTTTTTTTATATAAAATATGTGTAAATTTAGATCGTGCATAGCAATTTTATACATGGAAGGTACTTATATAAAATAGTTTTTTTGTATGTAAAAATATCATAATTGTTTACACCAAAATACTCGTTACAAAACATGGTGTTTGGTAAAAACACACTGTGAAAACGATTTTTTTCTAACTAAATCTATATCATCGAACAGGAAAGTCACGCTAACATTTATTCATGCCGACATTAAGTTAATTATGAATAAATTTTAGCGGCTTATAATTTTTAGTACATTTTTTGTAGTGTTGCCAACAACAACACAAAAATTCTACTAAATTCTTTGTATTATTTCCTTGGTATTATTTTTAGTTTCACAAGACATCCCTTATAACTACATTATATTTATACAAATGTATAGTAAGATGCCTTCAAAATATATGCGATAGGAACTTGGTATATAGATCTCCAAATGAAATAAAGATATTGGTAAACTTAGCGAGTAGTTGAAATTGTTCCTGACGCCTTTGAGGCAATGACGTATATCTTTATAATAATAAAATTAATTTTAAGTATACAACATGTAAATTAGTCATGTCAATAACCAAATGTTCAATGTGAGTAAACGATTCTAGTTGCGAATGTATTAGTGATACAATATATACGTAATAATTTAATTTTTACCCGAACAAAAGTGTCTGCTTATATAAATAAATAATTAAACAATAAAACTACGAAGTAGAACGGTCGAGTTTTTAATTTACCTTTATGCGCGTTTAGATCAAAAATTTGTTCCTTTTTTCGAAACCTTGCGGTATCCAATTTTTTTTTTATTTTCAATCTTTTATTTGGCCTTTTTGTGGTACAAGCTCGGCAAATAAAAGTATACCTACTAGACTAGTTAGATCTTATGTAAATTCTAAATATGTTACACTAACTGTGCATACAAATTTATAGCTTATGTATTATATTATTATAATACATAATATATACCTAATTAAAGTTTCATCATCCGTTCAAGTCTTTGCGTGAAAGATTATCAAACATGCATCCATCCATACACATATATTTTCGCATTTATAATATTACTAAGATATTCTTTTTCTGTTCAATGATTTTTCTTCGTTCGATTTTTTTTATACTTTTAATACCTAATTGCAATTTGGAAATGTAGCAAAAATTTTGGCTAGTGTTTTACTTGCTATTAATAAATTATTACTAACGCACTAACACTAGCAGCTTTATAAAGGTAAGACGATATAAAAAAATAAATATAATAACTGTATCTAATTTTAATTTTATTGACTTGATTGTTCTCTTTGCAGGATGCCGAAGAAACCAAGACTTGCTAAGAGTTAGGGCAACGGACCCGCGGCCGTGTCCGAAATGCGGGAAGATCTACCGATCAGCTCACACCCTGAGGACTCACCTTGAAGATAAGCACACTGTCTGTCCTGGTTATCGGTACGTTATAACAGATATCAAATTTAAAAAAAATCCAATCTGTTAAGAAAGATCATACTGAACTGACATTGACCTGTCTTAGTGAATGCGCAAATTATCACTGAATAGTCGAACTGTTAACTGATAGAATTTTAATAATCGTAATACTTTCAACTTTTTTTTATTTTCATTCTGTAATCCATACCTATACATAAATGTGTCAATTGCTATACTTCTCCGAAACGGTAGATCTGAGAATGGGTTATAAATTTTTAAAAAACCTTAGTAATATGGGTCCACCCCAAAAACTTGGACATTTTTATTAATATATGATGTTAATTTACACTCGGTATGTGATAGACATACTTGGAGAGTATTGATTTGGAGAAGCGTTCCTGGTGATCACACTCGCAGCCTTGAGGAATTGACAAAGAAAATTTATTTATAGGGCAAAACAATGTATGCCTAGTACGGTCAGCTAGTATTAGTATAAAAGTTTTCAATATTGGTTATTGCAAGCACAATGGCGAATATAAATGAAAATGATTGTGATACAGTTGCGTGCTGTGCGGCACGGTGGCGAAGTCTCGCAACTCGCTGCACTCTCACATGTCCCGGCAGCACCGCGGCATCTCCACCAAGGACCTGCCCGTGCTGCAAATGCCGACCAGGTTCGACCCCGAACTTGCCAGCCAGTGAGTACCACTTTTATATAAATCTTTTTTGATGTTTAGTCTTTAGTTTTATGGTACCATGGGAGGTACATTACATTCGTCCTTAAATAGCAAATAAATTTAAAAAAGTTATTTAGTCTTAAGTAACTTAAATGTATGCGATTTGGATAAACGGAGAATCTCGGCTTACCTGAATTTTGTATCAAATGGATTTCAACATTGACCGAAAACTTAGATGCTTTTAAATCCTACAAGGACAAGATATTGTTTATAAACTATACAGTATTGTAACATCCTAAAAACCACGAATTTAAAGATAAAAATTTACTGAAATCCAAACTTGGTCTTATTGTAATCCCACATGTCGTACGTGAACTACTAAAGAATCTCCAAGTATCTTATCGAGCTATACTTGCAGTTTTACTGCATGATAGACTTATAAAGGATGAAGCAGAAGGGCCTACTTCGAGAAATAACTAAAATCACGGATATAACTCTAAAGCTGAAATGGGAAAGCCTCTAGTAGCAATTCCATAATAGGCAAACGCAGTGTGAAAAGAATCCTACTCTTCCCTTCTTTAAAAAATCGGCCCACTTCTCTTGATGAATAGAATACCTCACTACCCTTGATACTGGATGTTTCGAAGACCTTAACTATGTAAGTACGTAAGTCTTGACTGGAAGTTAACAAATCATAATCCCCACTTTTCAGGCTACTAGCTAAAGCAGGTGTGAAGGTGTCCCCCGAACAGCTGAGAGCGCGCGCCTCACCGACGGGGCCGCGGCGGTCCGACATCAAACTGGACGCCAAATCTGCCGCATCAGAGAGCAGCTCCGTATGTGGGGACAATGATAACGATGATCTCAGCCAGTCCAGATACCAGGACAGCATACCGGTGTCGCCACCACGTAAGTTTAAAAATATAGTCCAAAGGACTATATTTTTATGTCATTAACGACGTTAATAATAATATCTCAGGACAATTCACATAGCGCCATTTAGTCCTAAGTAAGTACATAAATAATATTGTACATGGAAACCAACCAACCCAACCAATACAAACAATCGTATTCATGATTACAATTTTTTTTGTCCGTACGAGGGGAATCGATCCCGCGGCTCTCGGAAGAAAGCCTAAACCACTAGATTAGTGAGGCCGTCGTTCAACAAAATTATGTATATTTGTCGTTCTAAATGCTGTAGAAAGTGTTATACCTATATCTGTAATGTCTGATTAATATCCCGCAATCATCCTGCCTAAAAATAATGGTACTCGTTTCGTGGATCGAAAAAAGAGATTCATGTAGATGTTTTTAAGCAACGATAATCGTTAATTTTGTTTACTGTTGTATTTAATTCTGCAACTATTGATATTGGTGACACTATGTTAATATTTGGACATCGTACAATAATACAGTATTCACAAGAAGTACATAGCTGGGGTATAACATACCACTATTAACCTTTCGATCTAAACCTCTGCAGATATAAACAATTTGGCGAACACAACTATCACAAAAGTGCCAGCGGTGAGAGCCGTCACAGCCAAGACCTTGGAAAATCACCCTCACGGAATGGGTGCCATGATGAAGCATGACGATTATCCACCAGGATACGGCGGATCCGCTATTTTTGATAGCTACATGCAATATTTGGGTGAAAATATATTTGGTAAGCTTTTCATTTTTGTTGTTTCAATTAGTTAGTACCCCGTTCTTGAAGTATTTGAAGTTATTTCTGAAGTATTTTATTCAGCAAGGACGACTCCTTGCTGAATAAAATACTTTAATCAGAAAAGCACCAAATACCTAATAACCTTATTTAAGCTATTCCGCTATTTTGTTTCTTTCTTCCGTGATAGTTTCATACTTCGAAAGAATTACCAAGATGCAAGAATTAGCATGTTGATGTCTTTATAGATTTCTGAGAACTTTGGTTATTTTACAACTTACCTCAAAAGATATGATAAGATAAATGTGTTATGTTTACGTGATTACTAAAATATTGAAATTTGATTCTTTTAGGCATGAATGCTGCTAAATTGGCGCAAATGACATCAATGCACATGGATAGGAAGACTTACGACGAGCCCTCCCCACAAATGGGGTCGCTGCCACCAAACCCGACCAGCCTTGTGCACCAGCGTTATTTCAAGCAGATACAGAGGCAGTACACCGATAATATGAGTAAACCGGACATCATGCGCAACTCTGACGAACCTCTGGACTTGGGTAAGGAGAGGCAAAGAAATGATAGTATCAGCGAAATGGATAGCGATAAGCAAGAGGCGTTAGACAAAGAGAACAGCAAAGATTTCAACGATGACGATAGGAACAGAGTGAACAGTTCAGAACAGGATCAAGACCACAGCGGTCAAGAGGAAGGGGAGTACTCAGACGACGAGCAGAAGAATGCGTCCTCATGAAATGATTATGCTCTCACTGTAGGAGTGTTGAATTAGTCTCGAATGCGAGCGCAGATAGGACAATATTGTGTTGATGGTTTTTCAAACGGTGCTTGAGTGTTATGTTTTGTGGTCATTAGCTGATTGGTTCGTTTTTACGGTTTAATTGTTAACCCGTGGAATGTCGTTGGTGCCATTTCCAATATTGTAATGTAAATTTATATTAGGATTATAATGGTTTACGCCCGCGCCGGTTACGGCTGCAAATTATTGAGTCAGATCACTTATTTTGCTGAAGTTTACGAGTAAAGTACAAATCGTCGACGATGCTTACTTGCTGGTTACTAAAGCATTATTTTATATTACAGTGGAGTTCGTCGCGATGTTATATTGCCCGGTTCTCTGTTTAGTTCCCACGGGAACGTGTTCCCGCGTGATAACACGGCACACTCACTTAGCGTACCCCGCGGTCATGTTAGTTGAATCGTCGACTCGCCACTCGTTTGTGAAATTGTTTTAGTAGATAATAAAACTAGTGAGTAGTGTTTTTGTATAGTATATGTAAGGTCCCTGTCACGTAGTAGGGCCTCTTACATAGTAATTCCATCCATCTACCTCAGCATTTGGGCCAATGCGGCGGTTATAAATAAAAAAAAAACAAATATCCACACAAATTGTGAAATTCCATCCATCTACCTCACTTCAATAGATTTTATTTAATATTTTATACAATTTATAGATATAAATAACTGTTGTTTTATGCATTTTGCAGATTGCATTTATATATATACTATATATAGAATATATTGTAGGTAAAAATATATGCAAGTCATTAGGTCATTGTTAGTGCTGCCCGTAGATACTCGTTAACCGTTTATTTTGAATAGATTACGCACTCACTAGAGAAATATTAGACTGTGTCACGACTGTAGCGAGTAATGGACGTAACCTCCAATATCAACGTGCACACTAATATAGAAAAAAAATATCTTTGTATACGAACAAACATACAGAGCTTAAAATTTAATGTTATGATAAAATTTTATTGGATCTACATGCAATTGTAATACAATAAGAATAATTTACAATGATGACTATATATTGATCATATGAAATTTAACAAATATCTACAAATGTTAATACTTAGGCTAGTTCTCCACGGAATACCATACGACTGGACATAATACAGTGACTTACAACTATTGTGAGTCCCATGGGAGTCTGTGGAAAAACAGCCTAGCGGCCTTGAGACTGAGAATTATTTCCAAGGAGTAATTAAGTCGCGTTTAGCCCGCCATTGATTGAAACAGCATTCCTATGGATACATTTTTAACAGAGTAGTTCAATTTTGACGATACTTTTTATTGGATATATTGTACCTTGATTCCAAGTGAAAATAAATACGAAAATTGCGGCTCTGAGTGTAGAAAAAAACATTTTCTAGCTCGATGTACGGGTGAAAACGGAATTATTATCTATATTTTTAGATTTTAAGTATGCAATTTTGCATTCCTACTTGGAATTAATCTCAAAACATCCAATAAATAAATTACAATATTGAACTATCGCGTACTTTGTACAAGGTTATATCTGTCGTCCATTTAGACGCAACGTCAATGTTGGGCTTTACGCCGCGCCTCGTGAGTTCAAATTTGACATTTAAAACTTTACCTATTATGACATAATGTTGCATTGTATATAAACTGAGGTGATATGTAAGTACATAATGATAAAACAAAAGCAATAAATAAAGTATACCTTGATGTTGCCTTCGATGTGTAAATAAACGTGGGTAGTGATCGGTTTGTGTTGGTTTGTGAATTATGAACCTTATAATAGACAGAAGAATGTTTATTTTGTAGTAATGATGTGGGCTCGTTACTTAAAAATAACAATTACTGTGATTACAATCTCATGTTAGCCTTCAATACTTATACATATTTTTTAGAGTACAATGTTATAGTTATTTAGTATATTGTAAGAGTATTTGTAAGCGAGTCACAAAATATATTTACTTCCCTGAACATTAGGATTCACATTAAGTATTTAAGTATTTAGAGCAATAGGTGAAGCATTTAACCTTTTATATGAGAGATATTACAATATTTATGAATTTATTGAGATGTCATTCGATATTCTAATTAAAATTATATTTATAAGTATTAATAAGGACAAAAAAACTTTGATAATAAACAAAAACAAAATATTTTAGTAAGTGTTGCCAGCAACAATATTTATTGAGGTCTTTTCTTTTACACGGCTGATAGTGTTCCGTGGAAAAGAAAAACGTACACCGACTCTAAATAAAGGGACAAACCAGGTGTATACCTTTCTTTTTATGTACTACGTTCGAGTGACACTCAACAAATTCATAGTGTACGATAGAATAAGTGCTACGGGTTGATTGATACGTTATTTTGTTTAGTGTGTTAGTGAGATTTGTCGAGTTATGCCGCTTTCGTTTGCGAACAATCTTGTTGACAGTTAGCAGTGTTGCCATAGTGATTAATTATTTTTGACTGTATATAATATAAGTTTTGATTGTTTAGAGAAATGAGTGCTTAATTCGTCATTAATTAGGAACTTTTTATTTAGATTCCATTGAACATTATAATTGTATTCGTAAAATTAAATAGACATTGCACGCTACACATAACATTAATCAATAGACAGTTACCAGATTGTGATCGAGATATGAATATATATTTTTTTAGAATACCCCATGCCACAGATTAAATATACAGTGCCAAACTATCCATAGAGTTTACATCGACAACATTTCGATATATATTATTATATTCACATACTGAATATTACTTACTCGAAACAAGTCGATGTAGCTCCTACAGCACTGTCTGTACCCTTGTTGATGATGCAAATAATTATATACTTACCAGTGAATTAAATATAATGTTTAGGACTTTAAGTCGACGATTATGCTCTTGCTATTGTAAAACTTACGTTTAGTTACCTTATGAACTTGGAAAGTTCACATTTCTTTATTTTATAATGGACTATACCTCATTAGCATGATTGTTCATGTAAAACTCATTTTATTTGTTTACTCACTATATAATATTGTTACAAATGCGACACATGTTACGTTTTGGACGTGAGAAATAATATAGTTACAGGTTTATCGAAAAAAAAATATGTACGTCATGTTTTTAATTTTTCGAAAAATAAACAAGATCATTTACGATAAACTTCTAGTTTAATAAAGAAAACTCTCCACACTATAATGAGAGAACGTATAACTAGATTTGGAAAGTCATTTAAACCCAAATCATTCCAAATTTAGGCAATCGACATTGTATTAAAATCAACTTCCATATTACTTAATTATTCAGTATTGAATTGTTAATTTATATAGTTATAGGTAGCCATTGAATAGTGGTCACTTAAATTTCGAATTTTGATTGTAAAAAGGCCGTTAGAGAATTTAAAAGCAATTACTGAGTTAGCTATATTTTTGTAGATGTATTAGATTTTAGAACAGGAGCAAGTTTTAAATAGTAATTCGGTAATGAAACGTAGCTATACTACGGTTAAAACGCTTCTAGAATTAAAATACGAAACATTTATTTTGAGTTAGACATAAAACACCTTTAGAAAAATAATTTTCGCACGTCCAAAATTACCATGATAGCATCAAACGCAGAGTATACTAGTATAATAGCGAGCACAAAGTATATTAAGTTTTTTTAAACTCATTGGCGTATGCGAGTAGGTAGTTGTTAGTTGGATTTGATGATTTGTTTGAGTATATTTACCACCGGTTCTAATGTAAGCCTTGGTTCTCAGTAATAGCTCAAAAAACTATGTGTTGTTTATGAAAATATGAAACAGGACTAAATTCAAAGTGAAAAATAAAAAATATGGTATTGTATGGGATTTTGAAATAAGATAGAATATATATATGAAAAGTGTACAAGATAAATTATGATCAAAATGTGTAATTACTTTGGATTCAGTTTTATTTCATACCCTTATTTTCAAAGTTGTTATATGAATACCGTGTCATTTGGACACTACTGTATACGATTGCTGTATTGTGTTGCCATATGACTACAATAGAAATCTACCATTTCACACACAATGACTAGGTACTATTTAATACCAATATTTTGGTATTAAAACTTATAAAATTCTAAATAACTACTTTTACATATTAACATTCTGCCACCGTTGTGGCAACTCTCAACTTTTTGTACAATTCTTTATATCGGATTTGCTCATAATTTTCTCGAAAGGGTTGCCCGTTATAAATAATTGTAATTAATAAAGCTGCCTTTACACTTTGACACATTGTTACATGCGCGATTAATAGCGCGCGGGATTTATTGTTTTATTATTTTTTGTGTTCATCATTTCGCGTGTGATACTGCATATGTTTCATGTCATTTCACTTTCTTTTTAAATTTATTATCCAATAACACAAATAAGATTAATAAATTATCAATAACTCTATAATTATGTCTTTGGTTTATAGACATATGTCCACCATTTTGTAATTTTACTTACGTTTGTAAAACGCGGGAATGCGCGCGCAGTTTTGCTCTTTCTCTACATTTACATGTAGTTTTTCCCGCGTGAATTCCTATTCGCGCGTGAGAGTGTACGTGTGAAGGCAGCAATAGACAATATTTCGATTAGTCCGGGAATTGATGTGTGAAAATTGGGTAGATATATTCATATATGATTGAGTTTCCTGTCGGTACAACTCCACGCCTTCACTATTGAACATTAGTGCACTAGCTGTACGCCGCTTCACATATTATTATATACATGAATAATAAAAATAATTGTTTTGAATGCAGCCGTTTTATTTTAAATCTTAGATAACATACTTTTTTTATTGTAATGCCAAACAAGCTGACAGTACGATGGTATGTGGTAACAGTTGCATACATGAACAGCACATCACGTTATCATGTGAGATCCGTGATACCACTCATGTATTATCATTCCTTAATACTAAGGTGTATTGCTTCTTATTCCGTAATTTTATTGCCTAATCTGCATCACCTTACAACAGAAACGCAGTTCACGGATTGTGGTAAAAAAGCAGACTATACAAAGTCTACCTCTGTAGGACGGTCTCGTCGGCAAATAATAATAATAATATTAATCTCAGGACAAGTCACACAGCGCCATCCAGACCCAAGTTAAGCAAGTTAAAGCTTGTGTTATGGGTACCTGATAACTGATACATATACATTTTTTTTGTAAATACATATTATACATAGAAAACACCCAGACCGATACAAACAATCATACTCATGAATACAATTGTTTGTGCCGTGCGAGGAATCGAACCCGCGACCATCGGTCGTAAAGCGGTGTTCATCTAAATATACGAAATAACAGATTTCTTTTTTTTATTTTTTGGAACGAAAAAGGTGGGCCGCACCATCACGGCAACTGGCAACTCTCACGGCCCACTGTCCGGAGAAATGGAAACGATACATGTATACTATATATATATATATATATATATATAACCTATACCACTCATAATACCCCTTATGTGTTACCATTGTAGACGTAGAATGTCTTCATACCCTTTAATTTCACTACTATTAGATTACTACTACCTTCCAAATAAAACAGCGTACAATCTGTTTTGATTTATACGTGTACGTAATAAAAATATTCTTATACACACAAATGTTGTAGTATGTGCAGTATCAAACCCGTAACTATCGGTCAGCGTTATGATTACTCCCCACTCACAATATACTATGCTATTCTGTGAAAGGAAAAAAGGCGCTGAATCCATTATAAAAAAAATGTATATGCAAAACAAAACATTTATTCATATGGAATCCACAACGACAAAATATAAGTCTTAGATGCTTAAATTATAACTGAACCTAAAGCTAAAGTAATAAATATATTACAACTTTATCACACAGTTTACTACCTACATTTATAAAGGGACTATTACACAATCCTATTTATAGGATCATGTATACATTAATATTATAAAATGGTGAAAACAATAAGCAATATGACTCGTTTATAGATGCAAAATATTTTTAAATTTGTGACTATTGAAAGTGTATTCTAAATAATTTTATAAATCGATATTGAAATTTAGGTTTCATTACATAGTATAAAACAAAGTCGCTGTCGCTGACTGTCCGTCCCTATGTATGCTTAAATCTTTAAAACTACGCAACGGATTTGGAACCGTTTTTTTTAAATAGATAGTGATTCAACAGGAAGGTTTATATGTATAATACATATACACCCGTGCGAAGCCGGGGCGAGTAGCTAGTGATATACAAATATGGTAACGAGTAAGCCTCATAAAGGATACATTACACTCTACAATATATAAGGATTCTATTGTATTAGTCATAAAAGGACATTAATGAAAATTAATCTCACTAACCTGAACCAATATTATAAAATAAAGTATTTTTTTCTTTTCATAATGGAAAAACTCAAAATAGACTTAACCGATCTTTCAAATTATTTTACATCTAGAAAGATATATTATCGACGTTTAATATGGGATAATATGGGACCCAGGCGGCTATGACTTATCGTGGCGCACAATATTTAATATGTGACATTTACATATCTTTGTACAAATACACATGGTGAAATAATTTTAAAGCTAAAAATAATATTATTTTATTAATTTTTGCCGGAAATTCGCTTAATATTATTAATCCTCTTTGATCTCCTTCTTCTTTGTCAGGAAGTAATGGACGCCAAAGATAGCGTGCATTCTGAAACAACAGTTGACGTGTCATCAAGGAAAAAAAAAATGTTCTCTATGGACACTACTTTTTTTTTTCACAAACTGATGTAGTCCGTGTTTTTATTGATTTATATTGTCTATTTAATTTATTTTGTTACTGAAACTTTTCTATCAGAATGTTACGGTTCATATAAAAAGTTAACTTTGTTTTTTTTCTATTTTCCAGCTCGCCATTTCACCGTCCACTCCGTCTTGCGATGGTTGCATATAGAGCCTGTGCTTACTAATGTTATAGATGCAAATGTCTATCTGTTTGTTTGTTACCCTTTTCCGACTAATTGGGGGCTAAGTGGTAGAAACTGAATTATAACATGGAATAGGATAATGATTAAACGGATTTTAATTATCTCTAAAAAATTTAGTATTATACTCGAGTAATAGATTGTGGTACAAATTGGTTTGGTATTATAATATGGTCTTATAATTGAGTATGGTATTATAAATGCCCGAGTATTTGTCTGCCTGTTACATTTTTACTACTAAACGACGCAACGATCTTAATTCAACTTACTTGGGCATTAATAATATCATACTCAATTCAAATTCAAATTTGACGCAACAATATTAATTGAACTTAACATGAAGATACAGTCATCCATAGATCATATTATCATGACGATGAACATTATTAAAAAAAAACAATCTCGAGACAGTTGAAATATGGGATGAATATACATTTTTACTTATTTTCATTTTTTAATTCAACTTCTACTGAGTGACTATGACGCTTGTTAATTGCGTGATTTTTTTTAAATTATTAATTGTAATTAATACAATTTTGAGGGGAGAGATTGTAACCTCCATCTCTTAAGAGCGCTATTCTTATACCACTTTGTCTATGTATCAATAAAATAAAAACTTACAAGAGAGCCCAATGTTATTTCTTTTTTGCGAGCGCGACTCCCAGGCCTACGATCCCGCCTAGCGCTAACATCGCGCCGCCCGCCACCGCGATGCCGATAAGGCCTTCCTTCTCCATCCTCTTGTTTATTTGTCTCTGAAATTATATTAATATACATATTAAGTTAAAGTAATAGCAAACTGAAATATATGTAGAAAGATAAGTGATTTATAAATGCAGTTGTTGTACGGGCTACATACCCGTTGCCCGTCTGTCGGAATAAATATACATAGTGAACGGACTTATTTTCAAATAACCTATATTTACAGCAGTAGTATATAGTATATAGTAGTATATAATACATATACATTTTATTATTCCATGCTACTCAACCATCCATTTTTAATATTAGGATTTAATAAGTTAATTTCATACAGTTAAGAAGAACTGGCAAAAATCTAAACTCGCACATTGTTTTTTTTTTTAATATAACAGCACTTTACTTGAGTTTTCGCATCTGCCAAACGGCACCTCTGATAGTAAATGAAAATAATTGATATAGATACAAATATGGAAACACTCACAAATACGATTTTAAATAAATATAATATTTTGCGAGGAAGATAGTATTTGTATAATAGTCATAATTTTTTTATTCTACCACTGTATCGCAACGCAGACTCATCACAAGAAGAATGACTTGCTCATTCGCAATTTAAACTTGTGTGTTGCTTAAGAAAACAAATACACAATAATGAAATATATTTCCTATTCAGGAAGTACTTGAAACCGGTAGGTATGTACACTCGGAGTAAGATTTTATTATTAGAATACGAGTTATTATTACCTGCAATGCGTAAATATACAACAATGTAATGAAGAGGCAACAGCGAGCAAGAAACAAGTAGATAAATAAACAAATACATGCGTGGGCTATGTATTTGTATATTTACTAATTGTGACGCAATACCTGTCCTACTAACTAATGCTGTCCTCATAGAGAAAATTAAAAAAAAATAGTACAAAAACCATACTGTCTTTAATATAATATACCGTCCCGCGAAATTATCACTTTACTAAGTAGATTTAAATTTATCACAGATTGTTCCACGGCGTCTCTCAAACCATGACATTGTAAAATCACCAATCAAAATTGTTCAGCTATTAAAAATAAAGAAAATGCAAAATTTATAGCATGTTATATTAAAAGAGCAACACACAAGTTTCTGCGTTCTTCTTTGTCATTCCAGATAAAAAAAAGATGACTATTCAAAAGTGCATAAATTTAATTTAATTGAATAAATAATTTTCTATTCTATTCGATTCTCTGCACACATAACTTTTATAGAAAGAAGTCTATTTGATGCGTATATAAACCTCTTTTTATATTAAGAATGTATTTACCAAAGAAAAGATATTCATTTGTTTTCTGTCATTTGTCATTGAATAATCCAGGAACATAATAAGATGGATGTTTTATATTAATAAACCGTCTCTTCTTATTTTATTATTATATTTTTTTCATATAATTGGAATGATAAACAAACTGACAGCCTACCTGATGGTAACTAGTAACCGTCACCTATATATTGGACAATATCACAGACATCTCTGACACCCATGTCGTTCTGCAGAGATCTAAGATGTTATATTGATACCGTCTCTGCATTGTCATTTCAGAGGTCTAAGATGTTATATTGATACCGTCTCTGCATTGTCATTTCAGAGGTCTAAGATGTTATATTGATACCGTCTCTGCATTGTCATTTCAGAGGTCTAAGATGTTATATTGATACCGTCTCTGCATTGTCATTTCAGAGGTCTAAGATGTTATATTGATACCGTCTCTGCATTGTCATTTCAGAGGTCTAAGATGTTATATTGATACCGTCTCTGCATTGTCATTTCAGAGGTCTAAGATGTTATATTGATACCGTCTCTGCATTGTCATTCCAGAGATCTAAGATGTTATATTGATACCGTCTCTGCATTGTCATTTCAGAGGTCTAAGATGTTATATTGATACCGTCTCTGCATTGTCATTTCAGAGGTCTAAGATGTTATATTGACACCTCATCACTCATCATATACAAGGTCAACAGTGATATTGATACCGTCTCTGCATTGTCATTCAATATGAACAATATTGTACCGTCTCTCTTTTTGCAAATAAATAAATACGAATTTAATTTAATTAAATTGAACTGAAATTTCACTGCCTTATAACAATAACGCTTTGAAACCGAACCCATCTTACAAAGCAAGCTGCTTGGCAGCTGAAATATGCGTGGGTACTCGCAGATGACTTTTTACAAACAACAAATATATAAATAATTATGTAATTAAATAAATAATTATATAAATATGTATTTATTAAATAAATAATGTATATTTATGTTTTATAGGCATTTTATTTTTGTAAATTAAATACATAAATAAAATTTTCAGTACTTAGGCGATAAATGAAGATAATATTAAATATACTTGAGTATATCTAATATTTACTATCTATATCTAATATTGATTTTACATTACCTCTAGTGCCAGCACTTGTTGGTTGGCTGGCTCGATCTCAAGGAAACTCTTCACATAGTGCAGTGCCTTATTGTACTCCCTGATTCTTGCATTACCAATGGCAAGGTAGAAAAGGTAGTCACGTTTTCCTTCTGGATGGGAGTTGCATAACTCTTTCAGGAGGAGTATGCCCTGCAAATTAAATCAAAGTTTGCTAAATGTAGTGTGGACTCTATTCTCTGTAATGTAAAGCATAAGTTTGGAAATGATATTTGGAGGTCTAAGCGGCCATTATAACCCCTAATTAATAATGGTGGATATAACACACACTGCCATCGGGTTCTAAACTAACTAGCTTATACTATATACCTATAATTATATAGTATAAAACAAAGTCGCTGTCGCTGTCTGTACCTGTATGCTTAAATATTTAAAACTGTGCAATGGATTATGGAGCAGTCTTTATAGATAATACATGTGCACCCACGCAAAGTCGGGCGATTAGCTAGGCTTTAGAATAAAAGTGGATCATGTCCATATTCCTATCTAGTTCTAAATTAAGCAAAGCTTATTATGGATACCTATCTCCTATGTATGTATAGTTATAGTCTGCTTTATCTATATACACAAAAAATAAAATCTCCACTCCTTGCCATACCTGTATGTATGTTCATTTGAATTTCCAAGAAAGGTTTAGATATATATTTTTTTATTTTTGTGCAAATAGATCGAAATATGACTATGATTGTTTATGTGGATAAAATTAAGATGTCTGGTTTGAGAGCTTTCCTTGAAAATACTGTGGAATTGAAAACTTTTGAGATATAACAAAACAATATAGGTATGTTGATCTTTATAGGTCTATGACAGGTCCGGGATTGAGCTGCAATATCGCGATGGCATATTTTAGATAAAGCTTAATCATTATTAAATTAAATATGTATGCCCTCTTTCCATTAACAACTTCCATTATCTACCTTAAGCAATTCATACAGATAATATTGGCCCTTTATTCAATACAATTTCAATGATATCAAATCAAGGAGTCATTGTAAATTAAATATTACAAGTGATTAACACAAACATTATCAATAATTTGATGTGACAAAGGAACTAGCTTGATGCTGGCTTGGCTTTTAAAACATTTACATAAATAATTTAACAAGATCTATATTTTAATTGATAATTTTATCAACGACATTATATTAATATTTCTAAATTAAATTCTCATACAAACTATGTGCATGACTTTATCAGAGACGCAGGGGCGCAATGTTTGTAACAAACTGTGAAACCAATGTTACACGCATTCTTTATTCCTAAGGACTAACATGCTGTCGCTCTTTGCTTGCACGCTACTCGGTGGGACTGAAAAAAAAAAGATAAGGAAAATTACGGACCAACCTTCCTTATATCCGTGGGATATTTACTTCGTACGAGGCACCATGCATACTCGAATTGAGCCTTGTGCGAGACTTTCCCTTGATGTAATTGCTCATGAAACACTTTCTCGAATTTCTGCGCAGTATAAACAATAAAAAAAAATTATTGAACAATAAGTCTTCTAATTCTTATTAAGTGAATGAGTCATAAATATTATTGCACAAACTAGGTCCTACTTGCAAATCATCCGAAGACACTATTTCATCCAAAACGTCCTCCATGACGGTGTATTATTAAACAGCCACAATAAACAAAATAAACAAGAAACTGAATAATAAAAGATGGTAAAAAATTTACAATTTCTTTAATAACTGATATCAATATCAGCGTTTTGCGTAAAATACCTATACAACGAAATTGAAAATAATCGAAATGACAAGGAATTATTGACATGAAATTGAGACCCTTTACACTGTAATCAGTGTAGTGTCAGTTCTGTCAGTCTGAATTTGAATTGAATGAATATAGAAATTAATTTCCAATTTTACTTAAATTATTATGATTTTAATGTATTCTATACCGAAAGTACTTATTAAATTGTCATTGGAATAAATTGGAATTGATATTACTAATAATTTCTTTTTGTTTAAATTTTAATCATCACACGATGGGTCTGCGTATTTCCCGTATATATACAAGCGCTTAAATTAAATCTTATCTCCCAGGGATTGTTGAAAGTGGCTCCCCCCAGGACCCAAGCCGCACATTTTTATAAGGATGAGATGACCCAATTCAATTAAAGATAGTGCAATAGCCCTAGATATGATTGAGCTGTCACTGTCATATTAATATCGACAAGTGAATCAATCAAACTGTCAAACACTATTTATTTATTTATCGCTGAAACGTCATGCTCTTCGCAGTTTCAATCAATTTTAAATAAATTATAATTCCTTTGTTTAAAAATCCAATATTTAAATATTCTTATATTGCTTCCTTAATTTAAAAATATTAATATAAGAACTTCTAAGTAGTTTTAAAAAATGCAGAGTGTGATAAACACAGTAAAGGGCACTGCACTCGGAGTGGCCGGTTATTTGACGCCTGTACTCAAGGTGAGTTTTATCTTTGTTTCAATAATAAATACTTATCGCTACACACTGCATCGCCTCTCAATCACATCTACATTGTTAACAATAAATATTTAACACCATTTTCTTTTTAATTATGGTGTTTTCTGCATGTGACTATAATCTATATTTTTGTGTTGTGGTTAATGATACACTGATACTCCCGCAGTTTTGACAATGATAATTAATAGGATAACATAAGTAATAACATATGCAGACACAAAAACATACAACACACTGTTGTAACTGTTTCATTTATCAACTGAAAATGTACCTTACATCTTTATATTTACTATTTACTTCACTGATTCCTTGAATGTATATAATATTAGTACTAAACTTGTGCCCTTAGGAGTCAAAATTCCATGAGACAGGAGTGCTGACTCCTGAAGAATTTGTGGCAGCTGGAGACCACCTAGTACACCATTGCCCTACATGGCAATGGGCTAAGGGTGAGGAGGCAAAGATCAGACCCTACCTCCCAAATGATAAACAGTTCCTGATTACCAGAAATGTGCCATGTTATCGGAGGTGTAAACAGGTATAGTGCATTGTTTTTCAACCTGTAATTGTAAATAATCTGTCTATAAAAAACATAAATAGATTTTTTTATGTGTTTGAAATCGGTAAACAGTAAATTAATAATTGTAACTTTAAGGTATTCATGCTATAAAATTATTAATTTATTGTTTACCAATTCCAATTAACTGGTAAACAACAGAGTGTAGAGTATCAGTCTATAATACTATTTAACATGTTAATCACCACTAACTTTATATTTACACTAGATAATTTAATTAAAAATGTATTAAGGAAACTTAATGTATCACAGAAAAAAATTTATTTGCCAAAATTCCCGGAATAATGTATGTCTATGTATGTCTGACATGACTCATGCAGAACTTCTTAGCGTCAGACACATGACTGAAATGGTGATTAACATGTTAATAAATTACCCGGTAATTTAAAAGTCATGCTATATGAAATACAAAGTTAAAAATTATTTATTTTAGAAATAGAAATAGAAATAGAAATAATCTTTATTCAAATAAACTCATTACAAGCACTTTTGAATATATATTTTGATTCTACCTATATTTGGAATGCAGATTCATTATATATATATATATATATATATATACTTGTGTGTTGCTCTTTTAATAGATGTTTTTTTATATAAATAATTACAGTGTAACAAGTAAACATACGACAATCAACATAAAATATATACATTCATTATTAATAATCAGATAATATTGTCAGTGCTATGTATTGAAAATTTTTCTACAGAAACATTACATATTTTAGAATTCTTCAATTTTATAATAAGCCTTTTTGCAAAGGAAGTTTATTTTGTTTTATTTGACATTTAAATCCTTTTTAGAAACAGATTTAAAAAAGACATCAATTTATGTTCTTTGTTTGGAATAAAAACGAGTAACATTTCTTTTTGTCTTTTTCTACATTTAGGTAAAATCAGTTTGCTGTTGTTATGTAAGCTTTTATTAGTGCAATCACTAATTATTTTGAAATTGTCTATATTCTTCCTGGCATACATGATATTTTCATATATATATTGAGAAGCGTACAGAAGATATTTGAGCATTAAAGCACTATTAAGAAAGTTTTTAATGCAATTGATTGCTATAAAACGAATGGCCCTCTATTTGTAAAATAAATATTGTATTTATATCAGCTGCTTTGCCCCATAACAAAATACCATACGACATAATGCTATGGAAATAGCTAAAAAGATCGATTTAAAGTTGCCACGTCTGTTAATTGTTTAAGTTTTTCTTCTTACCGCATAAGCGGCGGAACTAAGTCGACTCGCTAATTTAGTAATATGAGCGCCCCATTGCAACTTGGAATCTAATGTGATACCTAGAAATACAGTATCATCCACAAAATTAATAGGTTTATTGTCCAACGTGATTTTTGAAAACCGGCCTTACATTGGGGAGATAATAAATTTGATACATTTAGTTTTATTTGCATTTAGTAACATATTATTAGCTGTAAACCATTTTAAAACATAAGAAAGAGCACCGTTTACTTCGTCCAAATCATCAATATGTCGATTGACTTTGAATACTAATGAAGTATCATCAGCAAACAGAACTATGTCAGCTATCTTTTCTACCATATAAGGAAGATCATTTATGTAAACTAAAAATAAGAAAGGACCTAAAATAGAGCTAATGAGGAACACCCATTTTAATACTAGTTCCCTCAGACTTTACACCATTTATGGTCGACAACTTGCATTCTATTATTTAGATATATTTTCATCATGCTTTGTGCTTCATATCTAATACCGTAATGTTCAAGTTTGAGCAAAAGTGTTTCATGTTCAACGCAATCAAATGCTTTTGAAAGATCACAAAATACATTGACTGCATCCTGAGACCTCTCCCAAGAATCAAATATATATTTAATGAGAGCTACACCGGCATCAGTAGTTGATTTTATTTTATTTCCATTCTTACAGCTATTTATACAAAAACTAATATAAAAGTGTATCAAACATATTTTAAAATTAGTTTTTTATAATTGATAAAGTGTTCTTCGTGAATTCATTCAGAGAACAAGAACATCACTTATATTATTGGAAGACAGCTATGATAACACTCATACATTGCTATTACTTGTAGGGATTTATATTGTTTTTCTAATCACTGACAACTGTTTGAACATATTGTGTATTTAATATTGAAGCTAATAAAAATGCTAGTTGGTGGTTTGTATTCACATGTTTGTATTGAAAATGTTGTAAATTTTCTAATTATGTACCATGTATATGTATATTAATATATATACTGTTTTAACCCTATTGTGTATTTAATATCTGAAGCTAGTAAATTAATGCTAGTTGGTGTTTTGTATTCACACATTTCGGATTGAAATGTCATGCTCATCTTATCATCCTAAACTGGTGCCCACGCCAGCTTTTTTCATTCCTAGCGCTTGTGATCCATTATCATCCATAAAAAAAAATGTAAATTATTTAAAAGAATGATGTTGCTTTTTTAAATAATTTAAAAAGCAAGTTTTTTGTTCATTCTTGAATAAAGTCTTTAATGGTAGGTTAAAAGAATGATAATTAATTATATTCAATAATAACAAAAATATACTTAATTAATGGTAAATATACAATAAAAAAAACCTAAAACTTAATTGCTAAGATTGTCTCGTATCATACCTGGCTTAAAGGTTATGGAGCGTTATGGGGCTCGCAGCATTTCCACGTTGAATTGCTAGGGAAATTCTTTGCGCCAGATACAATCCGGATCGTCGATCGTCGTCGTCGTCGATTTGAATAAATAATTTTCTATTCTATTCTATTAGTCCTGTGTACTAAAATGTCATTACTCTTGAACTGCAATTTTTCTACCAAAATTGAAAAATCTCTAGCAATGAACAATTGTGAATTGATTTTATTTCTGTTTGTAGATTGAATATTGTGAAGACAAAGAGAAAGTAATTGAGTCTGAACATGATGAGGACGGTGGATGGGTGGATACTCACCATTATGACACTCCCGGATCGCCTGCTCTTGAGGAGAAGGTAAGTGTTTTGTTAGGGTATAATTAGATTACTTTTTTCAGCAACTATTTGTTTACGACTGGCACTAAATCGGCCTGAAAAAATATTCAAATATATAAAACACTTTCTTTATAAAGCTTCTCTTTCTTTGATACTCTTCAATTATATAATAAATAAAATTATATAATTGAAGTATATGACTAGCTACTCGACCAGGCTTCACCCGGGTGTACATGTATTATATATATAGAATTCTTCTTCTAGAATCACTCTATCAAAAAAAACTGCTTCAAAATCCGTTGCGTAGTTTTAAAGATTTAAGCATACATAGGGACGGACAGACAGGATAGCGACTTTATTTTATACTATGTAATGATAATAATGTTTTTGTAAAAAAAATTCAAAGGGAAAATTTTCTGCTATAGCCTTCAGTAGGTATGAATGCACAAGAGCTTAGATATACAGCAGAATAATAAAAGTATAATAATAAGCGTAAAAAAACCTGTAAAAGCAGAGAATATGAGACAAGAGTGAAAATAATAATGATAGGTAGTTATTAAAAATATTTATAATAAGAATACATGTGCATGCAGAAAAAATGCAGAAAACAGTAACATTAAATACCTGTTGTAATATGCGTAAAGTTTTACAGGAAGACAAGAAATAACAGTAATTTAAACATATTAGAATTACTTGATCAGTATGTCCCGTAACTCTAACCTATAACACCAAATTTCGAGAATATAAAATGTATAAATAAATAATAATAATAAAAACAACCCAGTAAATAAATTTAAGATAGTATATTACTAAATTAAATTTAAACATAGTAATTCTATTTATTGTTATTAATGTAATGATTTTATAATCTATAATATAAAAATGAATTGCTAAATGTGTTGGTAAGCGCCAATCTCGAGAACTACTGAACCGATTTCGATAATTCTTTTTTTAGAATATTCCTTGAGGGACGAGGATGGTTCTTACGGAGAGAAAAATTTTAAAAATTGCCTAAAAATACCTAAAAACAACGCTTTTGTCCCTTTTTTTTTAATCCCACACAAACGATTCTTAATGATACTTAAAAGTCAATTTGAACTTTAATACCATATCATAAAGTTCAAGTGTAAGTAGAGAGGTTCCGGGAAGGCATGTGTCAATATTAATCAAAAACAGGTGGTCAGTGGTAAAATGTCACTTGAAATGTACATGTCTCATTGAGGTGCATATAATATTACTATAAATCCCGGCGCCCTGAATAGCAGAATAAGTATTAAATAAACTAAAAAATTAAAGAATCGACTGTTAGGCGTTACGAAGTACGCCGGGTCCGCTAGTTACTAATAAAAAGGCTGTCGTAAAAAATAAAACTAAGTAAATATTCTTTGCACTAGGTTTGTGAAATGACTTTAGAAGCCGCAGACACGGGGGACAGTGATGGTGAGGGTGCTGCTGCGGATAATGATGATGACGACGACGATGATGATGATGACGGTGAAGCCGAGGATATGGAACAATTCCAAGAGTCAGGCCTACTTGATGAAGTGGATCCAGTAAGTGCTTGGGGTTTACACTACAAATATAAAATATAACTACACGAATAAATTAAATTGAGGTATCTGTTTGTCATTTCAAATTAAAAGCTTTTCACTGTACTGTAGAGATGTAAGTATTGTATGAAAATACATACAATACTTACATCTCTGAAACAACTGGACCGATTATGACGGGACTTTTACTCGCACTTAGCTAATGTTGGAAGGAATGATTAAGACTATTTTTATTTTAGACATTTATTTATTTCAAATCCACGCGGAGGAAATCGTGGTTAAAAGACAGTATACAATATATTACTAACAATTTTACGTCGTTCTATAAATTCAAGAAGTACGTTTGTGCTAGACTAGTTTTATTTTTATAACCTCACCGTTGTTTAGGTACAGACCTAAGCGAAAACTTATTCGTTTAAAGCCATAGCCATTTAGCCTGTGTAATTGAATTTGGAAGAGAGTAATTGTTTGTTTGTTTGTTTGTTTGTAATTCTTTATTGTACAAAATATTAATAGATACATATGTCTTAAAAAATAAATAGATGGTACAATGGCGGACTTATCCCAAAAGAGGGATTTCTTCCAGTCAACCTTTGAGTGACTGAAAGGAATTGTGGAGTGGTGGATACAAGTACAATAAGAAAATACGCGTCGAAAAGCAATATATATAAATATATAGTACAAGAAATAATAGTAAATCTAATAATAAATTTTAATAGAAGCATAAGTAATTAATTTAGTTAAGTTGAAACATTTGGATAGAGTGGAAACACATATCAATTTTGATATATCAAAATATCTTTATTATATTGTAGGTCTATTACAGACTCCTATGATATGTCAAAATTCATTTTTAATTTCAAATTCGATGCAAAAGAAATAGTCCAGACTACTCCCCCTACCCCCCTCCCCACAAGCACACTTTCACGAGTAAGAGTTATATAAAAATGGAACTTCAGTACTCAATACACAAATGGACACAAGACTATACAGTTCTCTCAAGAGAAGCTAAGACGTACAAGATCGACGTTCAAGGCAAAGAGCTAAACTTCACCATAGATCGGTTGAAACCAACTTATATGGCACGCAGCGACAACCACACCAGTCCGCATTCTACGTAAACGCAACAGCGACACGGTCTTGGCAAGGGAGTTTTATGGTGTACTGTATATATTGGTATAATAATCATTTCACATCATTACCTCTTTTCATGACAACTATCCACATACAAACAAAACATGCGTTCCATAGTTCACCTATAAAATATTTCTCCCATCATCCGTCACTCGCCTTATACAACTCAGTTCCATATATACATTTCCTTTAATACAATTTATTGTTAATACTATATACCTTTCAATATACTCATTATTAATTGAGGGTCTATTTTAGTTGTATATTTATTGTTATCGACCCCACAAGACATTACACAAACACATATTGGCAATAGTCAACAGATCTGGCGCCGCGGAAGGAACCCAAGCCGAAAGCGGAACGGAAGTGGAAACAAGGGGAAGGTGACGAAATCGTGCGCACGCGCACGTACGATCTGCACATCACGTACGACAAATACTACCAGACGCCGCGGCTCTGGCTTATTGGGTATGACGAGGTCAGTTGTATGTACTAGTACTTGACTAGTCCCCATTACTGATAACCGATAACCCCCACTCCCCCCACCATTTGCACCCTCTGAAGACTAACTTTTTTTTTAAATAGAAATAATTTTAATTCAAAATAAGTCACTTTTGAATAGTCATATTTTGATTCTACCACTCATTCGGAACGCAGATTCAATTAAAAAATGAGCAAGAAACTTGTGTGTTGCTCTTTTGAATAGATTTTTTTTATATAAATAATTACAAAATATCAAGAAACTTGCGATAATCTCTTTTGAACTAGATTTTTTTATATAAATAATTATAGAATATCAATTTAAGTTTTTGTACAAAAACATTATTATCGTTAAAGAACTCGTCAATTTTACGCACTCATTTTTAGTGTTTTAATCATTTGAATCTTTTTAATATTTGTCAGCAATATAAAGGCTATTAACAAACATAGTTATAAACATAATTAAATCAGAACGGCCACATATACAGTTTATTTTATATTTCATTATATTGCAGTTTATTTTGTTTTATTTATCCAGAACCGGACATTGCTGAGCGTAGAACATATGTATGAGGATGTCTCACAAGACCATGCTAAGAAGACAGTCACAATGGAGTCCCATCCGCACCTCTCTGGACCTAGCATGGCATCCGTACACCCGTGCCGGTAAGTGTATATTACTATTCAGGCAATCTGAGTGACACCGCACCATCATAATCTATTTTGTGACTTCCAATGTGTGCTGTTTGTACCGTACGAGGAATCGAATCCGCGAACATCAGAAATAAGGCGATGTGCTATACCGCTAGTCCGCGGAGGCCGTCAAACATAAAATAATACTTAATGAAATATGTATGGTATAAAGTTTCGAGCATACATACATCCATAGTATACATATTACCTAATATATATATTAAATTAGTTTATAAGTGACGGAGTTCAGAAGTACCAAAAAAAAATACAACCAAATTGCGAAACGCTTTATTAATGTTGTATGTAACGCTTTATTAAAATTTGTATTCAAAAAAACTTTGAATAGTCATTACTTATTTTTTTAATCTACCGCTCATTCGCAAATCTATCTTATCACAAGAACAAGCAAGAATCTTGGGTCTTAAATAACACTTGTAGCTTTACATTTTTAATTTGAAATGTATGGATACAAACTACTGATAAGCACTATTCGTATATATAGGTAATTGTATAATGTTTTTTTTATTGCAGACATGCGGAAGTGATGAAGAAAATAATAGAGACAGTAACAGAAAGTGGCGGCGAGATGGGTGTGCATTCGTATCTAATAGTGTTCCTCAAGTTCGTACAGACGGTCATCCCGACCATAGAGTATGACTTCACACAGAACTTCTCTATCAACTAAATAAATCTCTATGGTTTAGTTCTATATATATTCAGGCGGAGTGCCCGTCGGATTTGGACAGCTAATTAATTATGGGTGCTTTTTAGACGCTCGAGGTATCAATTGTAAGATTTGTTATCAGTGGCATATATTTTTTTAATCGCCTACCAAATTTATATGTGTACATTTGCTGTATGTGTATATAGTGGTAACAGTGTTGCTATGAACAGTACGGTGTGAGCAGGATAACAAACGACTGAGTATTGTACTCAAGAATCTTAAAACTCAAACAGATATTTTAATGCCAATATCGTTTTGAAGTTGTAATTAACTCGAATAATCATTCCTGTTGTTTTCTCTTTCTTACACACACAAACACGCACATTTACGCACTCACGCGCACGCACGCACTCCATACCATTATGTCTCGTTTGGGCGTGATGTTATAACTGCCAGCCAGTCATATGTATACACGCGCACCGACATGCACACACATATAAACACACCTACACGCATGCATGCACACCCGCATGCACGCACAGGATACCATCTTGTCTTAGTTAGGTGTGACGTCATAACTGCCAGTATCAACTATCGATGGCAGTGACGTCATTCATCCCAGTTTCACAAGTAATAACAGTCAATTGTGTTAGCATACATACGTCATACATATACTTATGTGTTCAGTTAACAAATTGAGAAGTGTACATCCTTATAGATTATTTGATATTACTTTTATATTACAATCAAAATATTACTGCACTTCTGGACTCTACATGTACTTATAATATTTCTCTCAGGACTCGGCACCCTATCATTTATTTACAACTTCATATAACATAGATTACTTTCTTGAGTGTAACATCAGTCCGCATAACGACTCCGCGTGAAGTGTACCTATAAGCCATATAGCACACTGACGAATAAACTTACTAATGTAGTTCAATTATTTTACTGTACACTCAATACCTAGATACGATAGGAACAAATAAATTACTCATCACATACGTAACGCTACAGAACAAGTGGCGATAAGGCAATACTTAGTTCTTTTGCTGCAAAATTCTAAATTGTCATTACATATTGGTGTAAATAAAGCATTATAATACTGATTCAGAAGGTACATTATGCTACGTTTACATTCAGCCGCTTCCCCTGCCACTCGCGCTGCAGTCCCAGTTGTCTCCCGGCAATATTGCCGGGAGACAACTGAGCGAGAGGGCTGAATGTAAAAATACGCTGCCAGTCCTTTGACTCACGCACGAAAAACCGACAATCGAGGGAGCGCCGGGCAGCGCCAATGGCATGGGAAGTGTTTCCACTCTCGCGCTGCTCACTTCCCTGCCCACTCGGGCTGAGTGTAAATTGGGCATTAGATAGAAAATATATGAGTACTGATTCCTGCATATAGTTGAGAGTTGAAGCGATACGAGTGACCGCCAATCTATATAATTGTCATTCCAAACATTTTCTAACGTTATTCTTTATAAAGTCAGTAAGAAAGAGTATACTAAATCAAAAGCAAGATTGAAGTTATAAACTTACACAAGTTTTACTATGCAACAAAGTGATAATCAGAGAATTATATATTTTTATACTAAATTGACCACCGCAGTTTATATGCTTTAAAAATTATTTTCAATTTCCCACATTGCTTCTTTAATGTAGTGCATACAGATAACAATATAAACATACAACATGAATATAATGAATGTATAGTATTCATAAAATTGTATATTCATGTATTGGGCTCAACTGCAATGACTTTCAGTTTGCTATATATGTATATACTAGCTGTGCTCGCGATTTTGCCGCGTGAAATTTATAGCCTATATGTTATTCTGATGTATATGCCATATTAATGAAAAGTTTCATCAAAATCGGTTCAGTAGTTTTTGCGTGAAAGAGTAACAAACATCCATCTATACTCACAAACTTTCGCGTTTATAATATTAATAAGATATTTTTATATATCTTTAACAACTAATCTTGTATTGCACATCTTATATTGTATAGTAAGATCAAATTAATATCAGAATGAAACCAAAATTGAAAATTCAATGATGTGTAAATTTGCTTTATTGTTATATGAACGTACATTTCAATACAATCTCCATTCTAATAGCGATGACAAAGACAAACAGCAAATTATATCGAATATAACTCGTTTACCCACTATATGTATGTTAATCATAGACTAAGATAATTTTGAAGATGGTATATTTTTATAGAAATAGAATGAAAGGATTCTCAATATGAAAAAATGGTTCATAAAAAAGTTGATATATCACAATCTTAATAATAAACTGCATTAACTTATTAGGAAATGTACCTAATAAGTTTTACTTTAAGGTTTGAATTTCAAAAATATATTTTTCAGAGGACTATGATCTCATGCCTCTTATCGTGCAATTTCAGTGCCTAATCATAACTTACAACAGAAACAGTATATTATTAAGCATGCGATATATAAAATATATACAGACCAAAGCCCTGGGAAATACAAAACAAAACGTGTAGCATTATTATACAATTTTTATTACAACATGTATAGGCTTGTGTCAAACAATATATCGGGAAGTTTTTTAATTTTAGCATTAGAATCGAAGGCTTTATTATGTAGCGTAGTTGTCGTTTCTTCTTTAAACATTTGACAGTTGCAGTTGCAAATAAAACTGCAACTGTCAAATGGTTTTTACACAATTTCAACACGCGTTACATAATGAAGCTACTACAAATACAGGTAATAGTTATTTTTTTAATATATTATATAATTGCCATAAAAATTGTTTCAATATAAGTTAATTTTAGGTTAAGTTACATGATATTTCATTATTACTCATTACGTGGTGCCCATATACATTTATGTTTAATATTTCATAATTATAAAATGATCTTAGGCGAGTGATGGTTACAAAACCAGTAGATTAATTTCCCATATACAACTACTGGTGGTGGAGACTAGCGCCATCTTTTTTTGACGGTCTAGTACAATTTTTCTAAGGACTTAAACCCAATTCATCTGGGGTTATTGGAACTTGGTACCGAGGCAACGGGGCCCCGAGGTCCCGACCTGCACCCATTTAGGCGGATGACCCGATTCAGTAGAAGTATATGTCAGTTAAATGTATTGAACATTGAATTCACATTGTATATTTACTACCGGTTTTGTAACAGCACTTAGTAACATTTTAAAACTATCATTTGTTATTTTTAATTATTTCTATATTTTTAATATACTTGGCACAAAATAAATAGCAACTGAAATAAAATGCATAATTAAAAAATTAATGTATAGTATTAATAAAAAAACAAAGCCTGTAAACGTTTTGGATGCATTCATAAATGTAACTCAGTTATGAATAGTATAAGTACGTGGGCCCTTATGGATAATTTTGTTTTCTATTTATAAAACACATGTAGTTTTTTAGTTGTTAAGTTTCTTTAAAGTACAATACTCTAATATAGGTATGTATATTAGAATAAATTATGCTATTTGTTTATTGTTTTTTATGTTTACTGTGGTATAAAATATTTTGCTATAATTCTTTTTTTTTATTTAATTAACTCATATTTTGTACCTCAGATCGTTCGTTCTATGTACAATATAAACATTGATATTGCTACATGATAATAAATCTGTTTCAGCAATTTCATTGCTTTGCTGGTAAGGCTTTGATCTCAATAAAGAGGGTTTTGCACATTATTACCCCTATTATTAAGTATATAGTCATAAATAATAAATAACCCTTGACCGTTAACACAGCGCCATCTAGTCCCACAGTAAGCAGAGCTTGTGTTATGGACACTAGACAACTGATATAAATACTTCGATTCATATCCATAGAAAACACCCAGACAGGTACAAATAATCATACTCATGAATACAAATGTTTGCACCGTGCGAGGAATCGAACTCACGACCATCGGAATTAAAGCGGTATACTTAACCGCTAGACCACCTAGGCCGTCAATAAAGCAATACAACGTAGGATGAAATAAAACTAGTAAATTTATCCCATATTTATTTATTCATCATGCATAACGCATACATTATGTACATATCACCATGTTCTATAATAAAATATACACAATATCAGTTCATGGTGTAAGAAGCCCACTACGTCCAACATTTACACTAATTTACAAAATAATACAGTCTAAATATATTCGCAAAAACAACTAGAAAGTAACTCAAATATTATAGTACATATCATATGTATACAGCACTTTAAACGACCTGATTTACAAAATATTGTTACAATTAACTATTGCATATGTTTATTGTATGTACAACTACAAAAAGGGAGGAAGGAGATACTAATACCCATTGCTAACAATGTACCATGTCAGATTGACCTCCACGCGGTTCTTCCTGGAAACCATCGTGATAAATTCAATGTAAATTTACCACGATGGGCTAACTGACCTGACCTCATGTTCATCTTATCATACTCCACTGGTAAACCGTTAGCGCAGGCGGGTGCACCATTCCATTATCATGCATAAAGAAACGGCTTTAATATCGTTTGGCATTCTGTATAGATAGATTATCTAGGATAGAAAGGTATAAACAAAAACCTTACATATATCAGTGTGTAGTTGGATACACAAAAAAATTTAGTGTGTGTATTCTTATCAGCAAAAGGTACACAATGACGTGTGATACTTTTGTAGACAGCATTTTTGCTTTATTTTTCCAGTTTCAATTTTTCGTCCAGAGATTATATAATAATATCACGATGCCAACGACTTTTATGCCTCTTGAATTTCCGAGCCGGTGAGACCCGCTTTATATGCAATCGTTGGTGGTGCGCAATACAGAGATCTCTTTATATCTCGTCGTTTTAGGTATCGTCTCGACCACGTAAACGTCGGGGTCACCCTGTTTATAATAATGTTGCTGGTCGAGACGATGTATTTTACAGATGTTATATACTAAATAACAATAGAAAATGTAAGGTTGACACAGTTTAAACAGCAGTGCCTAGTAGACAATATTGAAATACTAGACATTATTAAAAATGCAGTCCCATATATAGTATAAACAAAAACCTTACATATATTGATAATAGTTAATTTATTAGGTATGTAGTGAAAATAAATGATAATGTCTTATATTTATTTTAGGGTTCATATTTTTAAAAAATAAAAATATTTTAATGAATTTTTGAAAATAAATGAAATGTCATCATATTTTTAATGAATTTATATTAACCCAAAACTCTGCTTATAAACTGTTCAGGACGTGCCAAGACGTCGCAAGAACTTGGACTTGTTCTAGAAAACTAAGTCGCTTGGCAACCCTAATTAGGTAAATTTATCGGTCGCAAAATGCCTTATATAATATGTATTAATTTACAGCAATAAACCTATTTGCAGAAATAATAATAATATAAATTGAATTTATAACATTCAACCATATCGATTCCTAATATGTCTATTTCAAGAAATATATTGGACTTAAACTGCCAAATCAAATATAACCACTATATCCATTACACAAGGTACAATTTTAAATACCACTGTGCTACATTCGATTCTTATAAGTTACGCAAGCGTTAAAAACAGAGGGGTATAACAACGAATAGAGACAGCTCTCTACTCTTTCTAAGACGTATATAACATATCACGCTTAGTGATAAACTGCATTAACTCAAATGTTGAAAATTTCGTAAAATCGACCTTAAAGTAAAAGGCTAAAGTCGATTTTCCAAAATTATAATATTATATTAAGCCTGCGTTATTCTTAGTTTTAATAATATAGTGGTAAATCAGAATTGACAGTTGCATTTATACTAAAATTCAGTAATTATTTAAAAATACCTTTGGTTAATTATACATAGCATGAAAATGCCGATGAGAACGCTACATTCTTAAATGAAACAGCCGCTCTGCTCTGGAAACTAATTCTAATTCAAAGGCAGAAGGCAAAATCCAATGGAATTGCGTTGTTTCGCGCCTTTTTATACTCTTAAACTAACAATTTATTTAGGCAGTCTCGGTGGTCTACCTGTTTGGTACATCGCTTTACTTCCGACAGTCGCGGGTTCAATTTTTTGCACGGTATAAACATTTGCATTTATAAGTATGATTGTTTGTATTACTATGTATATAATGTATTCAGAAATAAATTAAATTAAATATTTTTATCAGTCGTCTAGTACCCATAACAGAAACTCTGCTTAGCTTGGGACTAGATGGTGCTGTGTAAATTGATTACGGTTAATAAAAAATTGGATTGGATTGAAATCGACATTGTAATTAGATTCCAGAGTAGTATCGGTGATGTCAAACAATCCTCACACTATCCAACAATAATCACAGTCTATTCCATCCTAGAACAACGTCTAATCTAATTTATTAAATGGTACATGAAAATCTTACAATACGAAAAAAAAGTACAAAACATTACAAACGTTTCATACTCCAAACCAAATGTCCAAATCACCAAACAATCACCAATATAGAAAACTAAACCTTTTTTTAATATTAACTCAATATTTTATAACACTAGTTGTGACCGGTTAAAGCTGCAACATATAAAAAATCTCAGTATAATTATTACTGTAATAATAATTTGATGAAATTTTATCGTATTGAAGTTTATTATAGAACTGATATGTAGTATAGATAATATATTTGGATTTTTTTCCTATTTTAAAACGTTATTAACATCTCATAATACGAGTATTAATCTTGGCGCAGACCCAGGATGCTACTCCTGACCTGACCTCTTTAGCTGGAAGCGATTCCGCTTACAGAAACATATATGGAATGGACGCATGTTTATTTATGATACATATGTATAAATACAGGTAATAAAGTACTATAGCTATATACTGATTGATTCAAGATACTCAAACTAACTACACTACAAAATGTAATTATCCACTAACAGAAATAGTGTGATAACATATTAAATACACGTTCATACATGTTTACTAACGACTGTTGTCTGAATAGACGCCTCTGTACGCAACATAGTATTTCAAAACCATATTCCGAGTTATTTGGCTGTATTTTACATTTATTACATTTACAATTGTCTTTTATTTCTCTTCCTACATTAGACAAGACACTAATAGTTAACAATAAAAAAATATACAATGTAATATTACAATTATAATTAAAATAAATAATTACACCTTGAAATAATTAAATTAAATGTAATGTAACATTAAAATATATCATTACAAGCAGCGTACATTTCAGTGTGAAATAACCGCCAACATTGTTAACATAATAAAATAAATTACATTAGAATTATACTGAAATAATTAATAATTGTACTTCCAATTTATCATTAATTCAATATTATATAGATAATAAAATAATTTAAATCACTATAGCCATTATATTTTCAATAATACTAACGATTTCGTGGAACGGGCAGTGAGTACGTCGGTAGCCTTGATTGCAGATGTATAAACAATAATATATAAAATTATATACTTAATGGAAAAATCTGTGTGATCGCACAATTTATATATCCTACATTCTAACTTATACTTAATATATTAAAGAAATATATTTGTCGATGATGTAAAAATTAATTGCACGTTGACCATAGACAATCAATTTAATTGATTGCACTGTCCTTTATTTTAATATCATAGACAGTTTACCCTTAGGTCAGGCAGGGATCTTAGCTAGCGTAAACTGCTAGCGTCTGGGATGCACCATTACATTATCCATTAAATAAAAAAAATATTTACACTGACTAAATATTACACCTAATACAGATTGAAAAATAATATTAACTATGTTCAATACCAATTGTAACGTTACACCACGCATTCATCCTAGTGAATAATAATTTAATGAATAAAATAATTACAATGATTTTAAACAAGTAATAATTTCCACACTACATTATTGAATGCCTCGTTCCCATCTGCAATCTCGGCTACAGGAGAATTTATTTATAACAAATCAACTTTATAAAATTAGCTATTTTCCTCTTTATTCATAAAAATATAGAATCTATTTTAGTTAATATTCATCGTCTTTTAAATTACCAATTAGGCACCTTCTTTCTACTTAATAATTTACCTTGAAATTAAGAAACCAAACATATTATATGGCAATAATAATTGATATTTTTCTAACATATTTTAAAATGTATTCTTGAGTAATATTTATTCTAATTTTCTACAATATTATTCTATGATTATGGACTGTATTATATTAGATTAAGCTTCGTAATATCGTTCTGCTACCATATTTAATCTCGCTATATTTTATAATATTTATATAAGTATCGAATCGAATTATGGTAGTCTGAATAATCTGATGCTATTTATATATTATAAGTTTATATATTTATTAATAACATCGTATCTATTGTCTTATATGTTAGCTTGTAGCAGTTGAATTAGCTGGAAAAACTTGTTTAGAAAGCGACAAAAATTCTTTTTTCATTCCACTATAGAAATAATGTCTTAAAATTTAAAATTAATTGGCTTAATTCTTGTATAATTTGCTTGGTTGCTATATATTTCTATAGTAGCTGACGAATAGTAAAAGTGTCATTACATAATCTTTTTCCATTTATAAAACATGTCTTCTTCATAAATTTTGTACAGTCCCATTTCAAGTGACATACGTATAAATTGGCGCTAGTTTGACTCTCATTTTAGAAGTTATTATATCTATATCACGAAATCTTCAAAATTTATATGTAAATATTACACCCTTACTCATAAAAACACTACAGTTTCTTACTCGTTGAAACTGTTGAATGTGACATTCTTTCAAATTACGAAAATAACTCTTTTAAGACAAAATAATATAAATAGTTAAAATAAATTTATTAGACGTTTGACGATTTTATGAGTAAGTGATTTAATTGTCGTTTAAATAAGACATTCTATAATGGTTGTTAATTTTGGATAATACTATCTCCACACTTTATCTCACATTAGAATTATGTCTATTACGAAACGCAGTTCCAAAATTTGGAAGCAACGAAACGCTATATCGATCTCGCTGATATTTCATAATTGAAGTAACATTTAATTGCCATAAATTCTACCACAAATTGTGCTATGTCATAATCTAATAAAATTAAACTATTTCAACAGTCTTTGTTTCATGATTTGACACTTAAAATTGTGTATTTGGCTGTAACATTTCGAACAGTGTTCTACTGTAAAAAAACCTTATAATTTTACTAATTGTATTTTGAAACTTCGTACCTGACCTGAAGAGATAGTTCACTCGTGTGGTACGATGGTGACTAGCCGTAGGTGTATAAGTGATAGTAGCTTGTCGAGTGGATCCAGGGTTCCGCGCTGTAGCCACTTCGGGATGGTGGTGCGAGCGTGGCTGAAGCCTAGCTTCTGCAGGATATAGTCCACGCCGTATGGCTCGATGGACTTGCCAGCCCAGGACAGCAGTCTGATGGATATAGGAGTTGTTTTAAATTCTCTCATTACTTATGTTATATGCACATTAAAAATACAAGGTAGTTGTTAACAGGAAATCAATACACAATTTTGTATCTATATATTCGAATACTTTTAATAATATAAATATATAAATAACCTTGCATAATTCACACAGTGTCATCTAGTCCCACGGTAAGCAGAGTTTGTGTTAAGGGTGCTAGACAACTGATATCAATACTTATATACTTTTTTATACATACATATATATACATAGAAAACACCCAACGATACAAACATATTCGTGAATACAAATATTTGCACCATGAAAGGAATCGAACTGTAGCTGAACTGTAACTGAACACGACAAGCGGTGTGCTAAATCACTAGACAACCAAGGGCGACAATTACAAGAAAATAGATTTATAAATTCGAGAGACTAGTAGTAGTTACCTGACGGTGGGCTCGAGATGCCAAGTGACGCAGCGGTAGTCGCGGTAGTCCTGCACGAGCCCCTCGTGTGCGGGCGCGGCGCCCCCCGCCCCGGCCGCGCCCCCCGCGGGCCCCGCGGGCCCCGGCGCGGCGGCGGCGGGCCCCGCGGGCCCCGCGAGCGCCCCGCGCGCCCCACGCGGCGCCCCGTTGCTGGTCCCTTCGCCCCACGCGCCGCGCCCTCCGGTCGGCATCTAATCGACGAGTTACATTATTTATAAAAAATAATAAAAGTTCAATCCCTCATAATTTAGGGTACACGATTGATTTTATACTTATGGTAGTTTCCACGACATTATTTCTAAATTTATATACAGTGTTACGTACAGTATATTACTCTTTTTCTAAAGAAATTTTTATTTCTTTTTTTTGGAAAATTTGGTTGTACATTAATATTGTATATGAATAAATATATATATAATACAAGCTGTGCCTGCAGTTTCACTCGAACACTAGTGGACACTAGTTCATCGATTACTGTCATTGTTTTAAACAACCCAAAAATATGGTTTTGTAATTTTCGTACATATAATCATTTTTACAGTATTTAAACTACAGACCAACTAATTTTTTCTTGCAACCAGCTAAATATTTTAGTTTTTTTATAAAAAAAAGTTATTAGTCATTCTTTCAATATAATATATGTCAATTTAAAATAATATAATCTATTTTTATAGAACTACCCTATATTTATTAATTATATGTTAATGCATTTTAAATAAACACCCACACATTATTTATGTGTAACCTATAAAAATCGGTAATTAATATTTATTTCCGATAGTTCCACAACACTATTAAAGAACAGTAAAAAGCTACCAACATAGGTAATGTAGTAACATAGGTTAGGTATCAAATTTGTCTCTGTTATAAAAAATAGACTATAGCTCCTAATACTTACAACACGGTCTTTTTCTTTGATGTAAGACGAGATGAGATCATGTAAGAACAGGAACGCCTCCGCGTCCACAGACACGAATATGTGGTCCTCGAATTCAGTTATGAAGCTGCATTCCACTATCGGTTTTTCATCTGAAATACATGAATAAACATATTTTTTTATATTAAAAATATTATATTAAAAAAATTCTGTACTTACTAACATTAACTCTAAAAAAACTGTAATAGTAAAAAAATGGGTAAAACGTTTTAAATTATTATTATTATTATTATATCATATCGTCATGAATGTTATCCCATAGAGGGTAGGCAGAGACATTGTCAATCGTGGATGTTATGGTGAATTCAAAGGAGGACCGAAATTACGACGGCTAGAGCCGAAGTTCGAATCCCAGGCGGTGCCTTCAGACTAAATTCGTAGCCGTCAGGCTGGAGTTGTCTTTCAGTCGCTCCATAAGTCCTACCGCGGGTTTGGAGTGCCACCTCTACTCGCCTCCTATCGTCCAGTGAAGCTGTAAAGGCCAGCTATGCCCAACAGCATTACAGTAGTCCGCTCGTTATGCCTCTAAACAGAATTTTACAGTAGTCTTAATTTTTAAAAAAATCTCGTTATATCATTATATATTACATATATTCTTTCCTGTGTGATAGCCGATTCGCGTGTGAAAAAGCGTCCGTATAATGGTATGGTGCGGGAGGAAAGTGGATTGTTAGTAATGTTAACAATGTATCATGTCAAGTTCACCTCCACGAGGTTCGTCCTGGAAACCATCACGATTGGCTAACTCACCTGACTTCATTCATCTTATCGTCCTACACTGGTGATCGGCCAGCGTAAACCGTTATCAATAAAAAAAAATGTTAGGTTGCGTACCGTGCTCGGTGGGCGGCGCGTGTCGCTGCCGGTGCTGCGTGCGGAGGTGCAGCTGCAGGCTGGGCAGCGCGAAGATCACCTCGCGCACGTGCTTGTCGGCCGGCTTGTTGCCCGCGCCCCCGCCCCCGCCCCCGCCCGCGCCCCCCGCCGCCCCCGGCGCCGCGCCCGCCCCGCGGTCTCTCTCGGCGCTGCCCGTGTTGCCGGCGCCAGCTTCGCGCTCCAGAGACGGGAACAACTCGATCGCTGCACACACAACCGTGCAGGGTTCATACTACATACTGACACTAACTATTTAACATGCAATCAAGTTGAACTATACATATATATACCTACACTCGGCCTGAGTGGAATTATCTCAACAACAATACCTATCGATTGAATAAGATAAAGATCGAGGATAATCTAACCTCCACGTTCAATGGTCCCTCGAGCCGGATATTTATTGCAATATGTAGATAATAGTCCGTTTAATATAATTAAATTTCTTTTGATAAGATAGCTTTCCGAAAAAATAACTATATGACTATTCGAAAGTGCTTAAATTTAAATTTATTTAAATAATGGATTTTCTATTATATTCTAAATATAACGATTTCTGAAATCTTAAATTTTTTGATACCTGTATATAAAAGTTTTGTTCTAGATAAAAAAAAAAATAAGTGGACAAATTGACACAATTTAAAACAAAAGCAAATTGTAGTCTGATCTGTGCATTCAACCTCATATTTGAGACAGTACACATAAGTGTAATATAGCTTCAAATAAAAAAAAGTTCGTACCGTCGATCTCACTATTAGCGAAGGCGTAGTGGAACCACTCCCGCAGCGTCTTGAACTGCGGCGGGAACAACATCGCGCGCGTCATTCGGCACACGGTGGCCATCGACTGGTGCCCCCCGCCCCCGCCCCCGCCCCCGCCCCCGCCGCCCGCGCCCCCGCCGCCCGCCGCGCCCCCGCTGTCGCCCAGGCTGGCCGTCAGGCTCTGCACCACGTGCACCTCCAGCGAGCCTGTTTGTATTAAGCATTGGTTTGTGTTCAATTTAGTATTCTTCTAGTCGCTAACTGGTAGTGACTGGAGTAAAAAAAATATCGAAGTTTTTTGCTGCGCGCGAACTAACCTTCATCATCAGCGACTTGCCGTGCTTCAGTGGAGAAGCTGATGCAGGGGTCCTTGAGACTGAACAGCGCCCAGGACTTGGCCTTGAAGCTGGTCCCGTGGAAGCAAGCCAGCGATATGTTCGTGCCGTGTAACTCCATCGTGCCACCTACCACAGTGCCTGGCGTACATTAATAATAATAATATTAACCCACAATTAACACAGCGCCATCTAGTCCTAAGCTAAGCAGAGCTCGTATTATAGGTACTAGACAATTGACAAATTCAAATTAAAATATCTTTATTCGTAATAGATACATTACAAACAGATAACATTTCTACCATCTATATATGTGATAATCTAAAATCCATAAAGTAATATATCTCAGGACAATTCACATTCACACAGTGCCCTTTAGTCTTAATATAAAAGCTTGTGTAATAGGTACTAGACAACTAATAGGAATACAGACATTTTTTTTTGTAAATCCATAAATAATATATATGGAAACCACCCACACCAATACAAAAAATAACACTAATGAATACAAATGTTTGAATGTCAGCCATTGAATGTAAAGCAGTATGCTAAATCGCTATACCACCGTGACTGTATATTTATTTATTCTTTATTGGACTTAAAAATATGTGTACTATGGGACACAGTCCATTCACCCGCAACATGTACAATTACAATAGTAACTGTAGATAATATAATAAAACGCTTTCATAAAAATAATTATTATTTCATAAGAATACCATTCGATTTAACTATAAAAATAAAACAATAAATTCCAGAGCACTGAGCTGTTATACCTTGTAATTTTACTGACATATCTCACCGTTAAACCGAAACACATCTAACAAAGGCTGAAATAGGCGAGACCGAGGTACACACGCAGACAACTTGTTTCACAGCAACACACAAGTTACTTGCTCATTCTTCTTGTGATGAGTATGCATTCCGAATGAGCGGTAGAATAAGAAAAATGTGACTATTCAAAAGTGCTTATATCTATAGTGTAATTTTGTGTGTAAAAATTATGCATGCTGTGTCTACATCTAGAAGGATGTATTACTTAAATAGTTTGTATGTTGTGTTATGTGTTATGTAGTTGTTTTTTTGTGTATAAAGTTATGTACTCTGTAAGACATCCAGTTTTGTAGACCTAATCTTATATATAAAATTCTCGTGTCACAGTTTTCGTTCCCATACTCCTCCGAAACGGCTTGACCGATTCTCATGAAATTTTGTGAGCGTATTGAGTAGGTCTGAGAATCGGTCAACATCTATTTTTCATCTCCCTAAATGTTAGGGGGATGGAAAATAAGTTTTTACCCCTAATTTTTTTTTATATTAAGGCAAAACAACGTTTACCGGGACAGCTAAATTAAATAAAAAAGCAAAAGTAAATAAAAAAAACATCCCTTTCTTTCCTTCAAACTTGTCATGGTTATGTGTAATATTAAATTGATATATGTCTATGTAGGTATATGTTGTGCTATTATTTGCACCACCTACACTTTTTCATATATCTACACCGTCTTAGGTAGGTTGCCTGTAAGAGATTGGTTAGCGATGAGGCCACCTTTTGTAATCATGACTGTATATATATATTTATATCAATTTATATTTTTCTGTAATTGGTGCAGTAAAGTGTATAAATAGAATAAGTAAACAAGTTTATTTGAATAAAGATTATTTCTATTTGTTTGTACAAAGTGTAATATGTGGTGGTAAGTTTACCGTTAGCGGGCAGCGGGGTGGGCAGCGTGGAGAGTCGCAGTCCGGCCACCAGGTCGAGTACGCGCTGCCAGTGGCGGTGGTGACGCAGCTCACCACCACCGCCGCCACCACCGCCACCACCCGGCTCGCCCGCTGCCGTCGGGTGCGGGGCCGCTGTTATAATCATTTTTTATTTATTAGGTACAGTAATATCGTTATAATATAAACGTTATTTTATACTAGTTGACCTACCCAACTTTGTCTGTATAACACTTAGTATATATATATGAATGATTTTACCCCTTTTTGCAACATATTTCACGGATGCTTCGCTTCTATTGGTAGTAGCGTAATGTTATATAGCTTAAAGCATCCTCGACAAATAGACTATCGAACACAAAAATATTTTTTCAATTCGAACGAGTAGTTCCTGAGATTAGCGCGTTCAAACAAACTCTTCAGCTTTATAATAGAGAAGAAGATATATATATATATATAAAGTAATGTAAATAGAAATATTAATTGAATAAATAAATATTGTTTAAATTCAATGCAGCCATGTTAAATCTGTTAAACTCACGTTCTCTTTTGTCTCGCCTCGAGTTACTGTAGTTCGGGTGGAGCGAACTGAACACCCGCTTGCTGGACTTGAACTGCTGCGTGAAGAATTCCTCGAGTTTGAGCTGCATCTTCAGCAGGTCAGGCGTGGTGCTTCGACTCATGAGGATCTGAAGTTGGTGCCAACTCAGTGTTCCGTGTGTCAGGATCATGGCCGGTCTGAAATGCGTATCGTAGAATATAAATTGTATAAAAGTCATTGTAAAATGCATCTAAGTTCATCAGGATATGGTGTCCCATCCTAATTTCAGTGCAATTGTTGTAATGAAGGTCCGGTACTATATCGTATTTGTTGAAAAAACAGCGTCAGCAGCCATGTACTCACCCGGAGGCCGGTGGTGACGGTGGTGACGGTGGTGACGGTGGTGACGGTGGTGACGGCGGTGGCGGGGGCGGCCGCCAGCGGTCCCGCAGCGCCTGCCGCAGCCGCGACACGCGCGCCAGCAGCACGGGGGTGCCCATGTACTCACCCGGAGGCCGGTGGTGACGGTGGTGACGGTGGTGACGGTGGTGACGGTGGTGGCGGCGGTGGCGGGGGCGGCCGCCAGCGGTCCCGCAGCGCCTGCCGCAGCCGCGACACGCGCGCCAGCAGCACGGGGGTGCCCATGTACTCACCCGGAGGCCGGTGGTGACGGTGGTGACGGTGGTGACGGTGGTGGCGGCGGTGGCGGGGGCGGCCGCCAGCGGTCCCGCAGCGCCTGCCGCAGCCGCGACACGCGCGCCAGCAGCACGGGGGTGCCCATGTACTCACCCGGAGGCCGGTGGTGACGGTGGTGACGGTGGTGACGGTGGTGGCGGCGGTGGCGGGGGCGGCCGCCAGCGGTCCCGCAGCGCCTGCCGCAGCCGCGACACGCGCGCCAGCAGCACGGGGGTGCCCATGTACTCACCCGGAGGCCGGTGGTGACGGTGGTGACGGTGGTGACGGTGGTGGCGGCGGTGGCGGGGGCGGCCGCCAGCGGTCCCGCAGCGCCTGCCGCAGCCGCGACACGCGCGCCAGCAGCACGGGGGTGCCCATGTACTCACCCGGAGGCCGGTGGTGACGGTGGTGACGGTGGTGACGGTGGTGGCGGCGGTGGCGGGGGCGGCCGCCAGCGGTCCCGCAGCGCCTGCCGCAGCCGCGACACGCGCGCCAGCAGCACGGGGGTGCCCATGTACTCACCCGGAGGCCGGTGGTGACGGTGGTGACGGTGGTGACGGTGGTGGCGGCGGTGGCGGGGGCGGCCGCCAGCGGTCCCGCAGCGCCTGCCGCAGCCGCGACACGCGCGCCAGCAGCACGGGGGTGCCCATGTACTCGAGGCGCAGCTCGAGCGCGGCCAGCCGCACGCCGCACACGTGGCCCGGCCAGCTGCCCGGCTCCTCCGCGATGTACACTGCGGCAAGAACACGCGCGTTACACACACACACACACAGACAGAGCACGGGGCCACTGGCCCAGTGTGGTTCTAGACTAGGTCATGTGGGGCCTACACTAAGAAGAAGCGGCCGAGAAAATGAGGAAGGGATTAGATTACTGCTTCAAACGTAGGTGAAGACGGCGAAATAAAAACGCTGGGGCACAGTTAATGTTGATAGTGATGGATGAGTTTCGATGATATATTTTTTAATATATGAAAGAATATAGACTAGCAGCTCTCAGTGAGGGATAATAAGATGGGGATGAAATCAATTTGATTAGTCCGTGTCAAGGAGGCGAGTGAGATGACGAGGGACGTACCGTAGGTGTCGATGGAGGCGAGTGAGATGGCGAGGGACGTACCGTAGGTGTCGATGGAGGCGAGTGAGATGGCGAGGGACGTACCGTAGGTGTCGATGGAGGCGAGTGAGTTGGCGAGGGACGTACGCGCGGTGTCGATGGAGGCCATGAGATGGCGAGGGACGTACCGTAGGTGTCGATGGAGGCGAGTGAGATGGCGAGGGACGTACCGTAGGTGTCGATGGAGCGCGAGTGAGATGGCGAGGGACGTACCGTAGGTGTCGATGGAGGCGAGTGAGATGGCGAGGGACGTACCGTAGGTGTCGATGGAGGCGAGTGAGATGGCGACGGGACGTACCGTAGGTGTCGATGGAGGCGAGTGAGATGGCGAGGGACGTACCGTAGGTGTCGATGGAGGCGAGTGAGATAGCGAGGGACGTACCGTAGGTGTCGATGGAGGCGAGTGAGATGACGAGGGACGTACCGTAGGTGTCGATGGAGGCGAGTGAGATGGCGAGGGACGTACCGTAGGTGTCGATGGAGGCGAGTGAGATGACAAGGGACGTACCGTAGGTGTCGATGGAGCGCGAGTGAGATGACGAGGGACGTACCGTAGGTGTCGATGGAGGCGAGTGAGATGACGAGGGACGTACCGTAGGTGTCGATGGAGGCGAGTGAGATGGCGAGGGACGTACCGTAGGTGTCGATGGAGGCGAGTGAGATGACAAGCGGACGTACCGTAGGTGTCGATGGAGGCGAGTGAGATGGCGAGGGACGTACCGTAGGTGTCGATGGAGGCGAGTGAGATGGCGAGGGACGTACTGTAGGTGTCGATGGAGGCGAGTGAGATGGCGAGGGACGTACCGTAGGTGTCGATGGAGGCGAGTGAGATGACAAGCGGACGTACCGTAGGTGTCGATGGAGGCGAGTGAGATGACGAGGGACGTACCGTAGGTGTCGATGGAGGCGAGTGAGATGGCGAGGGACGTACCGTAGGTGTCGATGGAGGCGAGTGAGATGGCGAGGGACGTACCGTAGGTGTCGATGGAGGCGAGTGAGATGGCGCCCCCGACGATGCCTGCGCGTGCGTCGAGGGAGGAGCCAGCGAGTGCGACGCCCACCAGCATGTTGCGGTGTCCGGTGCTGCCGATGCTGAGGCGGCCCGTGCAGTTGAAGTCGCGGCTCTGCCAGCTGTGACACATTATAATTACGAATAAGTACTAATACTTAAGGAACTCAGGATAACTGTGCCTAAAAATGTATCCTACAAACCTCTACATGATACGATGACTTTTTAATAATGGGGAAAAAGGGTTTGAAGGACCAATCTTTAGAAGTGAAATGGTATTACAAATAGCGTTGTGGTGATATTCGGCAAGGCTCGCTTAACCAGAGCACACCATTCTTGATATTCTTGGCAGCGAATCTGTTAAGCTCTACAGGAACCTGCTAATGCCCCTAGTTGGTTTTTTGATTAATTTAGGTTTAGTCGATTAAATTTGATCGACTGTAAAAATCAATTACTTCAGAATATTAACGTTGTTCTCGAACCTGCATGCAGTAAGTCCAAGATAAAAAGAATACCAGGGACGGAGTATATGGTTATATAGTGGATGTTGCATAGTTTGATTTGACCCGAACATTTTTGTTGTTGCACTATCAGCTTCGATAAAACTAATAGTCTAAAATAAAAAAAATACGGTTCAACTAATCGGTGTCGCACTATCTCGTTTCAGCTAGTAACATTATTGGAAAATTTGACATTTACACCTGTCCTTTAGTATCTGAGATTAAAAACCTGCCTATGGTATTCAAGATTCGCGTGTTGTATAATAGTAATAGTAACATAACATAATTATAATAATCGAAGGTGTGATGTACATACCTGACATTGCCCATGACGTTCCCCATGTTCATGTGTACGTTGAGGCGCGTGAAGTTGACCGCGAACAACACAAGCGTCTCCCACGCCGCCCCCACCGCTGGGGGCTCTTTATTATCTGAAACATTGAAGAAATTATAAATATTTTTATTCTATATATACTTTATACATAATCGAGTGTGAACATCGTGGTTTATTACCCTGAATAACATTAAAAAAATACACATACAATAGACACCAAATAGAGCATAATTCACATCACTAAAAACTTAAAACTCTCAAATATAATACAATCTTCTTCTGTAGGTGCCATCTCCTGTCGCAGAATGGCGTTCATAAAGCGCGATACAATACTAGATACATCAAAATAATAAACATTTAAAAGTCATCTCTCAAACTCAAAATCACTATATTCATTACAGACTATAAAATTTCTGCCTCTTGTGATAAAGCGCGTCTAATTTCATCTCTATTACTTACATAGGACACGGTAGGGAACCTGTTCGGCTAACTACATCAGTTGAGAAAAACTGGTAAAAAACTCATCAAGTAAATTTTTTTTGTTAATATAATTTTTTTAGTCAGGCTATCTTTAAACATTACATACCTTATATATAAATAAAGGAGACAATGATACTAAAGAACCATACAAAAAAATACAAAAGCAAACATTTGTATCATCCATCAAAGAATCGAACCCGAAACCATCGCGAAGTAAAGCGGTGTGCTAAACCGATTCACCACTGAGACGGTCTAATAAATAATCTTTATTCAAGCAAAGTTGATACAAACACTTTTGAATAGTATTATTTTCAATCAGTTATTCAGAATTCAAATTTCGCCAGTATATTTTATAATAAATTTTGTGATTACTTACCTTTAGTTTTTTGGTATTCAACAGTCTTAGTTTTCTCTCTCTGAGGTAGTACAGGTGACACCGGTACATTGTTACTTGACCTGACAATAGCAACAACATTCATAAGAAATATTTATTACAATATAACATTATATTACGATGTAAGTGCGTTATGGTGGTTCTAACACACAAGGCGAAATTTCAGCCTGAGGCGACGGCGAGGGCGTAATAGAGCCGAGTGTGTTAAATACGCACATATACCGTACGACGTTTACAACAGTTGTGGGGAAACAGAATAAAAAATCATGATATAATATATTGGTAATTTTTTAATTAGATAAAAGCACGCGTGTGGGGGCCTAGGTGCGGGGGTCGGGGTACATAGGTGCGGGGGTCGGGGTACGTACGTGTGGGGGTCGGGGTACGTACGTGTGGGGGTCGGGGTACATAGGTGCGGGGGTCGGGGTACGTAGGTGCGGGGGTCGGGGTACGTACGTGTGGGGGTCGGGGTACGTACGTGTGGGGGTCGGGGTACATAGGTGCGGGGGTCGGGGTACGTACGTGTGGGGGTCGGGGTACATAGGTGCGGGGGTCGGGGTACGTAGGTGCGGGGGTCGGGGTACGTACGTGTGGGGGTCGGGGTACATAGGTGCGGGGGTCGGGGTACGTACGTGTGTGCGTCGCGCGCGTTGAGGCTGAGGTCCCCGAGGAACATGCGGCGCACGATGGTCGGGGTACGTACGTGTGGGGGTCCAGGTGCGGGGGTCGGGGTACTTCGGGAACGCCACATAGGTGCGGGGGATCGTGTGTGTCGCGCGCCTGAGGTCCCCGAGGGACGCCGCATGTCGTACTTGAACCACGCCAGGCCCACGTCCACGATCGCTGCACACCATACCACAAATATTTACTACATCACTACACCCACACACTCAATCACTCACTCGCTCTCTACACACACCTTTTATCATTCTCTTTAATCTATTTCTACGTACACGTCTTGCTACTTATATTAACTTAAGTCTAGTATATAAAAGTCTCGTGTAACAGTGTATGTAACAAAACTCCTTCGACTACCAGGTGCTGAAGGCCGTAGAAAAGTTTTACACTAGTCTGAAAAAAAATTATTATATGCTGTCTTTCGAATGTATTATTCAGAGTTCCCAAGTTCTCCACGAAGTAGGTTATAGAAATAAAAATAATCTTTATTCAAATAAACTCAATACAAGCACTTTTGAATAGTCATATTTTTTATTCTACCACTCATTCGAAACGCAGATTCATCACAAGAAGAATGAAGAAGAAACTTGTGTGTTGCATTTTTGAATATATTTTTTTTTATATACGGGACGTGTATGCAGGCACATCCCTTTAAATATATTATATAAATATGTCCACTCACTGGAAAACCGAACGGTGGCTTTGGACTGATCCTGATCTGAATGGAAGTCGAGCTTCCTGGAGCGCGAGAGGTGGAACTTGACGAACTCGACGTTGATGCTGAGCGAGTCCTTCCGCTCGGAGTCGGAGAGCGGCGACCACTGCGCCTCCTTGAGGCTGGACTTCTTGCCGCCGTACGGGTGGAAGATGTACACAGAGAAGTCCGCCAGGCACCCCGTCACGCTCAGCCCGCCCATCGCCACCGCAGGCTCCGCCATTTCTCTATTAACATACCAATTCGACACAATAAAATATGTTCTTCCTTATTTTGTAGATGCAGAGTATAATTTTGTTATCCATTTTGACACAATATAGCTATCATTGCACAGGATGGCCAAATCCTAGGGGTTTAATACTTACTATACGTACGTACTACGCACCAATGCATTTCATTTATTAATTTCATTAACAACACTATAATTGATGGCCTCAGTGTTCTAACGCATCTTCTAAGCAATCTATTCTTTTTTCGCAGTTCTGATTCGAAAGTCTCAACTGTCGTCAGGAATAGTAATATAAGAAATAAGCATGGATGTCAAAAAATATTTAGAACATTTTTGACAGTCATATAAACATGCAACAATTACCATTTCAATAAAATAAACTGTCAGTTTACTTTAAATTCTGCGCACGATATTAACTACTTTACTACTGCTTACTACTTTATAAATCATAAAAAAAATACTTTTGTTCAACTCAAAAGATGGGATACATTCTTTCTGAACTGACGCGGGCGGCCGAGTCCGTAGAGAGTAATATAATAGGAAGGGTGTACTGACTCGTCGCCGGCGCGCTTGGAGCTGAAGACGATCTGCAGGCTGGGCAGCTGCAGCAGGCACTCCACGCGCGACGCCGGCAGGCAGCTGAACCGGAACGTGGACGGCTGCATGTGGAAGTGCACGATCACGTCCACCGGGAACGACGCGTACACGTACTGCCCGTACGTACCCGCGCCCCCCGCACCCCCCGCACCACCCGCACCACCCGCGCCACCCGCACCCCCCGCACCCGCGCCAGCCTCGCCCCCCGACGCCTCTGTACCAATATACTCAATTACAGATATGCAAATAATTTATTCTGTTTGGTATTAGAGCTGGCTAATATGATTTAGGAGAACTACCGAATCTGAAACACGTTTGCATTCGTTAAAGAGTATATTTAGAAGGATGTGATGTGCATGTACCCACAGCAAATACCATATGGCAAGAGCCAGTAGACAGTAGAGCAACTCCTGTATGTAGGCCCTGCATATCCCTACCTTTAATCATGCATATGTATATATACATTATATATTCATATAGAACATTTTAACCACTTATGGTATGTCAAGTTTTTTGTATTATTTGTTTCTCCACTGTCTATTTTCGAAGTTGAAGAACTAACAAAAAAAACTAAACAAAATTACAATGTTTTTATATATATAATGTATATTAAACATTGTTAGGGAAAGTACTCTCTGCTACCAAAATGTTAGGGAATTTACTATGTATATATATATAGGGAAAAATATGTGTGGAAACGTCTGTCACGTACCTGTATGGTTCTGCGGATTTCTTGAGCTTCAGGGTCTCGAAGGTATCTTCGCTAGCTTTCCAGTTTCACAGTAGGTTTCACAGTAGGTTTAACACAGTTCTAATTTATTTTAATTCACAACACAATGCGCGCGCGCGTCAAGGCCGCTGTACGGTCAGTTCAGTACTAGTTAAGGGAGGGGAAGGGAACGCGCGGGAACAGAAACTAACGGACTCTAATATAATAATCTGTACTTACGATGTTACAGGGTAGACTTTGAACAAACATGAAGGTATAAAAGTAACATAACATACCCGATGAGGAAGGGAAGATGGACGCCTTAGTGGGTATGGGTTCGAGCGTCTGCTCGAGGAACTCGAGTATGTGGGGGCTGATGATGGTCTCCTCGGGGATGCTCTGCAGCGTGATGTAGGCGAACAGCGCCGCCTTCTTGGAAGCCAGGCGGCGCGCCCACGCGGCCGGCCCGGCCTCGCCGCCCGCACCGCCCGCACCGCCGCCCGTGCCCGGGGAGGCCGTGTCTTCTGGCACAGTCTTAGATTCGTAGTGTACCTATACACATATATTAACTTTTTAGTATTACTCATAGAAAATATATTTCCTGTATCAATAAAAAAATATTATAATAATTTAGTTTATTAATAAAAATATTTTAATATTTTACACTAGATTTATATAGAAAGACACAATATAGGATACATAAGTACGTTATGATGGTAATGACACACGAGGCGGAATTTCAATCCGAGCCGCAGACGTGTGCGTAATAGATCCGAGTGTGTTGAATACACAAGTATATCGTACGATGTTTTTCAATACGTTCAGTTCGAAATTTGAAAAATTGCAATTAGTGCTGTTATGGAATATAATTTCACTATTAACGTTTATAATGTATGCTTATTTTATGAGCCGCTTTATATATCGAAAACCTACTAGCCTATCTACTTTACGAGTAAGTGTGTTAGAAATATATTTATGTATAGATGGTAATGGGACCTTGAGGTGCAGGCCGGGCACTCTGAACACGGTGGCGTCGAGTGCGGGCTGGTGTCGCTGGTGGTGCTGTGCGGGCTTGCGGCGGGCCGCCGTCGGGGACCCACCGCCGCCGCCACCACCACCGCCGCCACCACCACCGCCGCCACCGCCGCCACCGCCGCCACCACCGCCACCGCCGCCGCCGCCGCCACTAGTCTCGGGCGCCGACAGCCCGCCAGACGCCGACCGTCCCACACGCATACGCCCGCTGACAAATTATTGAACAGTTAGACAAGGTCTTACTTCGAATACTGATTAAGTATTCTCGAATAAATCAAAATTATTGATGATTGATGTACAAAAAAAAATTTTCTTTGTACATCAATCTAGTATCAGCAATAAATAAATATACTTGAATATGGAAATATCGTAGTCTAGATTTAAATATTTTGTTCCAATATTATTATGATTAATGATGACTGATACATCCATTATATTTGTGAATGGCTGTTGCTTGTTGGGACTGTTCAGATTACGGCCACTGATTAAATTATTTGACTTTCACAAAAATGCAATAGCATATCTCAATGGTCACTATAATTTAAGTGATTATCTTCCCTAATTGAATTTAAAAATGAATCTATATTTTTCTAATCATATACAAACTCATTTCAAAAAAATAAGAGCTGTAATAGATCTACAAGAATAAAGATATTTTGATTTGATATACTCACATCTTGATGTCGTCTTCCCGGGACGGCTCCTTGGTGTGTAGGACGCATTTGCCGCTGTTTATGTGTACCTTCACGTCCAGTTCGAAGTCAATATTCGGCTCTGAGGTCTTACTCTTGTTCTGTTTGCTGTCCGCATTCGCACCGTCTGACGATGGGACGCTGAAAATCATATTAATAAATTAGAAATGGCTAAAAATTTTAACTGCAAATATTTTGGTTTAAGTATTGATTGATAAAGAATATTAATGAATTATACTCTATATGTATTATACATAAAAAATAATTCTTATTTCCGGCATAACGCACTGTTATATAGTCTGTAATTAACATTTAAAAATTCAGTGTTGGATTTTATTTTTAACTTTAATGAGTCAATCAATACACTAACTAGAACGTTAGAGTTTTCAACTAAACTTTTCAGATTTGTAATATTAGTAATATGTATATAAATAAAAAGGAATTTGAAACTTTCAACGGACAAGTCTGTTTGGACGTCGTCGGCCCGCGCGACTGCGAGCAATGCAGCGGGCCGCGGCTTGAAGGTGGTGCGAATAGCACCGAACCGGCTGCCCACACTTCAGATCTCGCTACCGAGAACGAACACGAGCACGTGCGTGCGTGCGCATGCGTAGGCGTGTGTTCGCTATCGTACCCGTACCCGCCACCGCTTCCGCCGCCGCCGCCGCCACCACCACCACCACCACCACCACCACCGCCCGTCATCGTACCCATGCAGGTGCGGGCGCCGCAGGTGCAGCAGGTCGAGGTCCGAGAGGTGCGCGAGGTCCGCCAGCCGGTCCAGCTGCTCCTCGTCGGCCCGCCCGCCGCCGCCGCCGCCCCCACCACCACCACCACCACCACCGCCCGTCATCGTACCCGTGCAGGTGCGGGCGCCGCAGGTGCAGCAGGTCGAGGTCCGAGAGGTGCGCGAGGTCCGCCAGCCGGTCCAGCTGCTCCTCGTCGGCCCGCCGCCGCCGCCGCCACCACCACCACCACCACCACCGCCCGTCATCGTACCCGTGCAGGTGCGGGCGCCGCAGGTGCAGCAGGTCGAGGTCCGAGAGGTGCGCGAGGTCCGCCAGCCGGTCCAGCTGCTCCTCGTCGGCCCGCCGCCGCCGCCGCCGCCACCACCACCACCACCACCACCGCCCGTCATCGTACCCATGCAGGTGCGGGCGCCGCAGGTGCAGCAGGTCGAGGTCCGAGAGGTGCGCGAGGTCCGCCAGCCGGTCCAGCTGCTCCTCGTCGGCCCGCCGCCGCCGCCGCCGCCACCACCACCACCACCACCACCACCACCGCCCGTCATCGTACCCGTGCAGGTGCGGGCGCCGCAGGTGCAGCAGGTCGAGGTCCGAGAGGTGCGCGAGGTCCGCCAGCCGGTCCAGCTGCTCCTCGTCGGCCCGCCGCCGCCGCCGCCGCCGCCGCCACCACCACCACCACCACCACCGCCCGTCATCGTACCCGTGCAGGTGCGGGCGCCGCAGGTGCAGCAGGTCGAGGTCCGAGAGGTGCGCGAGGTCCGCCAGCCGGTCCAGCTGCTCCTCGAGGCCCCCCCCCGCCGCCGCCGCCACCACCACCACCACCACCACCACCACCGCCCGTCATCGTACCCATGCAGGTGCGGGCGCCGCAGGTGCAGCAGGTCGAGGTCCGAGAGGTGCGCGAGGTCCGCCAGCCGGTCCAGCTGCTCCTCGTCTGCCCGCCGCCGCCGCCGCCGCCACCACCACCACCACCACCACCGCCCGTCATCGTACCCATGCAGGTGCGGGCGCCGCAGGTGCAGCAGGTCGAGGTCCGAGAGGTGCGCGAGGTCCGCCAGCCGGTCCAGCTGCTCCTCGTCGGCCCGCCGCCGCCGCCGCCGCCGCCACCACCACCACCACCACCACCGCCCGTCATCGTACCCATGCAGGTGCGGGCGCCGCAGGTGCAGCAGGTCGAGGTCCGAGAGGTGCGCGAGGTCCGCCAGCCGGTCCAGCTGCTCCTCGTCGGCCCGCCGCCGCCGCCGCCGCCACCACCACCACCACCACCACCACCACCACCGCCCGTCATCGTACCCATGCAGGTGCGGGCGCCGCAGGTGCAGCAGGTCGAGGTCCGAGAGGTGCGCGAGGTCCGCCAGCCGGTCCAGCTGCTCCTCGTCGGCCCACCGCGCGCCGCCCGCGGGCAGTGACCGTTGCCGCTGCACGGCGCCGCTGCCGCCACCACCGCCACCACCGCCGCCACCACCGCTGCTACCACCGGCGGCGCCGCGCACGGACGCCGACCGCACCGCGCCGCCACTCGACGCCGCCCGACCGCCTGAACGCAATTTATTACGAATTTTTTTTTCTTTATTCATAACTAGCTGTGGTCGCAGTTAATTAACGGCACCCGCGTAAAATTTATAACCTTTGTATTATTCTATATAAACTATATTATTGTAAAGTTTCATTAAAATTCATTTAGTGGTTTTTGCGTGAAAGAGTGATAAAAATCCATCCATCCATCCGTCCACACTCATAAACTTCCGCGTTTATAATATTAGTAAATAAGTAACAGTACACATACAATTAAATGATCACATCATACTCTATACTTCAAAGTACTGACATATATATATTGCTAACAATATTATTATTAAAGAAAAATATGTTATAAGACATTTGAATAATTTAGCTGAAAAATTCAGGACATACTCTAGTAGGAAAAATTGAAATTACCGTTGATGGGTTCACTGTCCATGGAGCTCCAGCTGCTGCCCTCGAGGATGTCAGCGAGGCGGTTGTCGTCGTCGGCCAACAGCAGCGTCTCCCCGGAGTCTCCGACACCGGTGGGCATCACCAGGTTTGAGTCTACCACACTGTTACAACCATGAGCATTGGTTATTGTAATAATAGTATACCATTTACCCGCTGATCTCCAGTTTACCCTTAATTGTGGCGATTAAAACACTGACGAAATATCGGGAAATTAATAAAATAAATAAAACGTGGTAAGATCCCGTGATTTTTCCTAATTGACGGTCAATTAATATAAACAAACAGTCAGTTCTCATTTACAATACGATTACAATTCGTGACAAATGTGAGTACATATTAGGTGGTGTACATACCCGTGGAAGTGTTTTCTGGCGTGCGAGGGCGAGGGTGGTGAGGGTGGCGAGGTTGGCGAGGGTGGCGAGGGCGCCACGAACGAGCGACTGCGGTTGGAGCCGAGCCCCAGCTTGCCCTTGGTGATGGAGCTGGCGCGCACGCTCTGCCGCCGCAACTTCTGGATCATATCCCTGGACACCCACCACCACACTTAATGCAAATATTCTAAGATCTCTATAGCATTTAGCATCCGCCCCGCCTGGTGGCTACTTGTCTAATATACATGTTTTACATATTTTTACTATGAAGCATACAAGTAGATATCATTACATAGTATAAAATAAAGTCGCTGTCGCTGTCTGTCCCTATGTATGCTTATATCTTTAAAACTACGCAACGGATTTTGAAGTGGTTTTTTAATAGTTAGAATGATTCTGGAGAAAGGTATTATATATAATACATGAAGAAGGTTATAAATAATACATGTACAACCGGGCGAAGCCGGGACGAGTAACTATGTAATAAAATAGGGATTGAATTGAGACACCTAACGGTAAGTGCTAACCATTGCATATATCGACATGACCAACACTACGTGCTTCATGTTACATTTATTCAGAAATTTAGATAAATAATAACTAATAATGAAGCTGTGATATAATCGTCAATTAATTATTATGAATCACTAATCGTGCTACTCCAAAAATGAGTCAAGTTAAGTGGGCAATATTTTGTTATAAATAAATGCTAAATAGTGACAAATAATCATATAGTCCAATTGATTATAGATTATAGCCTATGAACACATGAAATACTATGGACGTCAGAACAACAAAAATAAACTTTTCACAGGTTTTATTGTAAAACCATTTCTACATCACTAATCTGTAGGGTATACTGAGCAAAATTTATTATAACAAAGACAACATCGTATACCACAGAATCGTAATAATTTTGTAAAACCTTAGACAATATCCATAAAACAAATTACTAACTTTCGTTAAACAACACTTGGATAAAACCAAATTGTTATTACGTTACTTTTATTAGTATAATCGTTAACTTTTTACAAATCGGATGCCTTACCTCCTGAAGTCTTTGAAGACGAGCGCCTCCAGCTCATGGAGGCGCTTCATCTCGTGCTCGATGGTGGCGTGGCTGGCGCCGAGGGTGCGCAGGTCGTTGATGATCTTGGCCTGCTCGTTCATCTCCTTCTCGATCAGCTTGGACCTCTTCTTGGAGTCGATGGTGGTGTCAAACACGAACGCCGGCAGGTGGTCGGTGTACTTGCGCCGTAGCACTATACTCTCCTATAGACCACCAAATATATCTCATTCAAGCTTTTATTTTTGTAAGCAACTTACCTATACTCTCCTATAGACCACCAAATATATCTCATTCAAGCTTTTATTTTTGTAAGCAACTTACTATAGTTCCATATAAGTCTAATAAAAGTTTGACCACTTCAGTGTTCTAACAGTTTAGGGCCGCGGGTTAGATTCCTCACGCGGTAAAATTCATGTATCAATTCATGAGTATAATAGTTTGTATCGGTCTGGGTGTTTCCTATGTATATTATGTATGTATTTTCGAAAATATTTATATGTGTATGTATTAATAATAATTGCATATCACATATGCTCTGCTTAGCTTGGGATAAGATGACGTTGTGTAAATTGTCCAGAAATATTATTATTATTATTTTATTATATTTTAAAACTTCCGTGTTTAATACACATTGTTACTATGTGAATTACATTGTTCAAACCATACAAATATTTGAAATAGGTATAGTTTGGACATTTCGGGTAATCTCTGGCACTACTTCTTCAAGAAAATTCTTTTAAAATTATACAGTCAATTTTTTATGGAAAGCTACAGCCTATATATAGCTTACGATAGGAGCGGGGCTATAATGAAAAATATGGCAAGGGAAAAATGTGACGTAGATGAAGGTTCGCGGGTCTGCTAGTATAATAGTACGCAATTGGAAGTTTTGACTATTTAATCATGATGAAGTTCACATTAATAGTTTTCCGCGACATCGTTGGGATGTATAATTTGGTCAAACGGGATCAAATACAGCCTATTAATTGACTCTTTTTTATTGCTAAGTATAGCCAAGAAATACAAAACAAATACCCAAATAGTAAGTATCAAAAAATAAGTTAGGATATGAATAGTCAATTTGTACCCAGCGTGAGGATATGAATTCCCTGTCGATGACAATGTTACAATTTTAACAGTTCAGTAAAAACGTACTTGTGAGTCTTTACTATTGTCAGCTTCGTCGTCTAGATCACTTTCGTATTCCATTTTCAGCGGGTCTTCTTCTTCGAATCCTGAAACGTAAAAACAATATTACATATATAAATCTAATTAATTCGCTTTACTTCCGCTGGTCGCAGGTTGGGTTCCTCGCACGTTACAAACATTTATATTCTTGAGAATTAATGTTCCATTGATAGCTTTATGTGGACTTGGTATCATACCAGTGAGCATGGTGAGCGTGTGTCCGAGCGCAGACAGCTGCTTCCCGACGGACACGTCCAGGTGTATGTCCACGCCCTCCATCTGCCACGACACGTTCAGGAACCATTTTGCGTTCTCTACAGTAACAATTAAGATATTTTATGGTTTTGGATGTTCATTACGTTGTGCTTATATTATGTTTAAAACAAATAAATATTACGAACGAGTTAATGAAAAATGAGATTGATTGCGCGTAAGATTGATAATGCCATTCCACTTTCTATTACGTATTTTATTCCAGATATTGTACTTTTTTCAAAGACGCGTTTAGGAGTTATAAATTAGCAAAACTTCTATAATTATGACTTTGCTCCATAGTCAGGTTACCGCCATCTTGTAATGGAGGGCATCTGACTATATATTAATAAACCATGCACGATTGAAGGAAGTAGGAATGCGTGCGTTGGCGGTGCTCACGGTCACTTTGTCTACATTTACAGGCACGTTCTTTCCTGCGTGAAAATAGATTCGCACGTAAAAGAGCGTACGTGTCTTTACATGTACGCTCTTTTACGTGCGAATCGATCGATCGATCGATCTTTTGCGATCGAATCGCAGCCATAGTTTAGAGTGGTTATATAATGTAGTGAGAGCGTTACCGCATTATACTACTAACGTGGTTGTAGCCCACTCATGCTTAAACGAAATATCTCCTTTGAAAACTATACACTGTATCATGAGGATATAAAAACCATCCCTCCTAAGAATATCTTTAATTCATATCCTTGACGAGTCGAGGCATTGATCTTTGAAATAGGGTGAGCACAATAGATCTATGTAGGTCGCAGTGCTACAAGTCTAAGGCACCAGACAATAGCCCAAATCCGTCAATAAAAAGAATAGAGTAAATACCGTTGTGCTTGGCGGCGGTGGTGCGGCTGCAGACCTCGTAGGTGCCCTCGGAGACGCAGCAGACGTTGGCGCGGCCGTCGGGCCCGGGCTTCCAGTCGTCCAGCGAGGTCTCGAAGTCGTCCGCGAACCGCAGGCACAGCCCCACGAACCGCCCCTTGGACACCAGCGCGCCCGAGCTGCACGCCGAGATGCTGGTGCTCTCCAGCGTCACCACCACCGCGCCCCGCGACTCGCCCTCGCTCCACGACGCCTGACACATACGTATCGTTTCGATATTTGAAACACGGGCGGTAAGCGAAATCGAATAAAATCATAATATCTTTATTACAGACTCTTATGATACGTCAATTCTACCATCAGATCGGAATGCCTTCGAGCCAAGAAAAACATGTTATTTGAGCGGAACGCAGCGCGGGTTGATCTTAAAGATCAGATTTGTACTCTTTGTAACGGTACTGCTTCTCATTATTGAAGACCGACCTGCGGGCCTACATCGTTTACCACTAAAAAAAAATTCAATCGGTCAAGACCGAATTTTAAAAATAAACGCACTCCGCTCATCCAGCGACCTGGTATATAAACAATACACTGATAACAAACCCAATTAAATCTTATTGTATCTCCTAATATATTATTTATCGCCATAATATATAATATTTATATAAATCGCCATATAATATTTATATAAATAAAATAAATAATATCTGCTCTTTGGCACACATGTTTACTCCGCGGTGTCTGCGTGGGGAATATCTCCCCACTCCACCTTACGATCCGTATGCGATCAGCGAAAGAGACGATTGACTCTCTGTCTCTCTTTACTCTCTACTACTAATGTTGCAAATACACTACAAGTGCAATACTTAACCGTACAAATAAATAACACTTACCAGCGGTGGTTGATTAAGCGGCAAGCAGATACCGATATCGTCCACATTGAGCTGAAGGAACAGCGTACTCAGGTGTGGCGTAGACATCTGCGAGGTCAGTTGAACCTATCGTACACATCGGTAACTATGAATTAATATTTTATTGGACGACGTTATCAAATTCAAGTTTAAATTAAAAAATAATTTATTCATATAGAACATATTAGCCGCTTATGAATGTTATTTTTTTTACATTATATTTTTAATTTTTTCCTTACCGTCCAGTTCAGTATTCAATCCAATTGAGAAGAACTGGCCAGAAACTCAATTGTTTTTTTTTAAAGTCAGTTTATTTATCATATAATACATAAATACAATTTTGAAAGACGGTTAAAAATATAATTAAATAAACCCATATATCTATCATTACCATTAACCAGAATCATTCGAAATGCCAATTTGAATTTAAAGTACATTTTCCTAACACCTTCGTTCTTATCATTGTTATTCGTAACACCTTCGGCAGTGTTCGGGAAAGTCACGTGATATCCGACGACGATCGGAGCATACATGACCTTTTTGTGTCGAGTCTCTGTCAGTAATTGCCATTCCAATATCAAAAATGATAATTTGGCGATGGTGATGTCTTCTTTACACAATTTACCATCAGATGTGCCGAATACTTATTTATTCACCATATTAGTATGTATATGTTTGTATACTTATATATGTATTTTATTTTATCTTTCCAGCTAATTCTTTCTATCTTTCTCCAATGTGGTGTTGGAGAAGGATAGAAAGCTAAAATAAGGAATGACGAAGTGCTTGAAAGGGTTAAAGAAAAGAGACAGATCATAGATATTATTGAGAATAGGCGAGGAAAAATGTTGGAGTACTTGATACGAAACGACGAACTAATTAACAACATTATTGAAGGAAAAATAGATGGAAAGAGAGGAAGGGGAAGACCAAGACACAGCTATATCAAGCAAGTTAAAGAAAAAGTTGGAGTCGTGTCGTATCAACAGCTAAAGGACTGATAAAAGATCGTGGAAGGTGGCGGGAGCTCCACCGACAAGAGTACAGCTCTTAAATTATAAATAAATGAATGTGTATCTTAATGATTAGTTTGTTATACGAATATATAAATGCGATGGTTGTTCGTTGGTACCTTCTCCAGGACCTGTTGCGTGGCCGTGAGCACCTCCTTGTTGAGCGTGAGCCGCTTCTCGTTCCAGTACTCGTAGGCGTTCTTGTAGTTGAGCCACACGAGCACGGCGCGGTCCACGGCCACCGGCTGGATGTACACCAGCGGACGCTTCAGGGTGATCAGCACCACCTCCTTGTCGGGCCCGGCCACGCTCTCGTCTTGGAACGCGTTGCGCATCGCTACCACGCAACCACAACAACATGTTCAGAGATCCACCGAGATACAAAACCAAAGATGGAAACAAAACACTGATTGCAAACAATCAAAAGTGGCAACTCTAATAAACCATCGATTGACTCGTACTGAATCTGGACAGGCACAACGGCCCAAAAGGCTGATTATAGGAAAATAGAGTCCAACATATAACAATTTCTCAATACACACACATTCACACAGGACGGAGGCGATGGTATACCTAGAGGTCACTCGGCTCTACCAGCACAATGAATCGAAAACGAGATATGGCTGATATCTCGTTTTGAAATGGAGTCCAATGCGCTACATAACAATAATAGTAATAATACATCTCACAGCGCCATCAATTCACACAGGACGGAAGTAGAATTTGTGTTGCGCTTGTGAGACTAGATAACTGACAAGTTTGACTTAGACATATTTTTAATAATAACTACCAAGATTGATACAATCAAATGATTGTTTCACTGATTGACTCATAAATACAAATTTTTATACCATTCGCGGAAAAATCGTACTGTTGAAAAGCATCGCCAGTAAAGCAGAGTGCTAAACAGCTAGACCACCGAGACCGTCTATTTATCATAATATCTTAGAGCCATCCATACGAATATTCATATATCTAGTCCCCAGCTAAATAGAGCTTATGGGTATTACACAACTGACTGATGAAAATACTGGAGACACTTTTTTTTTTAAACTTACCGATTCTGGTGTTGAAAAACGCGTACTGTTGAAATTCGGGCTCCGCTTCCTCGAACATCGCGTTACGTATTACTTGACCCAGACTTAGGTTGACGTCCACCTACGTACAGAAAATATTTATCATAATAGTTGACTTTATACTGAGTGAGAGATTCTAACAAGAATATGCGCGCGCGCATACATTTACGTGACTTTTCATAGTTAGTGAGAGAAAAAGTACCTGCGCGCGCGCACGTTCTGCACTCTGTTGTGAGAGTGAGAGAGCGTGCGTGCGAGTGAGAGGGGTACCTGCGCGCGCGCGAACAGCCGCAGGTGGTGTCCGCCGGGCCGCTGCGGCACGTTCTGCACTCTGTTGTGAGAGTGAGAGAGCGTGCGTGCGAGTGAGAGGGGTACCTGCGCGCGCGCGAACAGCCGCAGGTGGTGTCCGCCGGGCCGCTGCGGCACGTTCTGCACTCTGTTGTGAGAGTGAGAGAGCGTGCGTGCGAGTGAGAGGGGTACCTGCGCGCGCGCGAACAGCCGCAGGTGGTGTCCGCCGGGCCGCTGCGGCACGTTCTGCACTCTGTTGTGAGAGTGAGAGAGCGTGCGTGCGAGTGAGAGGGGTACCTGCGCGCGCGCGAACAGCCGCAGGTGGTGTCCGCCGGGCCGCTGCGGCACGTTCTGCACTCTGTTGGAGAGCTCGAACTCGACCGCGCCCGTCTCCAGTCGCACTGCTGAGTTGCTAGGCGTCGTCGCCGTCAGCTGGATGCGCTGCGACAGTACACACACATAAATTAAACACTTGAAACCCGTTCAATTATTCAGATACTTGACGGTCTCGGTAACATAACGATTTTAGCCACCTTACTTCTAATAGTCGCGGTACAAACATTCGTATTCATGAGTACGATTGTATGTATCAGTCCAGGTGTTTTATATATGCATATATATTACATATAGATTTACTTAAACAAGTATAAATATTAATATCAGTTGTTCATATTACTCATAATACAAGCTGACGCGCTGCATTGTGTTGTGAATTAAAATAAATTAGAACTGTGAAACTGGAAAGAGAGAGAGAGAGAGAGAGAGAGAGAAGCTTCTACTCATTTTTCACTATATATATACAAATAGTAAAAACATAATAACCTAACATCAGTTGTTTAAACTCTAAAAAGCTCTGACTTGGGAGAGAGATAGAGAAGAAATAAAATAATAACCCTGGACAACTCTAAAAGCAACAACTGCTTTGTAAATTGTCGAGGGCTATTATTATTACATTAAATTCTGTAAATACAAGATACTGAAATCTACATACCTTGATTTTGATGATAAGCGTGAACAATATTTTGCTAAGCGCCGACGTAGATGCTTCCTCTTCGTTCCACAGCGGCACAGGCTTTTCGCCGCCGTATACTTTCTGTACAACTTCGTTCACTTCCTGCAAATAATTATTATTGTCTGAGGGAAATATGTGAAACTTGCCTACATATTTAAAAATATTTCATTTTGATTTTATATTCCATACTGACGGCTGTCTCTATACTTATTTATAAAACAAATTTAAGCGTATTTGCCAGTTTTCATATAATGGAAATAAACATATACAAATCGTTTTAGAACTCGCAAAATGATATGAAAAATCACGTCATTCTAATGTTACAGTTAAGTACAAAAAATAGCTGTAATCGTAACTAATCACTAGATATGACTGTATAAAAAACTTATAATCTAAATTTTAAGGTTTTCAATTGATTGGTTCAGAATCAGTCAAATATATTTAAGTGTTCCATATACTAATTACGGCAGATGTAGTTCTTGAGTATAACTTCTTTACTTGGGCATACTATGAGAGTGTAGTACCGTCGCGTGGGGTGCAAGATATGTAAGCATTTATCATCTATTATGCTACCTCATAACTAATATTACGGAATCAACAGTTCATCCACTTCAGATGTACATAGTGAAATGGATGTTCAATTAAATTAAAAACAACCTCGAATACAATTTTACAAAATCTTTTACATATGATATATATATAGAGATATAGAGTATAGAGAGATGTTAATAAAAAACAGTTACCTTCATAAAGACCTTCTGCACGAAGACAAGATGGTTGAGCAGGTCGGTGGAGAGCGTGTGCTCGAAGAGGCCGATGTCTGCGGTGGCGGCCAGGTAGCGGCCCGCGCGCAGCACCACGCCCTCCAGCGGCTCGGGCGCGGGGCCCGCGGGGCCCGGGGGGCCCGGGTGTACCGTGGGCCCCGCGGGTCCCCCGGGCCCCGCGCCGCACGTGTCCAGCACGCGCGCCGCCACGTGCACGCGCGGCAGCGCCACCGACGCCGCCGCCGGGATGTTCGCCTCCGTCTGCGTCTGCGTCTGAAGGACATTTCGAGCGTTAGTTGAGCCACTACACAAGGGGGTAATGACACCGATAACCCTGTACCATGTCGAGTTGACCTCCACGTGGTAAATTCCTGGTGAAATTGCTATTTTGGGCTAACTGACCTGACCTTATGCTCGTCTAATTATCCTCCACTGATGCCCCGCCAGCAAATACCGTTAGAGCAGAGGGAATCAGCGTTCTAATGACGAATGGTAATGTTGTTGATATACGGAAATGATTACATAAAAAATACGCCCTATCATGAGTACTTATTGATACACACTAATAAAAAAAATATATATATAATATATAAGTGATTCGATATTTTGTTAAAGACTACGTACTGACCTGCAGCTTAGTGACGAAACTTAGAGAATGCTGCGGCAGATCGATGGTGAATTGCGCCTTGTGTCCAGTGACACCAGAGCTCTCTACTTGCTCCATACGATACTGCGCCTGCAGAGACGGCAGCAGGGCCGCCGTGATGCTCAGGCTCTGTGATTAACCACCAAACAATTATGAGGCCTACGAGCCGGATTAAATAGCGATTTGTACATGAGCTGTGCAGTCGCAAAATAACTTTTGTGCGGAATCAATTGTGTAAAACATATACGAAAATATGAACATTTGTTACTCTATTAGTATTTTATAAATTAAACTAAATCAATCAAATATAAACAATCTTATATCTATTTGAGTAAATTAATGATACTTCAACTCCTGTACCTGTAGTGTGACGGAGAACTGCAGGTGTAGCGGGTCGAGGAGCGGTCGCGGGGGAACGCGGGGTGGAGGCGCGGGGCGCGGCGCGGGCGGGGGGCTGCCGTCGTCGTCCGAGTCTGGGGGCGCGGGGGGCGCGGGGGGTGCGGCGGCGCGGGGCGCGCGGGGCGCGGCGAGTGTCACTCCCAGCTCCTGCAGCGTGGTGGACAGCTGGCGGCTGGAGCGCGTCATGACGCCGTGCAGCGCTACCGGGTGCTGCGGCAGGTCCACGCGCACGCCGCCCACGTGGCCGAGCGCGGTGCCCCCCGCGCCGCCCGCACCGCCGCCCCCGCCCGACACCTCCCACGTGTACAGCGCCTGAGATTTGCCCACGCTCACGCGCACCACCGTCCTGCGTCAACCGAGTTTAATACTACTTTAAGCGATTATTCGTATCTTATAACCACACACAATTATATAACTAGTCACATTTATGATAATTTTATCATATTAATGATACAATTTATAGAGATTTAATTAGATACTTTAACTTTTAAGTAATGAAGATTAATTGTATTCGATTTTCTAAAATTCAATCGACGACATTACGATATTTATAATTACTTTATTATAACTCTTAATTACTTTACCAAATTTATTTAAGTCAAATATATAGTACTATGGTATGATATACAACTGCATGGTATACGGACTGCGCGGCGGGCTGCTGGTGCGGCTGGTGCTGGTGCTGGTGCTGGTGGTGGTGGTGGTGGTGCGAGGCGCCCTCCAGCAGCACGATGGCGGCGCGGCCGAGCGTGCCGGCCAGCGAGCGCGGCCCGCGGCCCGACAGCGAGCCCTGCAGCGACGTCAGCTCCGCCTCCAGCTTCAGACCCGACAGCGACGCCAGCAGCCGCGTGCGGTGGATCCTGACACACGCACACCACTCTACATCTGTATCGCGCTCACCACGACCACTACTGCTACACGGTTCACGATGGGCTAACAGACCCGACCTCATGTTCATCTTATCATCCCCCACTGATGCCCCGTCAGCGTAAACCGTCAGCGCAGGTTGACCCATCATTCCATTATCGTCAATTTAAAAATTACTGTTACACTATAGCTGACCTACACGTGTAAATAAACACATAATACACATAAGCTGTCTTGACACGTACGTTCTTTGACGCATGAATAGTTTTTCCACAAAAGGAATGTGCATGTAAATGTAGATAAAATGAACGAGAAAAACCGAGGGGGCCGTTAGTTTGCACATTGCAAAAGATGCAGGTTACATATCACGCAATATATCCTTCGCGTTTCTACGGTGAAGCGACTTTTCGACTTATTTTCTTTACGGAAGTTGCTGGCGGTCCGGTCGCGGGAGCTGAGCCCGGCACTGCTCCGGGATGTCCGTCCACACGAGGGGATGGGGTGTTACCTGGCGATGCCGACGACGACGAGTCCGCGGGGCGCGGCGGCGGAGGAGTTGCTGGCGGTCTGGTCCGGGAGCTGAGCCCGGCACTGCTCCGGGATATCCGTCCACACGAGGGGATGGGGTGTTACCTGGCGATGCCGACGACGACGAGTCCGCGGGGCGCGGCGGCGGAGGAGTTGCTGGCGGTCTGGTCCGGGAGCTGAGCCCGGCACTGCTCCGGGATATCCGTCCACACGAGGGGATGGGGTGTTACCTGGCGATGCCGACGACGACGAGTCCGCGGGGCGCGGCGGCGGAGGAGTTGCTGGCGGTCTGGTCCGGGAGCTGAGCCCGGCACTGCTCCGGGATGTCCGTCCACACGAGGGGATGGGGTGTTACCTGGCGATGCCGACGACGACGAGTCCGCGGGGCGCGGCGGCGGAGGAGTTGCTGGCGGTCTGGTCCGGGAGCTGAGCCCGGCACTGCTCCGGGATGTCCGTCCACACGAGGGGATGGGGTGTTACCTGGCGATGCCGACGACGACGAGTCCGCGGGGCGCGGCGGCGGAGGAGTTGCTGGCGGTCTGGTCCGGGAGCTGAGCCCGGCACTGCTCCGGGATGTCCGTCCACACGAGGGGATGGGGTGTTACCTGGCGATGCCGACGACGACGAGTCCGCGGGGCGCGGCGGCGGAGGAGTTGCTGGCGGTCTGGTCCGGGAGCTGAGCCCGGCACTGCTCCGGGATGTCCGTCCACACGAGGGGATGGGGTGTTACCTGGCGATGCCGACGACGACGAGTCCGCGGGGCGCGGCGGCGGAGGAGTTGCTGGCGGTCTGGTCCGGGAGCTGAGCCCGGCACTGCTCCGGGATGTCCGTCCACACGAGGGGATGGGGTGTTACCTGGCGATGCCGACGACGACGAGTCCGCGGGGCGCGGCGGCGGAGGAGTTGCTGGCGGTCTGGTCCGGGAGCTGAGCCCGGCACTGCTCCGGGATGTCCGTCCACACGAGGGGATGGGGTGTTACCTGGCGATGCCGACGACGACGAGTTTTGCTGGCGGTCTGGTCCGGGAGCTGAGCCCGGCACTGCTCCGGGATGTCCGTCCACACGAGGGGATGGGGTGTTACCTGGCGATGCCGACGACGACGAGTCCGCGGGGCGCGGCGGCGGAGGAGTTGCTGGCGGTCTGGTCCGGGAGCTGAGCCCGGCACTGCTCCGGGATGTCCGTCCACACGAGGGGATGGGGTGTTACCTGGCGATGCCGACGACGACGAGTCCGCGGGGCGCGGCGGCGGAGGAGTTGCTGGCGGTCTGGTCCGGGAGCTGAGCCCGGCACTGCTCCGGGATGTCCGTCCACACGAGGGGATGGGGTGTTACCTGGCGATGCCGACGACGACGAGTCCGCGGGGCGCGGCGGCGGAGGAGTTGCTGGCGGTCTGGTCCGGGAGCTGAGCCCGGCACTGCTCCGGGATGTCCGTCCACACGAGGGGATGGGGTGTTACCTGGCGATGCCGACGACGACGAGTCCGCGGGGCGCGGCGGCGGAGGAGTTGCTGGCGGTCTGGTCCGGGAGCTGAGCCCGGCACTGCTCCGGGATGTCCGTCCACACGAGGGGATGGGGTGTTACCTGGCGATGCCGACGACGACGAGTCCGCGGGGCGCGGCGGCGGAGGAGTTGCTGGCGGTCTGGTCCGGGAGCTGAGCCCGGCACTGCTCCGGGATGTCCGTCCACACGAGGGGATGGGGTGTTACCTGGCGATGCCGACGACGACGAGTCCGCGGGGCGCGGCGGCGGAGGAGTTGCTGGCGGTCTGGTCCGGGAGCTGAGCCCGGCACTGCTCCGGGATGTCCGTCCACACGAGGGGATGGGGTGTTACCTGGCGATGCCGACGACGACGAGTCCGCGGGGCGCGGCGGCGGAGGAGTTGCTGGCGGTCTGCTCGCGGGAGCTGGGCCGCGCACGTGGTGCCCGGCATTGCTCCGGGATGTCCGTCGACACGGAGAACCTGATGATAGTGTAAGGGAATAGATGATACCGATTCAAACGGTGATTGAAATTAACTCATTGCTTTTATTGTGTATATTCAATAAGCTGTGGTAGATATACAATGAAATTACAGTCATAATTTTTTCTTTTTTAAAGTATGGTCTGGCTGATACGCGCTTGTGGAGACCACAAATAATCCTTATTGCTCGCTTTTGCTGTCTGAGTATTTTGTTTATATCGGTAGCATTGCTCCAAATTGTCACTGGATAAGTAATTAAGGACTGAATATAGGCGTAATATACAGACTTCAGCGCTTTTTTGTTAACTAATGATTTTAATTTACTTAAGGCAAAGTTGGCTGACGCGAGTTTATTACACAGTCTTCCGATATGAGATTTATTAATTAAAACGAAACTGTCAATAAATTTGACTCCTAAGAATTTGTACCTGTGCATGATGGTCTCTGCGTCGGGCATGTTGGCGTACAGGTCGAGCAGCTGGTACACGGTCCGCCAGCAGCGCGGCGCCAGCTTGATGTCGGTGGCGGGCGGCAGGGCGGGGCCGGGGGACGGCCACGGGGCGGGGGCGGGCGCGGGGGCGGGGGCGAGGGGGGCCGGGGGCGCGGGGGCCACCGCGGGGGAGGGGGGCGCCGGCGGCAGCTCCGCCGTGAACATCGGCGTGTGCGCGCCCTCGTTAAGCGAGCTGTACCCTGAGCATTTACAATAAAACTCGGTCACCTAACACAGTCTACGTCAAATCAGTTGAATACATGTAAGTTCTTTCGCGAATAGGTTTTAATGCTACAAAGAATATGCATGTAAATGTAAACAAGGAAGTACGTACTCAGATGTTAGAAGTCATTCGAATCTGGATTGACAATCACGAGAATGATCTCTTCCATTATTAGTGTAGTAGTGCAATGAATTATTTATAAGGTGAAGTTTTATACAATCTAACTTAAAACTTTTTCTCTTTGATCAAAATAAAATGTTTAGTGTATGTAGTTTCTGTTCTTTTATTTTATGTTTTTTTTTTTAAATTATGCACCAATTTTTATAGAATATACTTTTGTTGACCATTACTATAGTGCGCACGTGTACGAATACGTATGGGAGGGGTAGTTACCGAGCTTGCCCTTGACGCTTTTGCTGGTGGAGCGTAGCTTCTGCGCGAAGGACTGGGGGCGCGGGCGCGGCGCGGCGGCGGGGCCCCCGGGGCCGGCGGGGCCCGCGGGGCCCGCGGGGCCCGGCCCGCGCTCCGCCGGCTCCTTCTCCAGCGACGACGACACCACGCTCTCGCGGAACTCCGACACCGACACTGCCCCAGGAACACACACTTCATTCTAATTTGTATACTAATACATAAAGCTAAAGGATTATTTTAGATCGCCTTATCTCAGTAGGATTTGAACAATTATTCTGACATTTTATAGGATAATGTATGAAGATTATAAGCTAATACTCGTATATGTACCGAACTATATCTATAACTTTTATGCACCAAATTATGTACACCAAATATGTACAATATGAACATAATCTGTAATTTAAAAATAGGTAACATTGCATTCTAGTCCTCCGAGCCGGATAAATTACATACTACAATCGCATAAATGACTAATTTCTAAACAAGCTTATCTGTAATAGTACCACTAAAATATACAATTTTAATGATATATTAATACTAGACTTTATCTGCTGCTAGAATTTTCTACGCAATATCAACAAAAATTTTAGATCGGTATGACATACCTGACGAGGATGTGTGTTTATTCTGTCTGTGTGATATCTTTGTCTGAGTACGCAGTTCAGTCTGCGTCTCTTTCACGTTCTGGTACATGTTACTGATCTGGTGCAGCAGTCGTAGTAACGGCATGTTCACCTGCACACCCATACAATGCAAGCGTTTCCTCATATATCCAAAAAAATATCGAAATAAAGCAGGTTCAACCGCTGACATATTACATTTGACAAAATACTTGCATATGAAATGTTACGTTCCTACAGACTTTATTAAGATATATTCAACATTCAAAATCAAAATGTATTTATTCATGCAGGTCTATTCTTAAATCTACTGTCAGTTCAGAGTGCTTTCGAGCTGACGAACGAACTGACAAATGAACAGAAGAACTGACACGAAATCCAGCTCATATTTCTTTCAAATGATATTGTACATGATTAGAAAAAAAAATCATTTTTAAATTCAATTAGGCAGAATGTAGAGACCACTAGTTTATGGTATTGCATTTTTGTCGAAATGAAATAATCTAATCACAAGTATTTTTTTCCGGAAGCTGGCCTATATAACTTCACTGGATGAGAGGGGGCGAGTGCAGATGGCACTCCAAACCGGCGGAAGGACTTATCGGACGTCTAAAGATCAACTATAAAACTATAGAATAGAATTTTAGTCTAAGGGCACAGCTAGGGGTTCAAATCTCGGCTCAGGCTGTCATAATTTAGATCTTCGTTTGAATTGGACGGAGGATCGATCGGAGGGGACCTAATTACAAGCAGCCGTTCACGAGTATGACGTATGTCACAGTACAAACCTGTTGGGATATGAATCTAACGCTGACGTTGAAGTTAAGCATGGTGCTGATGTGCTTCTTGAGCTGCCCGCGCGATATGTACAACACGTTCTGTCTCTGTATTAGATCGTCCACCGTCACGTCCGCCACTTTCTTCATGTCCACGTCTATCGACACCTTCTCGCATAGGAACGCTGGCGTCTCTGACGGTATATCAGTATGACTCGAGTTGCCTGTAACGATGGGATGTTTTTTTAATAATAATATCCTTAGATTATTCACACAACACCATCGAATTCCAAGCTAAGCAGAGTTTGTGTCTGGGGTACTAGACAACCGATATAAATATATGACACTTTTTATGTGAATACATACACAAGATACATAGAAAACAATCAGACCGATACAAACAATAATACTCAAGGATACAAATGTTTGTGGCGTGCGAGGAATCGAATCCGCTACTATCGGAAGTAAACCTCTAGACCATGAAAATCATTGTAATTCGGATCAATAAGGTTTATTGTATTTAATTGTCCCATATAATACATGATGCGGTGGTATAACAGATATGTAGGGTACCTTTCCCCTTGGAGTGGCGCCTGTCCCTGGCGGGCAGGTGGCTGACGACGATGTCGATGCGGAAGGTGTCCATCCAGGCCAGCAGCGACAGCCGCGACCCCAGCGACTCCAGCGCCGGCGCCGCCTCGCCCTCGCCCGCGCCGCTCTTGTTCCGACTCTCGCCTGCAAGCCAACACTTGTTACACCGCATCGTTATAACACCAACAACCTAACATTCTCACGATCGACTTATGAAAGGTAAGTTTACCTTTCATAAATTTGCCATGAGAATATTTGTTGTCTGATTAGATAACATTTAATTTGTTGGAAACAGTTACGAAAATTGACGAGGAGATCTATTTATTTACCGCTGCAGTGTAGTATATTACTACTTAAAACGGCTTTAACTTGAAAGTTTTATGGTTACAGTAACAGAAGTGTCTAACAGATACCAACCGGTACTAAAATAGTACGGTTTGTATTACCGTTATTGAAAGAGCTACTGAAGTTGGCAGCATCAGCGTATGCATCAGTACTCACCGTGTGCGACCTGGTGCGGGGACACGCCGAGCGCTGCCAGCAGCGGCTGGAATACCAGGTGAGCATCCAACAGCATTAAGGATCCCTGCAGCGGGTACAGGCTGCACGCCGGCAGCGACGCCGCCATCGCGCGAGGGTTTATCTTCGACGCAGGGAATGGTTTCTTGCTCTTTGGCTCCTGAAAATAAAATAAATTTCATCAAAAATCAATTTTGGTGAACGACACAAATCAATATTGAATACGCTGAACATTGGTCAGATGCTACGGTATAAAGTATAAATGTAAAAAATATTTTGGTAAATAAAAAAAATATGTTCTTACAAGATTCAAGTCTTTAAATTAATTCCATTCAGTTAATTTTATTCTCCAACGTTTGCTATAGATTGCTGTAGCTCGAGCGTTAGTTTAGAAATAAAATCAACTTACAACTTTGATGGGCTCTTGTTTAGCCATCCATTGGTATAAGTCCTCTCTGGCGCGGTCGTTCTTGATGTTTTCGTCGCTACCGTGTGGCGAGTACAGCGACGGGTTCGAACCCACTGTGGGCAGGTCCTCCTTCAGAGTGCCATAGTCTGCACATTACGTTATTAAATTACTTTTTGAGAAATAAATTACTGGTAAAAATATATGAATAAACTACTTAATGTACTGGACACACGAAAATATTTTAATGATAATGACCTATAATACTACACCCAATAAAAAAGAGAATATTTTTTACAGTTTAATAATTCTGTTATATATTCTATAGTCGCCAATTAATCAACCTTGAACACATATCTAACATTACGGAGCTACACTATTTTATGTAATGAAATAGTTGAATTTAACACGTGCTATATTAAATTGGGATACTAAATAATTTTTGATAGCTGAAAAAAGTCCCATAAAATCCATGAAATCATAAGTTGAATATGTTCTACTTACGTACTAGAAGACCGTGTCAGACTGCCTGTTATAAAGGCGCATTCTCATTGGTCGATAATTATATCTCAAAAGAACTCCATTGTAATCGGTTTTATCATGCAGCATTAGATACTCCCTAGCACCCAAACATTATGTGACTTGGCGCTTTTTTACATTTTTTGTGTTTTACAATACAATAACTATATTTTTTTTAAAACATCTTCGACACTGACTGAGTTATCTATCAACAATGTAAGTGCCTTAAGGTGTTAAGTCCACCATGTTCAGCCTTAGTCTGAGTATTAAATTTTAAATCAATAAATAAGATTCAAGTTCTTGAATGTGGACAATAGCTGCCTTTACACGTACGCTCTTTCCCGCCCAAATACGCTTTCACGCAGAAAATAAGGTTCATGTCAACGTAGACAAAAAGAACGAGAAAGATTCCCATTCATTTCATTTCAGATGCTCATTCCTGCCTTCTTCAATCGGGTGTACTTTAGCGCCTTTTTTAATAATTAATTGTCATTGCAAAATGGCTAACATATGACTATGGTGCAAAGACATAATTTGTTAAGTTGTTGATAATTTATAAAAATAAAACGTGTCTTTAGAAAATGAAATTGATAGTATAAAAAATATAATTGACTTGAAACATACGCGCTACCATGCGCAAAAGAGTGAACAGAAAAAATAGTATACAATCACTCACGATATCTTTCCCGCGCTAAATCCCGCGCGCTCCTGTAAGCGCGTGAAAGAACAAGTCGTCTAAAGGCAGCTAATGAAGTCTACATTTTGAAACTTCCTCACCTCTCAATGATTTTTTATCGACCAAGGAATATGCGAACTAAACGTAGAACTTACTAGCAATAGCATCGTCCTGGAAGGCTGGCTTCCTCGTGGAGAACGGCAGCGAGGGGAACGCTAGGCTCGCGCGGCTGCTCTGCGCGCCGCGGACTGTTATTGGGGATGGCGTGATCGTTAGCCACGAAACTACTGTTTAGCACTAATGGCTGCGCTAGAGTTGCCTTTAAATATCGCGTTTTACCCTCATTATAGTACTTTAAAATACAGTACAGATTTACATTAATTTAAGAAGAAATATTTAGTTTAGTACATAGACACAGAAAGTAAGTTTAGGAAAATATATTATTAAATTGATGAATTTGGCAGCTTAAAAAATACTTGTAGAAAAAATAAATAAATGTACAGTTCCAAAGGCAATTCCACAGAAAATTAATACTCCTTTGGAATCTTTAATTTAACCAAAAGTCAACGCGATTGCATAAAAATCAACTCTAACTGAAATGTATAATTAAATCGAGTTACTTTGACACAACACTTCAATAATGGGGAAATATGCAAATGTGTGAATTCAATCAATCATGAACGTGAAGCAGCACTAACATAGAATAAAAAATTATATAAAAATATGATCATGTACGTAAAATTGAATAGTTTTAATGTAATTTCGTGTGACACACAAGCAAGGAAGGTAGCGTATACATAAAGCGTATATAACACAGAGTATGGGCAGTATAATGTGGATGTACAGCTGCATTCGCAGCCGTCGGCGACAGTGTGAACGTAGCATATCACATGCTATCGAGCGTCTATTCAATAACAAGATATTACAACGAATCCAAGACACACAAATGCAAGTCATTTAAAATAAAATATTATCGAAACATAATAAAATGGCTAGATATGAAAAAAATGTACATTTCGATTTGAAAAGTAGAAGTACGAACATATTTATGGTTTTCTTCTGATAAGAAAATTACTCATTATTTTTTTCAGAATTGTTTATATTTGTACACACTATACCAGAGAGCTGAATGCGAATGACGAAATAATTTGACATATAATGTGTACAAAACTCCTTAATCAAGACAGACCGAGCTCATTTTAGCTAAAATATAATTATTTATAGAGAACAATATCACTCTATGGTATACAAGATTTTTAATATCACAACAGATATCAGTCTACTAATTAACTACTAATTCATCACGAGAAAATATCTGAATAAGTCACAAATTTAATTGAAATTTTATAACTGAATAATCATTACAAAAAAAATATATTTTTTATCAAAATTTGTGATATTTTTATTATTTTAGACAGTTTATAATCTATGTAATCAAATTCGTTTGAATTTGATTACATAGATTATAAACTGATTGCCTAATGAACACAGTCGAATCTCTGTCTAGAAATTTGACATTTTATACAAGAATTTCTTAAATGTATAATGTACGAAAGGATAAAGAAACTTTTCTCTAAAAGACGTGGAACGGGGAAAATTCTAAGTAAACTCCGCTCGAGCAATTCTTCAAAAAATATAATTAGTATTATAAATGAAACTGTGTAAATAACAATATTATTTATCTAAGATACTATTAAATCGCTAATCGAAATGTACTTTGTCTAGGTGCGCCTCCTCTAATCAGATATAGAAAAAATAGATTATATTCAATTTTAAATGACTTCAACCAAACGTTGGGATTTGTGATTGAATAAAAAAATATAATATTAAAATTCATTGAAAAGTTATATTTTAGTCAATATGCGATTAACAATACTACTAGATATTATATCGTCTAATAAACAGAAATATGACACTTTTCAAAATTAAGCTAGAATAGCCTCCTTTTACATAAGTCAATAATTTAACCACGCCGTCTTAATCGTTATCTAAATTCTTTTAAAATGATATATAATACTTCTGTGTAAACTTAAAACTTTAAAGGGTAAAATTATTTAAATAAATTTAAAAATTTTAAACGCTTGTCTACAAGACTAGACAAAAATGTACATTTTGAATACTGCCATTTTTATATTTAACCGACGATATGGTTATGTTTTCACCGTCAACAATCATTCTCTGCATTACTTATGATTGCCTGGTAGAAAATTTGCATGGTGTACAAGTGTAGAAAAGAAGTAGAAATAGAATAGAAATATTCTTTATTCAAATTAACATAGTCACTTTCGAATAGTCATATTTCTTTACTCTACTACTCATTCGGAACGCAGACTCATCACAAGAAGAATGAGCAAGAAACTTGTGTGTTTTTCTTTAGAATAAATGTTATTTTAAATAAATAATTACACAATAACAATTAAGAGGCATGCGATAATTAACATAGAATAGTTGTTATTGTTACGTAATCATTTATTAGTGTGATCACTAACTTTTTTCAACAGATAGTGATGATATTTAGTTTGTATTATAAATCAAAGTGGCTAATATAGTAAATAGATAATATAGTATTAGTTTATTATAAGATATATTTTAGGTACATATCACAATTCCCAACGTATAATGTCGGTAAGCATGTGTACGAACCGGAGGGCGGCGTGGATGGGAACGAGTGCGGGCGCGGACTACTGCCCGCCGCCGACGCTACGCACCGACACGCAATCATTATTACGTCATCATTACATGTGCTAGTTAACGCTATGCGTGAATACACTCCTAGTATCTTTTAAAGCAATATCGACCTTACTACGAAAATGTTACAATATAATTTAATACACATATATTTCTAGTAATAAGTATTAGTAGTATAAGTACAGGAGGTAACAGAATATCAGCGCTGCTGATTTATCTGTAGCTTTATGCTGAGTTGGTTGTTCATCTTTGCAGGAAATAATGTCACCTCCTTTTCTATACCTCATGTATGCTATGTGTTTGTATTTGGTGAGTAAATCATTCAATCAAATGAAATATCTATTTTGAATTTTATATATTAACAATTAGATTTTCATTTCATTCTTTCCAAGCATTGAATGATTGTTGGAAAGGGCAATAAATAATGTACCTTAATCATTTTTATAGAGCATCAGCTACTACTGTCCTTTTAAGTAATTTAAATTAGTACTTTTCAATCTTTCAACAAACATGTCGTATAACATAAAACAAATCGGATAAAAAAATTTCAACTTTGAAGAACGAGAAAGTTCTAAATAGGTACTATCCCAAATCCTCGTATTTGAAATATGTATCATATACGAGTCACCAATTTTTTTATAACATTTAAATTTGGACCCTCGTTTTAACAACATTGAGTTGAAAATCTCTTACATCAAAAATCATTTGCTTATTTGGAATAGAGATTGATTTTATAAGAAACGTGAAATAATGTTTATTAACATACCAGGAATATGAAGTTTGTCCGTCTCGATGTTGAGCAGTAGACAGTTCTCGTCCAGGGTCTCATTGTCGAGCTGATACTCTTGCCAGCCTTCCACGGAGTCCTGTCGAAGAAGCTGGTATTGTTTACAATTGACTTTAAAAAATAAATTTAATATTCGACTGCATAGTTTTTTGTATTCAGCGTTATCTTTACTAATATTGTAGGGATTTTTATATTGGCGGTTGACGCATGTTCAGCTCAACCAATCGCCACGAAATTTGACAAGTAAGCAGATTTATAAACAGCATAGTAGCATCACAAGAAAACTTTTATAATGGTGAATCAATATATACCATAAATGAGGATAATTCTATATATACCATATATACATTTATGCGTAAAATTGAGAATTGAATGGCAGGCGATTTCATAAGAATATAGTTATTGTGAATTTCATTCCTTTTAAACTCTAATATTAGTAGTACAATATAAAATTTCTATACCGTCACCTTACAATTTTTTTATGTATTTATATTTACTAAACCACAGATTATATCTATTGTATAAGTCAATATAGTTTTGATAATGTTTACGTGATACCGTATATACGTAAGTATTATAATATTTTGTGTTATGTGCTAGACAATAACCACTCTAAGTATAAATATAAAAAAAATAAAATGTATAGGTACTAAGTGCAGCATTTACAAACAGTGAAACAGTGTCAACTAAATCTAGAATATTTTATACATATGGATATATTTATATTTAGATTAGATAAGGGAGGACAGAAAAAAACAGAGTGAAATGACTATTTATCTAATTGTCATTAAATGAATTTATAACACTTAATTACTAATTAATCAGATTAATTATGAGGATACCGAGGTGCCTTTATACAGTTGTCGGCGTGAGCATCTATCTCATTTACTTCAGCTGCCAAAAAGCATGCTTTTTTTACAATATGAATATTTATTCTCAGAATACAATTCTGTTAACCACTAACCTCGAACAAGGTAACCCTGTGTATAGAAAGCTAGCTGCTTTTTAAGCAGCTGGTAATATAAGGCAGTGGATTTACAGAGTTTACCAATCATCATGACATTTGGTTTAAACGCAGCATTTGATGGTGAAGTATATAAGCTACTTCTTGCTTTAGTAAACTATTATCGCGCGTACAAAATGCTTGATTTACAATAACGATGACATCAGGGACCGCGCAAGTTAAACTGTACATTATTTGTATAAGAATAGCTTTCTAAATTAAATTATCAACATCATTTCTCGTAGAATGTACTAGTAAGTTATGGTAATACTCACTTCGAGCAGGTCCGGCAGTGCAAACGTTACGTTGAGCGGCTTCATCATCTTACTCTTGTAGTTATGTTCCAGTAACAGCGGCGTGTACAGAATGTTCTTCCACTGTCGGCTCAGGACTATCACGCCCTGCAAAGTGCGAACGAGTCGTTCTAGGATGCCTAGTATTTACAAGCGGCTATGGTATTCTTAATATTTAGGATTTCGAATAGGTGTGCAAAAATGGAACCAACTAATACCGCACCCGCGATATTGGGTTTATACAAAGTGGGTGGTTTGGAGTATAAAGTGTAATAATTGCATGGTGTGCTAATACATTTTACTGTTACTGTTTGCAATATTGAATGGATATATTGTGTCAGAGATGTGCTTTTTGTAAATTATTTCTATTACTCTACATTTTTTCAAATTATACCATTAATTTGTGTATAGCTTAGGCAATTTAGCACTGGAGAGTGCGACATATATGTCTTACATAATTTTTCTGTGAAAATTATTACTTAATTCTTACCCCTTTACTAAAGAAAGAAAGTAATGTATTGTGGATGTATGTATACAGCGGATGTGTGAGTACAGGAATATATTTAGAGCATTAGTAGCAAGTATAGTCTAAAAGGCTTATAACGGCAATAGATATTTATTTAATTTCACGTACTTTCAATTGAGGGCTATAACTAACTATATCATAAAATAATACGTGTTAATTTTAACAGTCACATCTGTCAGAGTCAAAATTCCCTTATTCACCTTTCGGTCTTCTTGTTTTGTTATGACCTGTAAGATATACTTTTAATAACACCCTAGTCGCGACTCCAGTATTAAACGACCTAAGAACACGATGGATGGAGAAGAGAGAACGGAAAGTGATTGAGACCTGACACAGGGTAGAGAGTGAGAGCAGGTATGGATGGAGAGAAAGCTTGGTAGTTGAGACCTGTCGCAGGGTGGAGAGCGAGGGCAGGTGTCTGTCTGCGAGGTCTGCCTGCAGCGCGGCGGCGTCGGCCTGCAGCGCGTGCCGCAGCAGCACGCCGCACAGCTGCAGCGACGGCTCCTCCCGCAGCTGCTTCGCCATCGGCGTGTGCCGCCCGTACCGGCTCTGTGCACCGACACCACTAGTTTTAATACCTACCTTTACATGCACATTTTTACACGCACGAATAGGCTATCACGCAATAAAAAAAAGGGCATGTAAATGTAAACTAACAAGAATGACCGCGCGTGCCGCTAGATCGCGCTTTTCCGCATTCTTTTTTTTAATAATTAATGAAATAATAAAATTGCAGATATCTGACCATGGAGCAAAAACATAAGTATTGATATTTTTTTTAGTGATTAGTATGTATTTAAAGATTATTAACACTGCATTTAGTCAAATAAACATTTAGATAGATTCCAATGTTATTTGGTATATTCATAGATCATATTAGATTAAATCGGCCATTTCACGCCATCGTCTATGGGATACAGTTACTTAACTATATAAAAAACCCGTCATATACATTTCAAAAGGTAGTTTGAGGAAGTGGTACCTTGGGCAGCGTGTGGTGAGGCGCGAGGTCTAAGGCAGCAGCCATTAGGCTGGCCGCGGTGGCGGTGAGGCGACGTGCGTGGGCGCGGTACAACGCCACTACTCGAATGCCGAGCCGATTGCACGGGTTCATCCAGGCATTAATGGCTGGCGATGCCGTACTCAGCAGATTCCAGTCCAGTCTTGACAAATATAAACAAGAATTAATATCAAACAATAGTACGTATTAATAAGGTAGTCTATTTCGAGAAATAGGAATACACTTAGCTATTATTAGTAAATGATGGTCATAACAATGAATTGAATGTGTTTTTATAGATGCGAGTACATTTTGAAACTAACAAGATGAAAATGTCCCTACAGTATCAATGCTGTCTGTATGTGATAACATTACAGAAGTTAAGATAATTATATTTGTTCCTGGTTCATTAGTACCTGGTATAATCAATCTTTTTGGTAATCGGCGTGCGAGGTGGAGCAGCGAAATTAAACCAGACCACTTTGAGATCTATAGCACAGGACGACATATTTCCATTGTCCTTCACTGGTACCATAGTAGTGCTGCTATCGTTGGTAGAGGGCTCTTCAGGTCCCGGTGTGGAAGGCTCCGGGGGCACTGGAGGTGGCTGAGCAGATCCTAAGTTCGGAGTACTTGGTTTGGAGTTTGATTCCCTTTTTCGGAACAAATCTTCGAAACCGGTACTTCGGGCTTTAGTATTTCGATCTTTATCTGGCTTTAACTCCTCTGACGATTTCACAGATTCCCTGCAGCTTTCGCTGTCAGTTCGAACTGGTTTCTTCTCCTCGTTTGGTTTATGACATTGTGAGTGCTTAGATACTTTTATCGATATACCTTCGAGACCGCACTCAAACATTATATAGCCAATAGCATTATCCTTTTGTCCGTCAGTTGATCCATTTTGACAACACTAAAAAAAAGTTTCAATTAACAAATAATAACTTGTAAAAAATTACCTCAATAGATATATATTAAGTTGAAATATCTTACCATAGACTCGCATCCTTTAGAGCAAGAGTCCGCTCTCATAAACTTGAAGGCTACTTTCGAATGCTGGCATGGTATGCCAGTTATCGTCGCATCCTTTAGTTGAGATGACTCGTTTCGTATACGTCTTAGCTGACCATGCACCTTGCCTGTCAAAAGCGTAACATTAGACTTAATATATTTCCAAAATGCTAAAATGTAATTAAATTTTCGTTATACTTACCAACATTCAAAGTGATCGTAGTATCCTCAGATTGCTGTTGAGAAGTTTCTATGTATACAGGGTCACCTTTCTCCGGACCTCTTTTTCGTCCAGAACCACCTGAATGCGTGGATATTAATGCTCGAGGACCTTTCATGATCCCAAAGGTCTTTTTACTACCAAGAGCTCGTAAAGTGGGCCTGTAGTATAGTTGCACGGAATCCAAAGTCTTCTTAGAGCTCACATACTTAGCCGTTATGTTCTCCACTGATACTCCAAACAATGACACACACGTTAAATCTTGAATATTGTCTAGGGCAGAAAACGATATCATGTCTTCAACGACGGATGACTGAATGAAGATCATGTTTACTTTAGGCACAGATACAGTGGCCTGGAGTTGGTCGCATATGGTTTCTTCATATACGTTTGAATGCGGTATTGTCGCAACCTTACATTTGTCGTCCTTATCCGCTACATTAGATTGGTTATGCGCCTGCATCTGAGGCAGCCAGTTCATTACATATTGTTTCTGTTTCAATACATTAGAACTTTCAACAGACGAAATACAGAGCAGTCTTAAGTGATTGATCACTGTTATAGGATGTACATTTGCCAATACCGGTGTCAGGGATTCGACGAATTTCTGCGTGCTCTCCAGAACTAGTGGTGTCAACATAATATCTATTTCTCCGCGGAGTTTTATAAACACACCATTTTTACTATCGCTTGTTGTCGTTGCTGTTGATGTAGTACTCTTATCAGTATTCTCGTGGTTATCTTGAACACTTTGCTGGATGTCCCACCAAGCTTGAGGGTAAGGGTGGGCCTTAATTTGGGAATTAAAGTGAGGCGTTAGATTCGAATATGGCCCATGCTGGTTCTGATTATTATGCTCTTTCTTTGATATCAGTTTCAAAATATTATTAACCTTTCCAGTTTGTTCGAAATTTGGCAGATACTTTTGTCCAACATATATCAAAGTACCATCTTCGGCTTTTTTAAACAGAGGCAGGGTGAAGACGTCACTACCACTGGGTAGAGAACAAGAAGCCCAGTTAGAACACTTGTACTGTGGCAAATTATGCATATAACTAGACATCAGCAAAGGTGAGTCTACTATTGGTTTGTTAGTTTGCATATGTAAATTGACAAGAGTCATATCTTCTTGTGATGATATAGCAGATATAAAAGATGTAGATGAAACAGAGCCGCTTTCAGAGTCGGGTTGAGCACCTGTGCTCAAATTACTTATAGTGTCTGGCCCATCCATTATATCTGATCTTGGCATGGAGTTAGTCCATTTTTCATTTGTTATGTCATTGATGCCAAATGAACTTTTATCTTTATGGTTGCTATGCCGACTACCAAAAGAATGTTTCAAACTTGATGATCGACTCGGGAACATGTCTTCGTCAGCAGAGAAGAATGCTTCGGAATGATTTTCACTGGTTATAGACATAGTTCTGTGTACTTCTTGTGGTACAGTGTCCTCTGAAGGTGGTTGCGAATTAAGAGAGTAATGGGATTCAGAAACTCCCACAGTTCTGGATGGAACTTTTGGCACTATAAATGTCTCACTATCAGTGTACGTATGCTTTTTTAGAGTCACGTTAGTGTTATCTTTTATACCACAACTCAAAGCCAGTTTTGAATCAGAAACACTGCTTTCCATTTGAGGCACGTTCAATATACTTTTGTTAAGTTTCGAGTCACTGTCGATTTTGGAACTTCCCAAAGGAATACTCGCATCGACAAGGCGCGCATACGGAACATCGCTCTTAGTACTTGAGACCAAAACGTTATTACTCCCTTTGCTCATACTTGTGTACGAAAATCTTCTAGTTAAGCTTCGTCGTTCTACACTTTGAGGCGATTTGTTGAGATTTTGCGGTAGCGGTGATGGTATTAAAGTTGCAACGTTTGTTGGCTGAAGACATACGTTCAAGCTATTGTAAGGTGGTGTATGAAACACAAGTTGTCCAGGATGCAACAGACTCTGACCATATCCATATTCTCCGGGGGTCGTTTCTATTACATTAAACATAGCTACGTTGATACCTTCATTAAGGTCAGAAGGGTTTGGTTTCAGGAAATTAGGCCCATTTCTGTTGGAACCGAAAAATGCGCAACCACCACAACAACCGCATTGTGTGCTCTTTAATTCGTTTGGCCACATAAACCACAACCTTTTCGTTTTCTCATCGTGTAATTTTAGGAACTTTTGCTGAACAAAATGTAAGTTCTTTGGGCTTTGAGGTAGAGATGAGGCTCCTTCTACCAGCACAGGACCTAATGATATAGATCCAACTCCTACCCAGTTATCGCTGTCTATCTGTTTGCTCTGCTGGCTGCTGTTGCTTCCACTAGAATGATGTGTGTGCAAAGTCGTTTGAGTGTAAAGCGCTAACTTTATATTTGGTAACAATGCTGTGATACCTGTTCCAAAGCCAACACCGTGAAGGTTACAGAAACTCAGTCTTATCGGTGATATCCAAGTTTGCAATGTCGTGTTGGTGTCGGCCACATAGATATCAATCAGATCGACTGCAACTCGAATCATTTTGTATTTTATCTCATTTGAAGTTGGACATCGATACTTTAAAGTAGAATCGGTTTCAGGGCACATGGCAGTGATCATACCATGATGGCAATGTTTAGTAGAATTTGGAGGAACTAATTCGTTCTCACTGTCACAAATTAGCAATAAAAAGGTCTCCAAAGATGAGATAATTTGGTAAAGTTGGGGCAATGTCAAGCGGCCTGTTAATTGTCCTAATTGTAATTCCATCATCCAAGCATATTCTACGGTTTCTTCTTCGGCGGAGCGATTTGTATCACTGAAGAAACCATTCCCTCGCAATTGGAAAGAGGAGAGCATCAGGTGACCTTGGTGCAGTGCCCCTGAATTATTTTGATTAGTCCGTGACATGTTGTTAGATGACACAAGTATTGAGGGACTCAGTAGCAACTGAAGTTTCGTTTCTTTGAATCTTTTGTCCATTTCAAAGCCAAAGCGCTCTATTAATATGACAGGACAAGGTGGCTCACTTTCACTACAATTCTTGACTAAATGTGCCTGAATATCATGAATAATAATCGAGACAGAGACATCCAGTGGTCTGCAGCGTCTAGGATCAAAAGGACTTTTGCTGTTATCTGTTGAGTCATCAATTGAAATCTCAGTATGCTGATTGATGCTACTTCTGTCATTCAACTTTGTAGTGGTCTCATTAATTGGTACTTTTTGCATGTCGGTAAAAGTTTGATCTTCTCCAAATATATTTTCAAGTAAGTTTAGAAAACTTGTTATTATGGTGCCGTAGGCGAGTAGGATCGACGGCCCCACTTCTAGCTCTACGCTTACTTTATCCGGAGGTAATGAAGTACGGTCGAATTTGTTGCCGTCCAACGTCCAATTTATTTGAGGTTGTTTCCTCATTCTGGGTATTCGCATTGGTGATAGAAGAATCTCTTCTTTTTCTGGTGTAGTGATGTCAGCTTGTGGCTCAGGTCCCAGCGGTGGAATTGGATGATAATTATACCTGACACTCAGGGCGACGATAGGGACAGACCAACAATCCACCCAGCCCTGTGATTTTACGCACTTTCTTCGCCATTTCGATGCTTTTAATCTGCAGGGGACTAGTTTCTTATTTTTGTCAATAGACAAGAGTAGCAGCCTTGAGGTATTGACTTCTGGCAGATATAAGCTCATATCAACTGCCTCGCCTTGAATCCAGATTTTCAAAGGTATAACATCAGGTAAGTAATCAATGAATGGTAAGTCAAAGGACACGTCCAAAAGATCGCCACAAAAAGCGACGTGATTATTCTCTTGATTGGTGGAACTGCAGTCAATCCAATTATACTGATTACTCACTGTCACCACCTCACACTCTTTCAGTAACAGTGAAATTTTCCATGTGTATGGAACAAAATGCAATATGTCAGGACGTGACTTGTTCGACCAGTCATTTATCAAATCCTGAAAGAAGTCTATATGTGTGTACACAAGGTGAACAGTTGCTTTGCATCCCGTCAGACCTAGCAGCCAACATTGATGATGGTTCCAAACAAGAGGATAGTGGCATTTGATTGTATATTCCAGTGTTTCGCTTTCTGCCAAGCTTCTATATTGAAGGCTTGTTGTCGCTTCAAGGTGGAGAAGCTGCCCAGTAATTTTAGTGGTATATCCATCTTGTAAGACAATCCATGGTAGAGTGACCTCCAAATAGGATCCAGCTCCAATATTAATGTGAACAGCATTGGTTTCTTTATTTTTTGTGAACAAAATATCAATGGTAGCTTCATTTAGAGTCGACAATCGTATATCGAATGATTGAGTTTGCCTTCTATCGCCAGGTTTTGGCTGTGGTGTCACTTCTAGGTTTTTATAGTTTGGTGGAAAGAAAAATTTGAATAAATTATCTCTTTGCCTGTCTGCCCAGGGACCGTAACTGAAATCTGTGCCTTTGCCACATTTAATATCGACTCCCCAAATAGGTGGTGCTGATTCTACTACGTCACCATTAGCCAGTCGGAGAAGAACAGGTTGTTCCGGAACCAACCCCGGTTCGTCCATATAGAAGTAGACTTCTATGTAATTTGAACTCATCACTACGAACCCTTCACCCATGTATCTAGGTGGCTCGTCTACCATTGCAGTGTAATTAGGACTGGGCGCCAAAATCACTTTGCAGTTTTCTGCTTTGGCTTTTACAAAATGCATAAGATGGTCTAAACTAGAGGCGGGAGGTTTTGTACTGTAAACTAAATGAGATTCTTCGATGCTTATAGACAGAGTTGTCGGTACTAGGCGATTACCAAAAACGACTCTACCCGAGCAGACATCGATTTTAATGACTGGTATGAGATCACGCCACGTTCGGGCCATGGCAGCCTCGGATCTGACTGTGTCTTGCGCGCGGCGTCTCTTCTCGTTAGCGTCATTCATAGCTTTGTCTCTGTCTGTCGAGTCGTCGTCATTTTGCTGTTTAATTCCAGGGTCTAATCCGAATGTTTTTTCCAGTTCATTGTAAAGGTCGCACCGATTGTAGAAATGTAATTCGAAGCCGTTTAACATGATTGATAATCGGGTATCGGAATGTGATAAGTCTGTAAACAATAACAATATTACTTCATGAGTATTAGCATAGATAACATAACACTGTATTAGTGAAAACCCTCAAAATTATGCTTATATGCATTTTCGTCATAATACTTGTAGATAAAATAAAAATGATAGAAATAACGAAATTTGTCGATATTAATTCTACCTACTTAAGTATAATTAGCAGCTAAAAATTGTTTTCAACATACATTTCAATACGTAAGCAATGAATTTGCATACAATAGTGTAAACATAATGTATATAATCACGGCCAAATTGCAGATAACGATATAAAATCGTAATACTTTCTTTCTTTTGTAATTTTCGACGTGCCAGCCGAGACATGTTGAAAATTACAAAATAAAGAAATACATACCTTATAAAGGTATTATGCTGCACCAAATCACTGCTAAATCACCTTTTAAACTAAGCAAAGCAAAGCGACTTTTCTGTCGCCAAACAAGTATTCCTCGAGCACACACATTTTGTATGTACTTATGTGTAGGTCTGAGAATAGGACCTAAACCATTTTTCATGTCCATTTCATGATAAGAGTGTTATATCCCGATTTTTTTTTTACAAACCAGAGATATTTTACTATTAATAAATAGTGATACAATAACTGTTGCCAAATGTATGAAATTACAATCATAGAAGATAAGCAGAAACGCTATCATTATAAATGTGAAATAGATAAAATCCAATAAGGTACAACAATATTGTAATGATAATCATATAAACGTAATTTCTAATAATTATGATTAACAATATGCAAATCATAGTTACTAATATTATAAACGCGAAAGTTTGTGAGCAACGATGGATGTTTGTTCCTCTTTCACTCAAAAACATCTGAACGGATTTTTATAAAACTTTACTGTAATATAGCTTATACATCAGAATAACATATGGGCTATCAATTTCATGCGGTGAAACCGCGGGTGAAATAGCTACTAGTTAATATATGTCTTAGAACAATTAATAATCTTTAAGGTTTAAGTCAACGAATTGATACAATGCAACTCAACGTTCCCACCGTACGCTCCGTGTAACTTGTCATACAAAATGTATGTACGTAGTATATACCTACATATTAAAATGTGAATCAAAAACTTTGTATCTCTTTTTACGGAAATAGCGCAAACGGAGAAGTATGAGCTTAGCCTCCTCCCTCTTTCTTAAACATGGTGAAGTTTAAACTAAACGACCCTCAACCACCCAAAGTTACGTGAATTTTTAAGTACCTATTATAAAAAATATTAAAAAAATTTTAGTCTTAGAAATCTATAAATACTATCTGTATTGGGGGGAAGGGGATTGTTAGTAATGTGGACTAATTATCCCATTGCTAGCAATGTACCTTGTCAGGTCGACCTCCACGCGGTTTCCCTGGAAACCATCGTGATAAATTCCCGGTGAATTTGTCACGTTGGGCCAACTGATCTGACTTCATGTTCATCCTATCATCCTTCACTGGTGCCCCGCCAGCGTAAACCGTTAGCGCAGGTGGGTGCACCATTCCATTATCAACCTTTAAAAAAAAAATACTAAGTATCTGTATTTAAAGATCTCTAAGACTAAAAATTATAGTGTACCCTGAACCTTGATTGTCCTAGAATAAAATTTAATATTTTATTCTAGACTACTCAAGGGACAGCAAAAATCACAAAATATCACAAGGGGGAGAGGGTTGTAGTGTGTATTTATTTTTTCGTCAAACGTTTTGAACGTCGCAGTACACGCTTTTCGAGTCTGAGGCCACTGGTAAGTATACGCTTACCTTCTGAGACATCTTTAGGGACGTAAGAGCGCCACCATCTGAATATCAAGTACCCGTCTTGTATACGTAGAGTGTAGTCATAGTTTATGTACACTATGTCTCGGAACATTATTTTCCCTGAGAGAGCATTGAGTGTGAATGATCCTGTAACAAGAAATAAGAATTTTAAATCAGAATATCTACTTCACAGAATTTTATATTTACTATTTGAAATTAGCGACTTGTATACACTAGGTCTGTAGTTATGTGTTTTCTATTCTTTTTTCAAACTATGCTAATGCTGAGAGAGTGTGACTTAGTGGTTTTCTAACTTAACCCAAGAGGTCGCGAGTTCAAAGTTCAAATCTGGTTAACACTAAAACACTTCCTGTGATATTTATATCTCTCTCTTGTGCTTTCTTAGACTATTTAGTAAAGAATACACCATTACTTAATGGATTTATATAATTTTGTTTAATTCCCCTACCACAGTAACGCCATAATATAATTTAATTAAGTATTGAAATGGACTTCCACAGATAACACTTAATTCAATAAATCGTAAGACGAAACACCATGATGAAACCCAAAATTAATCTAAGAAACATATACCCAGTAAAATGTGAGCATGTTAAGTTATGCCTTCTCGATAACCTCAATAGTAGACATCTCTGAATACCCCATTAGGGATAACAGTCATGATGTTACAGTATGTATCTCATGTTGTTTTTAATGCTGTTAGTCACAGTTAGCTTTTAGTGCACAGTGCACTACAATACCATAGAAGGACTTAAAGAGATATCTATATACATATAGATACAACTTTAGTACAAAAAAAATCAATTAATCAGTCAACAGTACAAAGAACAATATTCTAGAACTCCCTAAATAGATTAGTGGTAGAATACCAATCTTGTTAGCATTAATAACAGTATGAGTACAATGTTAATTTATGACTAATGCACTTATTTATAGTTTCCTTTTTAGTCCTCACACTCCATGTTTGAAACTGTTGAGATTGTAAACCACAGACTGTTTAATGTTTATATAGTAAACTTAATGAGCTTGGTATAAATCGAATATGATTCAACAAATTAAAAAATAATTTTTATTCATATATACCACATCTAGTCATAGTCTTCGACTGATTATAGGACATAAAATAAAATTCATTCATAAGCAACTTCAGCTTATGAATGATTTTTTTGAATGAATGAATTTTGTTTTTCAACAATTCTAAATTATAACATTTATTGATTTAAGTACTAAATTTTAATCTTCAATTTACCCAAAGCTACAAGTATTTTGGTAGATAATATTATAATTTAAGAATTTTGTAATTTAGTACTAGTAATAAATTACAAAATAATTAGGCTTTGCACAAGTTTAATCAATTTACACAAAACTTCTACACATAAACATCCCTAATCACCCTATTGATGGTTGAAAATCGCATGAAAATATGCTATTGAAATTATTACACACATACAAATATGTCACTGTTGTAACTATTTTATAACACATTCCTGTTTAAGTAATATACATTATTTATATTGTTAGCAGGGTCTTAATAAGAATAATTATATGGTAAATAAAGGTATATGTATAGGTAACCTGGTTGAAAGTTCGAAAAAGGTATCCTTTATTTACCATAACATTATTCCTGTTAAGACCTAGTTAATAATATAAAAAATTTAGAAATATTCAGATTTAAAAAAAAAAATTATCAAGCTGCAAATCTGCTTGGCAATTTATCTGTAGTATTGTAGTCCATCAATATTAAATTATTTAAGAAGTGAACAGCAAAAAAATTAACACCTTATTGAAATCGTGTTAGAGTATATTGAACTTACATGGCCTTAAATCTTAATTGAATTAAATTTCTTACATTACAATATAAAAATTACATTATTATACAGTTTACAATTATTGATTGCTTTGTATGTTATTGTAGATGTTAATGAATTGTAATTGTAATTACCAAGCTGGTTAGCCTTATAAGACTTATCAGAATAGAAATTATTACTTTTTCAAACAGTAGTAACTTGTTGGAACATGTAAATTTTGACACAAGGTTATCATGATTTGCAGACTTGAGGAATTGCCTAAGAAGAAATAATCTTTATTCAAATAAACTTAATATAAGAACTTTTGTATAATAGTCATATTTCTTTTATGACATATATCTTTCTTTATAGGAATGTCTATGGGTATAAATTCCAATACACCACACTCAATATAAACCCTTATATAAAAGTATCATTTAGATAAACATAATGGCAAGCTATTTAACAAATGAATGGTAACAGTTTTTTTTTGGGTTGATAATGGAATGGTGCACCCGCCTGCGCTAACGGTTTACGCTGGCGGGGCACCAGTGGAGGTTGATAAGATGAGCATGGGGTCAGGTCAGTTAGCCCATCGTGCAAATTCATCAGGAATTTAACACGATGGTTTCCAGGGGGATCCGCGTGGAGGTCGACCTGACATGGTACATTGCTAGCAATGAGGTTATCAATCCACATTACTAACAATCCCCTTCCCCCCTAATGGTAACAGTTGACTCAGGTATCACACAATAATTTCACTGTCATATATGAGACCATACCCTTCAAGAAATATGTAAATCTATCAATAGTGGGCGGAGGGGATTGTTAGCGATGGAAAGTAGAACCTCACTAGCAATGTACCATGTCAGGTTGACCTACATGCGATTCTCTTGGAAACCAAGAGATAGGAGATTTCAACATGATGGGCTAACTGACCTGACCTCATTTTCATCTTATCATGCTCCCTGCCAGTGTAAACCAGTAGTGTAGGTGGCGAAAGGATTCCATTGTCATCAATTTAAAAAAATCAATCGATAGCAGTATAGTGTGCAATAAACACAGTAGTGACTCTTTTTAAATATAGAATTTTAATTTATTTTTAATTTGTCAACATATTACAAAGCATGAAATAGCATGCAGATAATCTACAGTTAAATAACACTATAAACCAGATAGTGACTAAAGTAGTACCTGTACATTAATCAGCATGACTGAGCAGCTATCACTACGACTATCTCCATGGTGTAACAATAGAATAGTTAACCATAGACAGTAGGACAGTAAAACGGATGAAATACCAAAGTCCTGGTTCGATGGGACCCCAAACCAACAGAATCATTATATTATTTTATAAAAAAAAGTGTTTTATCAATTACTATTATACCAAGCTTCTTACTAATCAAGAAGGAACCCATTTACATGCGACAGGAAAAAATACGCCACTGCTTAGGGAGCCTAATGGCGGTGAATAGTAAATAATAGTTATCTGAACAAAATGAGGTCACTTACCAATCTTGAAGTTCTCATCTTGGAAGTAGAATCTGTTGATCAGTCTCGTCAGTATGTAGCCGAGGACGCGGCTGTTGTAATACGTGATGTATACAATCCATAGTATAGCAGAGATCAGCGAGACAAGTAACAAGGCGAAGTTTTTGTCGATCGTTATTTCGGTGAAGTCGTAAGAGGACGAGTTCCATCTCTGTGCCACAGGATCGGTGAAATTATCCCTTAACACGAAAACAAACCACATTTTATCCACACATAACACTGATAATCTACTTAATACTTCACTATACACTTTAATATAATATAAACATCGATGGGAGGATGCGTAAATATACCAATAACTTACATGTTGTTAAATATAACTTCACTATTATATTTCACATTTTACACGCTGGAGGAGCTGCAATGAGTTAAATACAATATATATTTCCATTATAACTCTCCATTGTTTCTTTTCTTATCAATTATAATCACTGTCGATCCGTAGATGGAGTTTTGACATTTTCAAATCGGTGTTGCCCGCTTTAGTGGAATCTCCACTGCAAAGTTACCGAACCTTACAATATTGTACTATAATATTGCACAGAATTAAGTGTCACGTTATGTGTAATTAAATCTGTTTTAATATTTTGTATACCCTTTCATGCATTTGCATGACTGAAATATTTCACTGTTCATAAGTACCTACCATACAAATCATAAATATATTTATGCGTGTCAAAATACAGAGACCTAATATGATTCCAATAAATATTTTTTATCGTATGTTATAGCCAGGAATATTACTTACTTGATTTTTTAACTAAAAAAATTTAAATAATTCCTTTATTGTTTTAAAATGAGACTGAATATTTTTTTCTACTAAGTTTGGGGTAAAGCTCCATGATAGCAATACTATATTTTTTTCTGAGATATTGCGTTTCGTTCATAGCAGAAAAGAATCAGTCATTAGTGGATTTTCTATACCAATAATAGAACTGCGAAAGGGTGTCTATCTTATGTGTTTGTTATCTAACATTATAATTTTTACTTTTACTATTGTTTAGATGAAATATTATAAAACTTAAATCAAGGTCACGGAAAAACCAACATCACTCTCATTCATTACGTAAAAAACGTACAAATAAATTCTAAGGAACAATTCTAAACTTCTAATATATAAAAAACACACTCTTTTTGAAGTCGGTTGAAAAAAGGCTGTTCGGGACTTTATGAAAAGTCGTTTGCATGTGTATCGTAATTTTCCCATTTCAGCTGTCAAACATGAGTTACTTGATAATGTGATGTAGTGTCACCTATATACATGCGTATATAGGTGACAATTACCACTTATCATCAGGTGGGCCGTTTGGTTGTAATTCCAATCACATAAAAATCTGTTTTTATTTTCGCTTAATTCTAAACCGCGCCGCGTAACGAATTTTAAAACTAGTTTCATGAGTTTGTAGTTACTAACTTTGTTGTTATATAACTTCATTCTAGTTATATAACAACAAAGCTTTTTACTACATATATTTTTTATTTTCTTTATTATATACAGATAACATAATATTACATACTATATGTTACATTGTGACATTCCTATTGTTATTGTGTACGTAAATATTATAAAGCAAATTTCGCCGCCGCGTTTGTCTGTATATCCGTGATTATCTCAAAAACTGCTGACAACATATTCGTGCTATTTTTTAAGGGATCATGTAAAATTTGATAGGGTTTTGTGTAAATGAAATACCCCGTGCGCGGGGCGCGTCGTTAGTATAATGTATGACGTAAAAAATACATTTTTCATGCTATAGGTACATGCAAACGCAGTTAAGGACAATGCACTAGTGATAGTTTCAAATACTGATCAGAACTTCATTATGTCATTTGGTTTTGTGACGTTTTTGCGACGAAACACGCACAGATAATGGCGAGCGATAGAGCATAGATTTTGAAACTTGATAATAAAGACTTTGACGTATTGTTGGTACTTAGAAATAGTTCAAAATCTATAGCGATAAGGCCGCCTCTCGGGCGCCCTTGTTGATAAAGGTGGCGCTGTGATGATGTCAATAGAGAATTGTAGTGATTCGGTGGTCAACTCTCGAAACGGGATTCCTGTTCCTTCAACCTGGGAGTATTTTATGTTTAGGATTTTTCTCGAAAAAGGGATATTGAAAGAAAGTAATTGTTTTCGAGAAGCATCTAATATTTGCCAGTTTTTCACCACAAAATCATAATTTATTTACATGAAAAATTGAAGTTTTTTAGTACTTGTAACTCTGCTTTTACTAAAGAAATATTTATATGGTTTCTTTCCTTGCTCCATTATGCTGATACGCGTACGCGTTCGCATGAAGCATAGAAACAGAAATGAAAAGGACGTGAACATTTTTTTCCGGTAACCGTTTACCATCAGATGGGCCGTATGCTTGTTTGCGACCATCATGGTACAAAATGACAAATTTATGGATCATAGGTCAATGATCTGTTTCGAGCAACTAAATGTTTGTTGCCATGGAGATCCAGTACTTGTTTATCGTGTATTTATGCGTAAGATAGGTCCTTAAAATTAAGAACATATAAAGTTAAATATGCCTGAACGACAATCAGATGATTCTAATATAACAAGCGAAACCTATAAACCGAAAGTTAGGTAAATAATATACATATTACTTAATATTTAGTTATTTGTTTATTACTTCTAATCACCGCTTATGCTTCTATATTTCGGACATTTCATTATATTTATTTATACTACAAACTTTAATTTAATAACTTAATTATAGATTTACTTTTATTTACTACAATTGACTTTCATTTCTCTTATCAGTAGTCCCCAAAATAGGACAGATCTGTATCTTGGGACTGGTCAGTGAAAGAATTTTACAATCGTTGCAGTGGTTCCGAAGTTTACTTAATCAGCGCAGTGATTCCTTTCCTATCTTATTTTATTTATGTATACTTAATTTTTTTAGAACTATTCTAATGTTGACCATAGTGGCCGTGCAAGAGGGCGAGTGCAGAGGACGCTCCAAACCTGCGTGAGGAAAAGATTCTACTGTAGACTTACTATGTATGAACTTGAGTTACGTCTCAGTAGTGGGGGATAATATACCTAATAGGTACGAAGTCAGTCAGTCAGGTTTTTTTCTGGATGATAATGGCATGCACCCGCCTGCTCTAACGGCTTACGCTGGTGGGGCAGCAGTAGACAATGATAAAATGAGAATGAGGTCATTTCACTTAGCCAATAGTGACAAATTTAAGGAATTTACCATGATGGTTTGATAGGGAATCGCGAGGAGGTCAACCTGACATGGTACATTGCTAGCAATGGGGTCAAAAATCCACATTACTAACAATCCGCCTTCCCCCTAGGCACTCAAGTTAGTTACCCCATCGTTGCGAATTCACCAGCAATTGACGAGGATGGTTTCCAGGGGGGACCTCGTAGAGGTCGACCATGAGACTAGTAGTTCCCATTACCAACAGCCTCCAACCCCCGCCCTTCTTAACTGCCTCATGACCATTGTTATTACAGATGGGCGATACCACAGAGATTGGATTTCACGATGTTCATAGGCCGAGATGTGGTCGCTGTAGCACATGATATCTATATAATATTCTTCAATTTTAAGACCAATTCTGAGCTGGTGTATGTAGCCAATAACCATAAATCTGGCGACGGTGTAGATGTAATTGCAGGTAATCTTAATCATTACATAGTATAAAACAAATTCGCAGTCGCTGTCTGTCCGTCCCTATGTATGCTTAAATCTTTAAAACTACGAAACGGATTTTGAAGCCGTTTTTTTAATAGATAGAGTGATTCAAGAGGAAGGTTTATATCTAAATATATTTAACTCAAAGCTGACTGACATAGTGATCTATCAACGCACAGCCCAAACCACTGGACGGATCGGGCTGAAATTTGGCATGCCGGTAGATGTTATGACGTAAACGATTATAGTTATTTTTTTTTTAAATCATACAACGCTATCTTATAAGAGTAGTTAAATAAATAATAATAATTTATATAATAATAATTGTATTTGCACATTTCACTTCCTTACAGATTAAAAAATAAGTCCTAAATTTATTGATGGATAGGGAAACGTTTGTAATAATAAGAGATAATTATAATTATGTTAAAAAATCTATCATTCCATTCTACTTTGAAAATAATTGAAATCGAAATTCAGAAAATGGTTTTATATCATTTGAAGTTACAGCTGTCGAATAATCTATATATAATCGCAGAACTAACAATTTTACTCTGTTTCAAATGTGTAATGTGACTACTGGTGTAATGCAGGCATATTATGTAGTGCGTCAGAAATATTCTATTTTCACAAATATTATCGCACTGTTTTTTTTTTTAGGATATCATATATAATATAATTAGAATCTAGATCCTAACCATATATAAAATTATAACTTTACAGGTCATAAATCGCAGATGTTTGCGTTCACTGAGAAAACGAAAAATGCGAGAATATTCATTGTGACATATCCAAGTTTCGTCATTCTATCAGAACTGCGTGGTTGGTATAACAACTTTTTTTTATTACTATATATCTCTACATAGTATAAAACGGTTTAACACACCGCGTTGTTTAACATACGTCCGATACAAACATTTCTATATGATTGTTTGTATCGGTCTGGGTGTTTTTTATATATATTAAGTATGTATTTACAAAGAAAAGTGTATTTATATTAGTTGTCTAGTAACACAAGCATGCTTGGTTTGGAACTAGATGGCGCTGTGTGAATTGTCTTAAAATGTTATTAGTATTAAACTGTTAGACTACTGAAGCCGTCAAGACCAAGTATATAGTCAAGTAATTAAATAAACAGAATAATTGGACAGTTTGCAAGATATATCAAGATACAGCAAACTAAATTAGTAACACGTCATCACCGTTACAGTGATGACATGATACCTATCACGATACAAAAGAAACCACAACTAATAAAGCTGCTACCACATATATTGGCCATCTATTGATTCACTTCAAGTTTATTTCTGTTTGGTGATACTCATTGCGAAACCTACAATATTTCTGTGTTTTCAGACGCGGACGTGAATCGTTACAAAGGTCTGTGCATGATGGAATGTGACCTAATAGCGGGTTTCAGCGGGTTCCCTAATTACCTGATCTCTGTATGGAGTTGGCGGACTCGCCAGCGACTAGTCTCCGTGCCTACGGGCGTGATGAGGCGTGGTCAGATCTACACGTAAGACCACGTTTTACTAATAGTATACTCGTAAATGCAAAAATTTATAACCACGTGTGAATAGATGGATGTTTGTTAGTCTTTCACGTAAAAACTAGTGAATTGATTTTATTGAAACTTTACAATAATATAGCTTATATATCAGAATGGCTACATAGGTTGTAAATTTCATGAGTGTGAAACCATGGACATAGATATCTACTGAAATATAAAAATGATTTATAATTGGATCAAACCTGCGACTGTCAGAGGTCGTCAATAAAATATGATTTAATTGTGTAATAAATAGGTAATATCAAAATTTAACGTCACGTAAATATCAAAATTTCACCTAAAATGATAACAATTGTCGAAATATATTCTAAAATGTTTCCTTAAATCAACCTTTGTGGATACGTGCCTTCCAGCGATGGTATTCCGAACCGATACGATATTGAAACCTTTAAGAAAAGAGCTTATTCCGTTTCAAAAGGTTAGCAACGCACTTGCAATTCCCCTAGTATCAATAAATGTTTTTTCTTTCTTTAGTGTTGTGGGTACTTATGGGCGGCAGTAATCACTTATCCTCACATGAGCCCCAAACTTGTTTGTCTCTTATACTATAAAAAAAAACTTTGATCCAACAGGGCGAGTCGCACGCATATGCTAGTGTGCGAGTGTTGGGGCGAAGGTTTGATTGTGTGGGAGGTGGCGCAGTGCTACAAGAAATGCTTCATCATGAAGAGGGTCAAAGAAGAGAAAGCTAGCTGGAACGAATCGCTGCCGCCTCTAGTGGGTGTCTGTTGGAACAGCGAGGGGCAGCTGTATGCAATCGACCCTGAGGCTAACTTGTACAGCGTTAGTGGACATATTTTTTAATAGAACATCCATGGAATGGAATGATGATAATACATCCGTCTGCGCTAACGATTTACACTGGCGGGGCACCAGCGGGGGATGATAAGATGAGCGTGAGGTCAGGTCAGTTAACTCATCGTCACAAATTCACTAGGTACCAATCACGATGGTTTCCAGGGGATGTATGGAGTATGGATTATAATAATAATAATAATAATCTCAGGACAATTCACACAGCGCCATCTAGACCCAAGTTAAGCTAGCTAAAGCTTGTGTTATGGGTCCTAGACAACTGATACAAATACATAGATTTTTTTTATTTTCGTAAATACATACATATTATACATAGAAAATACCCAGACCGATACAAACAATCATACTCATGAATACAAATGTTTGTGCCGTGCGAGGAATCGAACCCGCGACCATCGGTCGTAAAGCGGTATGCTAGACCGCTAGACCACCGAGGTCGTCGATTATGGATGTCAATTATGGATTTATGGATGATTTCCCGCTCAATACAAACATTTATATTCATGAGTATGATTGTTTGTATTAGTCTGAGTGTTTTCTATAAAATAAAATAGGTCTACGTATTTCTATCAGTTCTCCAGTACCCACAACACAAGCTCTACTTAGCTTGGGACTAGATGACGCTGTGAGAATTGTCCTTAGTTATTATTATTACTAGTGGTCGCCCAGTAGTCCAAATTCAACGCCAATAAAAAGTACAAAAAGATCTTTTGAACCAGCAACAAAAATTAACTTAGTTAGATTCTGCATTGCTTCTCTATATTAATTACTAGCTGTACCCGCGACTTCGTCCGCGTAAAATAATGACCCTGACAAAAACAATGAAAAAATATTTAATGACCTAACTTAACCTAACCCAATAAAAGCCAAATAAAAAAGTTTCATCGTTTTAGGTCCAAAAAATGACGAGTCTTCCATACAACCTTTCATCTCCCCTTTCAACCCCTTACAACCCTTATACATTACATATTCAAATGTAGCCTATATCCTATCTCAGGGTCTAGACAATCTGAGTACCAAATTTCATTTAAATCGGTTCAGTAGTTTTAATGTGAAAGCCAGACAGACAGACAGACCGACTCTGTCTAGAGTTACTTTCCCATTTATAACATTAGCAAGGATAAGCGTGCAAAATGTCATGTCCATCCGCGCAATTTTTGTAGACCCAGTCTACTGAAACAAAAGTACAAAGCTTTTGCTTTAAGTATAAATATATAGATTAATACTATATTGAATCCACGTCTTAAAATTGATTTAGACAGATTAAAAAAATGTGATGACTATTCAAAAGTGCTTCAATGTAAGTTTATTTGAATAAATGATTTTCTATTCTATTCAATTCTTGTCTTGATAAGTTGTGTCTATAACAGGTGCTTTCTGATGGCATCGGTATGGTTATAAACCTAGAGTGGTCAGAAGAACTAATGGGCAATGCGAGTCCCTGCATATGCTCCTTCGGCTGTGGCCTGCTTATTTATGGTCCTGATAACTGTTTGAGGGTTGGTACATATATTTATTTTCATAGTGTATATAATGTTTTATATCTATTTTGTTACTTTTTTTATTAAAGGTTGGGCTATTCTCACTTTCTTTTTTTTTACCTTTCACTGCTTAGGCCCTTCATAGGCAAGAATTCATGGATATTCTTAGGAACGTAGGGTATTATCTCTTTAGGATAGAGTTTGTATTTTCCAAAAGAGATATTTCGTTTATATATGAGTGAGCTAACTACCACATAGGATGTGTAGTGGTGATTCCTCTTCCATTTGGCAAAATCTATAAATATTTTCCTTTTATTTTTCGGCCTACTCTAATGCTGTTGGCCGCAGCTGGCCTTTACAGCTTCACCGGACGATAAGAGGCGAGTGCAGATGGCACTCCAAACCCGCGGAAGGACTTATGGAGCGGCTGAAGGCCAACTCCCGCCTGACGGATACGACTTTAGTCTGAGGGCACCGCTAGGGGTTCGAACCTCGGCTCAGGCCGTCGTAATATCCATCCACGTTTGAATTGGACGGGGGATCGATCGGAGGGGCGATCTGTAAATATGTGTAGTAGGGTACTTAAATACTATCTGTCTATCAAACTATCGGCTCTCAGACACATACCACTTAATGGCCGTATGACGCCCACAGTGTGCGCTAGAGACGACATAATACTTCCTTCTCTTTCCCACAAACACTACATTCACCATTTTAGTCGTTAAAGAAAATGGATACGAAATGGCAAGTAGTGTGGAAATATATACCTCAAGAAGCAGTGGTACGGCTGGTTTCCAATGCGACATCAGACGCCGCCGCCATGTGGACAGTCAACGGATTCATTTACAAAATTACTGGAGAGTCAGAGGAGAAAATTGATGTCAAACTGTTCACAATCAAGCAGAGGTAAATTTCTCATACAGCGCCATCTAGCTCCAAGCTAAGCAGAGCTTGTGTTATGAGTACTAGACAACTGTTAGAAATAACTCAATGTATTTTTTTTTCTTTTTTTTTTGGGAATTTTGTGCATTTTTTTAATGTATGTAACATCATTAAATAGTATAAAATAAAGTCGCTCTCGTTGCCTGTCCCTGTGTGCTTATATCTTTAAAACTACGCAACGGAATTTGAAGCGATTTTTTTTAATAGATAGAATGACTCAACAGGAAGATTTATATATGTAATATATGTATGCGCGAAGTCGGGGCGAGTAGCTAGTTATAAATATAGAAAACACTATACCGATAGTAACAATCATGATCATGAATACAAACGTTGGTCGAGTTGGAATGAAATTTGGTATTTACTATATAGATCCTATACGGCCCAGATGATAAGCTAAATGATGAGAATACAATCCATATTGCTTCGCCATATTCGAGTGCTGCTTGTAGGGACTGATCTGCTCTTATCGCTACGACTGATTTAACCTTATTGTGTTTTTATATTTTGAGCCTAAATAAATCACTGTTGGTTGGTAGTTTGTATTCACACGTTTCTACTTGTAAAATGTGAACTTACAAGGATTGTTTAAAAGAGCAACACACAAGTTTCTTGCTTATTCTTCTTGTGATGAGACAGCTTTCCGAATGAGCGATAGATTTTAAAAAAATTGTTGACTATTCAAAAGTGCTTAAATTAAGTTTATTTGAATAAATGATTTTCTATTCTATATTACATTACATTACATATAGATCGTATTCTAGATTAGCATACCAGTCTGGAATACTTCTATCTGAATTGATGCAGGCCACGCCGGAGGATACAGCAAGTCTTTGATTACATGGATCCATACAAACATTGACTGATATTTTCAGGAACGTCATGAAGATCCAATTAATTTCGCCGGATTGTAAACACATCGCTATGATCAATGACAAAGGAATACTTTGTATTTATGAAGTGGACTCAGCCAAATTGGTTTGTGAGGAATTTATTTATATTCAGGATTGTTAATTATTTAACTACAGTATTTTATTATCTAGTGAATTGTGAAAATCGGAATTTGTATAGAAACAAATAATAATAGAAAAATGTAAAATGTAAAAAATGTAATAGAAATTGTATAGAAGTATCGTCATTTTTTAAAGTAGAAGCTTGAATCTTATATTGTTGGCTATTAATATATATATACCTACTATAAATAAAGAAAAATGGGTTGGAAGGGTTAAAAAGGGAGTTGAAAGGTTGAATGGAAGTATTTTTATTATTAAAACTAGAAGTTTGAAACTTATTTTTTAGGCTGTTGATAAAATATAAATAAAGAAATAGGGTTGAAAGAGGAAATGTAAGGTTGTATGGAAGTATCGTCAGTTTTAAAGCTAGAAGTCTGAATCTTATTTTTTAGGCTGTTGAATAAATATAAATAAAGAAAAGATATTGTATGTTGCAAGGGGAGATGTAAGGTTGCATGTAATAATCGTCATTTTCAAAGCTAGAAGCTTGAAACTTATTTATTAGGCTGTTGATAAAATATAAATAAAGAAAAAGGGTTAAAAGGGGAAATGTAAGGTTGTATGGAAGTATCGTCATTTTCAAAGCTAGAAGCTTGAAACTTATTTTTAGGCTGTTGATTTCGTTGTACAGAATTCTCTGAAACTTTTTTATTGTGTTAGATTACTAAATATTTTTGCACTATTTGGTCAAGGTCGCTATTTTAGGAAGTCGCAAGAATACCTAGTTATCAATAACTTTTCAAAATTGCTTAGTTGAGAACTGGCAAGAAACTCACCAGTAGATACATACATATGTTATTATTTGAATTAATCGTTCTTCAAAATATAAAACATATATTTTTTTATTAGGTATCAATGAAATATATAGAAGGCGAGGATATATCTTTCGAAGCCAGTCCCGTTGAACCTATTCTAGTAGTGTACGGCGAGGTTGGTCAGAACTATGGAATGGCTCTACTGAAGTTCACTCCTGAAGAAGGACTGCAGAAAGTTGGCAGTATGTGCCTGACGCATCAGATCGTGTCCCTCGTAGTGTTCTCACCCACTGGAAGAGAACTGACCGCGGCTGCCATGTCTGCTGGACACTTATTTATTATGAAGGTAAGGTGCAATGAATCATGATTACAGTTCTACAAAAAGACGATTTTCTTAATAATAATAATATAATAATTCTTAAAAATCGTCTTTCACTTCATAAAGTGATCACTTTCAGAAACATTATTTTGATCTATATATATACACATATCTGCCTTCTCTCCTTTTTGTAATACTATAATAGACATATCTATTATATCTTCTATACAAACAAAAATTGAAGTGTCTGTTTGTTCTCGCTATTCTCTGATGTCGGGACTTTCTACTAGTAGATAGCTAATGTTGTAAGGAGTAACTTAAGCTACTTTTATTTTATTGTAGAATATTTATTTATATTTTAACTAATAAAAAGTTAAATTCTAGGTGATCGAAATCGCGGGTAACAGCTATAGTATTTTATGATATAAACGATCCAAATACATGTGAATGTAACAATAATCTTCTTTTTTTTTTATTTAATGGCAAATAACTATCTCTGAGTAAGCATTTTATTTTAGGTCGTCTAACAGGTACAGGAATATCTATCTTATAATATCATAAACGCGAAAGTTTGTAAGTATGGATCGATGTTTTTTACTCTTTCACGCAAAAGCTACTGAACGGATTTAGATGAAACTTTACAGTAATATAACTTAGGTATACATCAGAATAACATATAGGTTATAAATTTTACGCCGGTGAAACCTTAAGCACAGCTAGTAATTATATATTTTACGTTTCCCCAGCTATCAGAAGATTACAAATTAACTCTGGTGCGTTACGCGGAGTTGGGCCGGGGCCTCGCCGACTCCTTCCTCATGAAGGTTGGGGATTCAATGCGCTCTTTCAGTCTTGTGCTCTTCTCCGACAAATACGCTATTGGTTAGTATTTACTGGATCTTCGATCAATTTTAATCTTCATATTAATACGTGAAGCAAAAGCATAAAGTTTATGCTTCTGCTTAAACTTTTTATGAAAATTACCTGGACGGAGTCGTATGAAATTTTGGCACCCTTATAGTTTACATAGAGAAATTGTTTAGAATGCATTTTTTTTATTATGCATAAAAAATATAGTAAGTCAACAATAAACATTATACGCACTACGATGTATGACATACACGCATCTCTCTTTTGTTAATTTTAAAGTCTGTTAAATTGAGAGTAGATTAATATTGTTTGTCTTAAATATTATTTGTCTACAATCTTACTGCATGTCAAACATAATTGTAATTGAATTTCGATTATTGAGCGACCACTAGTACATGTAGATAAACTTGGAGCCAATTTACATTAGACATATAATTAATAGTCTGAACCAGATGAATAAGACCTTTTTTCTCAATCAGGTGAGCGTATAATCTGTATCAACGCGGAAACGGGTAAGGATAATAAATTCGCGGGGAAAATGCAGGGTCCATACGCGCGGCTGCTGCCACTGGCGTGCAAGGATACCATGCTGGGCATCCCGCATATCTCCAAGCAGTTCCACGTGCTCAAGTTGTCCGGTGACGTGAGATATCTCTTATTAATAACAGTCAAATCAAGTACTTTATTCAAAAGCTATCTGTGAACGAAGAAAAAATATGAGATCAAAGGAGAAATCCACATCGAACAGATATAAAAGTTATTTTTTTAAGTAAATGTAATGTAAGGAGTTTGGAATCGTTGCATTTTGTGTGAAACCTACACAAAAAGCACTCTCTCTCTCTCTCTCTCTTTCTCAAGTCTCTCGTCAGTTTCGTCAGGTTTTTGGCTGTGATTAGGCATTGAAATTACAGGATAAGCGTATGACATCTTAGTCTATTGAATGGCAACATCAGGCCGGGATTACCTTAGTGCTGTTCATGTATATAAGCTACGGTTTCCGCTTACCATCAGGTAGGTCGTCAGCATGTTTGCTATTACAATTATATAAAAAGAATAAGTGTTTATGCAGAACATGAACTGTAAGAGTAGATGACTCTCGCTCAGCACCATAAGATACCTGAAGATGTATTATATAATACAATGCAAATAAAATAGTAAATTCTCTTTACAAATAAACTTTAAGCACTTTTCAATAGTCATACATATTTTTTTAATATATCGGTCTCTTCGAAAGATTTACATTACGAAAATGACAAAAAAGAAACTTGCGTGTTGCTCTTTTAAATAATTGTTGTAACTCTACATTTTGAAGTTAAAATGTGTGAATTTCAACTTAAAAATGTAGAAATTATATACCAATTGATACTAATTCATTAGAGTAAAAATATCAAATACACAACCAACTGCTTGAGTAACTAAATAAGTAAATCAGTCTTAAAAATAAAATAACTTACGCGTTTGAGCAGAAAGGCATTACGGTGTCAGTGAAGATGGGTTCGATCATCGACTCCGGGCATGATATGAAGCAGTTCGGTGGATTCTTCAACATGGCAGCATTGTTAACGTACGGGTACGATGGCACGGTCATCATGAGGCAACCAGACGGGCCGGTGGAGTACGGTCAGTTCTTCATATGAAATACAACTAATGTTAGTCTCCAGTTAAAAAAAAAATACAGCAATTAATACTCGCTCATAATGTACATTTTTATCGGGAAAAGAATTGTGAAAGTCTGTTAAATATTTTTGAGTTGATTCATTACGAATGGAAAGTCAAATTTTTGCGCTCAATAATATTACAAATTGATTATTAAGTACTAACTGTTACCCGTAACTTCGTTCTTTCGAGACACAACATGGCCTATGTCCATCCTTGAGATAAGATCTACATTCGTGTTAACTTTCATAAAGACCAGTTCTACTGTTTAGGCGTGAAAAAGTAACAGATAGATAGACGTACTACAGCGTTTATATTATATTATATTTTATATAGTATATATATTATTTGACGACATCGGAGGTCTAGTTTTAGTTTAGCACACCGCTTTACTTCTAGTTCTAGTAGTTGCGGGTTCGATTTCTGTCTATATCCATGCAATGGGAACCTTAGAAACTGTAAAGGTTAGTTCTGAGTGACTTTTCCATTCAATTTCCAATCTCACTCCAATTAAGTTTTTATTTTAATTAGTCTAACATAGGAAATTTTAAATGATATACTGGTTTTTCCTATTACATATAACGTTGTTTTTATTGTAAAATTTAATGTAACTGATAATCTCACTCTGCTCGCACATTTTGATAAATTCATGGGGTATCTGTTATCGGCTTTACTAATTATGTAATACTGAATAATGTGTATAAACTGCTGATTACCTAAATAAATATTTCACCTCTCTCTACCGTCACGCCAGCGTATAAAGTCAAGGAAAGCACGATTAAAATCCATAATATAAATAACCATAAAATATACAAAATATTTTTCTAACCAGTACCATTTGTTTTAAGATTGCAAACTGATCGTAACTCACCGCTACGAGACCGGCATCAGACAAGCCGTGACAGACAGCGAGAGGTCTTACATCGCTCACTTGGCCGGCAACCGCACCATAGCGCTCTTGCAGTTGCATGACCGTGGTGATCCTGAACCCCTACATGAACCCTTAAAGGAAACTATCTATGAACGTAGCGTGAACCTGATTTCCATCATCGACCAAGGAGACAGTAAGTTCTATTCCGTCCAGACCATACTGTCATACACATAAAAACGACACCGTCCTCGCCGGCGAAAACGACGACCTCAACCTCACCATACCGCATAATCAAGCGGGCGTCTGCTCGCACCCGGGCCCTGCATACCGCTACCCCCGGTCGCCTTTCCGATTAATTCCCCGTCCAATTCAAACGGGGATCGAAATTTCGACGGCCTCTGTCGAAGTTCGAACCCCTAGCGGTGCCCTCAGACTAAAGTCGTATCCGTCAGGTGGGAGTTCGCCTTGAACAGCTCCATAAGTACCGCGGGTTTGGAGTGCCATCTACACTCGTCCTCTATCGTCCGGTGAAGCTGTAAAGGCCAGCTGCAGCTATAAGTTTAATTAAACAAGTTCTAATAATTATTTATTCTCGTCTACAGAGACGTATTTAGAACTGCAAGAGGAAAAGAAAGTCCATGAAGAAGCAATGGACTACAAGCGTCAACGTGAAGAGGTGGTGCGATCGTTCGAAGCGGTACAGGCCCGGCTCGTCGCGTTACTGGATGAGAATCTGTTGGAGCCGCCTCTACACCAGCTCTCGCTGGCAGAGTTCAACCTGCACCTTGAGCACAAGAAGGAGAGGCTAAAGCAGGTGATTTTTTATAGTAAAAATTACGATTATCAATTTGACAGCCTCGATGGTCTAGCGATTTAGCACACCGCTTTACATCCAATCGTCACGGATTCGATTCCTCGCACTGTGCGAACATTTGTATTCATCAGTATGATTGTATTAGTCTGGGTCTTTTCTATGTATATTATGTATGTAATTACAATAAAAATATCAGTTGTTTAGGTACTCGTAACGCAAGCTTTGCTTAGTTATCAGTATTACATGGCTCTGTGTGAATTTTCCAAATTTATTACGAGTATTATTATTATTTCACGAGGACAGATAATGTAATAATGACGACAAGGAAATGCTAATTAATTATGTTATTTTCTAAAAACTAGTTTAAGTATTGTACATTCCATTGTTTTGTATAATTTGATAATAATTTTGATTTTGTAAGGAATGAAAGGACTACCGTTCTTTTTAAAAAAGGTAATCGGTTCATAAAAAAAAAAGTACGCGCTGGAGTTGCAACAACGAGGAACTTTTAATAAACGGCTTGTATATAAATTGGCTGTTTTTATTATTGCCACCTGATTTCTTATATATTGTTTCAGGCGGAGCGTGAACGCGAAGATATCCGCCTCCAGACGGAGGCTCGCATCCGCGCCCAGGACAAGGTGACAGCGTGGATAAAGCGGACATGCTGGGACACCATGCTGACGCCCAGGATTAAACTATTTGCCATATTCAGCCATTACCAGGTAAACAATCAGGTGCAAGTTATATAATTTTATGTATATCTGTATTTCAGGCGTTACGGTAACCGTTTACCATTAGGCAGGACGCAAGCTTGATTATTATCAGTCGTCTGAAAGATGAAACTGCATAATAACGCATAAAAGTCTTCTATCGATGCGTCTTATTAGATAGTTTATTTAGTACTAGCTATGCCCGCGGTTTTTTTGCATGAAATTTATAGCCTATATGTTATTCTGATAATTTCTATATTACTGTAAAGTTTCATCAAATCCCGTTCAGTAGTTTTTGCGTGCAAGAGTATCAAATATCCGTACTTACAAACTTTTGCATTTATGATATTAATACGATGTGTTTACGTAAAAATAGTACAGATACGTTTATTTTGATGTATTTGTGAGAAGGAAAGTAAGTCCTGATTCATAGTTAAGTAGAACGTGGACTTGTTTACGAATTTCCATTTGTGTTTTATCTATTTATTCTTCTTCTGTCTGTATTTTTTTTAAATATTAGTACAACTCACACAGCGCCATCTAGACCCAAATTAGGCTAGCTAAAGCTTGTGTTATGGGTACTAGATAACTGATACAAATACATAGATATATATTTTTTTTCATAAGTATACCTAGAAATAACCAGACCGGTACAAACAATCATACTCATGTATACAAATGTTTGTGCCGTGCGAGGAATCGAACCCGCGACCATCGGAAGTAAAGCGGTGTGCTAAACCCCTATACTATCGAGGCTATGAATATAGTTGAATTTAATAGGTGGAGAACTATGCTGTGCTGCCAACTCAGCGCGATCTCTGGCCGGAGCTACAGCAGACGGAAGCTTTGCGTATGATAGAGATGGAGAAGGATTCAGGAGTCTTTCGTCCCTGGGAGGAAATCGTGGACAAGGAAAGCGCTGAGAAGAGTCAAACTATGTACTTTATTAAACTCTTTTTTACTATTATTACTTGCTACTGTTTTTTATATAATACAAGTCGGCCGTTAATCTTATAGTAAGATAGTTAAAAATAAATAATAAATAATATTAGTTATCTGCGATTGAAAGTCCAGAGTTTCAGAGATTAGCAAGGACAAACAAAGAAAGTTTTTTTAATTCAGATATTTATGCAAGTACTACATACGGTACTAAGTTACTCCTTACATTAGTTAACTGCGAATGAATGCAGTCAAAATAAGGCCAACCATTTTAAAGTTTTGCAAGGAGATAGACTTTATTTAATTATTTTTTTTGTGATGTCAATATCGTATATAATTTAAAATGCCTTTAGTGAAAAGCTTATAATTTGAAATTACAAACAGACATTTAATTATTTTTTTTATTTGTATAAATGAAAATGATTGAGATGGCACGTCTAACAGAAGTTTATTTCCAAGTTTTAGGCACTATGGAGGTTCAATATACATAGAAACAATATATTAGTTGACGCGAGTAATTTCGTCTGCATCACACTTACTTAACATTTATAATTGTATTTAGCCCAAATTCTATAATATCTTTATAAATTATAGCCTATATATTATACTGGTGTATAAGCTATATTACTGTAAAGTTTCATCAAAATCTGTTCAGTAGTTTTTGCGTGAATGAGTAACAAACATCCATTTATACTCACAAACATTTACGATTATAATATTAAAAGAAATTGAAATAATCTTTATTCAAATAAACTCGAACTACCACTCATTTACAAGAACAATGAGCAAGAAACTTGTGTGTTGCTAGATATTGATTTGAGTGTATTGTTATATTGATAGACACGAAAATATTGTTCAGACTGCCGGAAACTTCTGTAATATCGGTGAAGGAGACACGGAAGAGTACAGACAGCCAGATGGGAGAGCGTGTGGAGGAGAAGGAACCGGAGGAAGTGGTAGGGCAACCTCACGTGCTGAGCGGCACCAGCGCACACAAGTTCGTGCAGTTACCAACCTACATGATACCGCAGACGCTGTCCTTTAGCTTCCTCCATATGAACTGGTTGCAGAATATTGTCAAGGTAATTGAAATCCTAAAGAACAAGAATATATATGTTTGGTATAGAGGTTTCAATGTTTCCTCCTAAGAAGTTCTTTGATAGCTCACACAGCGCTATCTAGTCTTAAGCCAAGCAGTTCTTATAGACCACTGATGCAATTACTTTTTTAGTAAATGATAATAATAATTATACCCCGGACAATTGACACCACGTCATCTAGACTTGTGTTATGTGTACTAGACAACTAATATAAATTAGATATTTTTTCTTTTCTGTAAATACATACATAACATACATATTGTTAAAGTATATTATAATCCATAAAATAGTATTGTTTGCATGCAACGCCAACATATATAGAAATGTATTTTACTTTATAACATTTTTTTCACCTGTATTTGAAACCGATCAATAAACCTTATATACACGAATGTAGTGTTTTGGTTTATAGTACCCTTAGGACCTTGTGGTTTTAACACATATGTAGAAAATACTCGGACTCTGTATATCGGTAAGAATGATACTTATGAGTATAAATGTTTGTATTGTGTCTGGAATCGAACCTAAATAGAAACCGCTATACCACGGAGGATTGCGAATTAGTAGGTAAATAATTTACAAAGAAAGTTACCTCTTTGTTTAGTTAAATGTACAGAATATGAGGCTGTGGTTCAACAAGCAATTTGATGATCTGATGAACCTCAAACGACGGGAGGTGAGTCTCGTCGAAGAGCGGAATTCGAGGCTGCGTTTCATCATAGAAGGTTCGAGAAAATTCTAGAAATTTATGCACGTAAAGAGTTTACTTTAGCACACTTTCTTAAAGAATAATTTGAACGTGCACTTATTATATTTTTTATATATAACACTTTATTGCACCAACATATAAAGAACTTGAACAAAATTATATTGAACTACCTTTTGCTCGCGGCTTCGCTCGCTTATTTTAATTTATCCCTTTAGGGGTGGAATTTATCAAAATCCTTTCTTAGGAGATGCCTATATCATAGTAGCTTTATGCATGCAAAGTCTCAGCCCGATCGGTTTAAAATTGACAAAGTTTTATACAAACTTTCATCCCTTATTTTATCCCCTTGGGGGTAGAATTAATCAAAATCCTTTCTTAGCGGATGCCTACGTCATAACATCTACCTGCATGCCAAATTTCAGCCCGATCCGTCCAGTGGTTTGGGCTGTGCGTTGATAGATCACTATGTCAGCCACCTTTGAGTTATATATATTTAGGTTTATATTTTTTTTTTTCAGATATTTATATTGATTTTAATTCAATGTTGTACATGGTTAATCATAAAGACAAATATTTACTTATTAGGTGTGGCCGCGTGTAATTTAGAGCCCATGTGTTATTCTGATGCATATGATATATTATTGTAAAGTTTCTTTAAAATCCATCAGTAGTTTCTTGCCTGAAAGAGTAACAAATATCCATCTTTCCAATCCTCCATCCACATTCACAAACATCCGCGTTTATAATATTAAACTAAGATATTCCTGGAAACCGGTCTTTCTATATATGTTTTTGTTATTTTAATATCTAGAGTTGAACAAACTGTCAGATCTACGAGGTAGTTTCCATCACTTGGTCATAGAGATCAAAGATCCAATTTGGCGGCAGGAGGAACTACCGCAGCGTCTGATTAAAGTCGACCCGGACGAAGTAAGTATACATGTATTATAGTTATAATATAACTGCGAAAATGTACTGTACTAAATAAAAAATAAGTATTCTATTTTAGCAATTCTTTATTTACAGTTTACCAATTTCAAATAATAAAGATATAATAAACTTTTTATTGTGCACATAGAATACAATAAGAAAACCAGTAAATAAAAAAAATAATTACAAAAGCCGGACTTATCGTCTTAGATTCTTAAAATACTTGTACTTTAAGGAAGTTGGGTCGCTTATTAGTAATACGTGGTCGCATAATGGTCGATATTCGATCATAATTAGTTTGAATTTAAATAAATTATTTATTAGTCTCAATTAAATTAATTATTAGTATAAACATTATTAAGATTCTATTGTCAAAGACTGTACTTCTCAAACTGTAAAATACTTAGTGTGGCATAATTTAAAAAAAATATATAAGCATTCACTTCTTCTCTATATAAACTATAAGTGTGCGAAATTCCATACTCCTTCGTCCGCGCATTTTTATAATAAATGGTACAAAGTTTTACACATATTAGCAACGATTAATGAATGACCACAGTGCAGCATTGAGCCATACATCAGCCCCAGTCAGATCGTGATCCCGCCACCAGAGCCGAAGCCGAAGGACGACTTCCGTGAACGCGCACTCATTGAGATGATGGACGGCGTACTCGAGAAGCTATGGCACGAGGAAATTAAGAAACCGATACCGATGCCTCAGTGCATGGTGAGAATACATTTTAAATCCATTTTGATTACAATAATCTTTGCCTACTCATAAGTATAGTATAGTATTATTTATTGAAAGAAATTCAGACTTACTAAGTATTTTCCTTTAACCTTTTCTTGCTTAATTCCTTCGTCTAAACGCCTTTTAAAAAAAAACATTTGAAAGGTCTTTATTTAGTTTCATTTAAATAAAATTTATTTATAAATTTATGTCTATTTCATCATATGATTTATCAGCAAGCTGTACTAAACTAATTTATTTCTTTAGCCTTCTTGTATCTTCTCTGCCTGGTTCTGTTTCTAAATTTAGTTGTACCGCATCACTCACTGCTTCGTATTATCAGCCTATCTATGCCCTTCCATTAGGATCTTTGTAGCTCCATGACTTTTATACAGTCAAATATAAATTTCAGTGAATATTTGACAGATAACTTATGAATAATAAAATCAGTATATATATACACATAGATCGGAAAAATAATTAAAGTCTGTTAAAGCCACTGTATCTCCTTGTAGCTTGCTGCGCCCATCAGGGTCCATGGTGCTCTTATAATAATATTATGTCAACCTTTGTACGGTGCGTCGTCGTACAGCCGTCAGCATTTTACACCGCTCCGCGTCCATATAACGCTGTGGGCGTACCATTTTCCCTTCAGTACACCAAATACTCACAAGCAAGCATCAGTCCACACTCAATCATCGTGTACTCAATAACTCAATTTGGAAAGCAGCCCGGACTTATAATTTATTCATCAGCATCCAGATTGTGTGGGTCACAGCAGACTCATACAACCTTTATTGTAACACTATGGAATACAAATGAATAAAATACAATAAAATTAATACATGACGGCCTAGGCCATAGGTGGTCTAGTGGTTTAGCACTCCGCCTTACTTCCGACGGTCGCAGGTTTGCTTCTTCGCACGGTACAAACATTTGTATTCTGGAGTATGGGTGTTTGTTTTCTATGTATATTATGTATATATTTAAATAAAAAAGGTATCTCTGTATTTATATCAGTAGTATAGTACTCAGAAATCAAACTCTGCTTAGCTTGAGACTAGATGGCGCTGTGTGAATTGTCCTAAGATATTACTATTTATTATTAGTAACTTAAAAAACGTATATATGGTACCAGTTGGAGAAAAATCCAGAGCATTTCAACGAGGACGACTTGAGGCTAGTGTTCGACTACGAGGAAAAAGTAGCGTTCCGTAACGAAGAGCGTGATAAGTACCGTAAGATGCTGCACGCGGAGTACGCCAAGCTCTCTCAGGTGCTCGACGAGGGAATCGTCAAATTCAACCAGAAGGTTTGTTCTAACACCTTATGTCTAGCGGTCATTGCCTTCATCCAGATCCTCCTTAAGGGTTGCGCCAAAGGGTTGCGGACGTACATATACTGTACTATTCCTACTCACTAAAACTCCTCGGTGTTGCTTACAAACTACGATTAATCGCCGTTGTCTCGGATGCACTTTGGCATTCATCCGTTACGAAGATGACAGGTCTCAGTGAAGGAGCGGGCAATGTGTGGGCGCGGGGCCCACTCTGCGCTCGCCAGGAGTTTTGCATGTCATTACATCCGCCACTCTGAGTGTACAAGAGGCATTGATTTACTGGCTTGGTTAGACTCTGGAATTCTAGAATTAATAAACAAGTAGGAAATATGATTGACTATAGTGGAAGAGTGCAGTATGTAAGGATAGAAAAGAACGGTTTTCGGTACTCTCTGGCTACCTTGAAAAGAATTTCGTTTGGAGATGAAGAGATATTGTAAAACGGTCTATATACATATATGGTTCTTTTCCAAAATTCCTAATCAAATAAACTTATTTAGGTAAAAGAAATGTGGCTGACGAAACTTCAAGTAGACTCTGTTATTGGACAAGAAAATCTGAATCTGATGCGTTTGCGCCGAACTAACTTGGACCGAGTGGAGATGGCTGAACAATTAGAGGACATGCGGTAACAATATTTATGATACAGAAATAAGAAATATTAACGAAAAAAGTATTTATTTAATAACGATAGTGGCAATCAACTCTTATTGCATCTCCAGACTCCTATATTAAAAATTAGGTATCCAGGTATATTATATGGAGACCTGCAAAACTAGTATCTTTAAAGTATAGTATAATCCGAAAATTTTCAATCTACACTCTAGTCTACTTTGAAGTAATAGTAGGGGCTTGTAATGATACAAAAAATAATAAAGAAACTTAGTAACTACTATTATTCGGTAGATCAATATTTACGTACCATAGTGTCTATTAATAAATTTAGGTTATAGGTTAAAATAGTGAATAAAAGTTATCCTTCTTCCAGTGAGCAAATATCCCGCTTGGAGGCAGAAATAGAGGTATTCCAGAAAGAGGCAAACAGTGCAGCTGTACAGGCAGAGGAATGTCAGACGACGTACGATGCGCTCGCGCAGAAGGACAAGTACATGGAGCGTACATTCAAGAACCACTTCGCAGATCTCTCGCCGATTATCGTCGATCAATGCTACAAATTCTACAAGTTAGTAGTCTAAAAATTCTCGACAGGTGACTTCGATTACTTAGGATTTAGAATCCTACAGTGCTACGAAACATTTTGGGTATATTTTTTGTTATGTCATTTACAATAGTTTAACTAAATTTTGGAAAACCTTTTACTAATTGTGGTTAGATTTTACGCGTGTTTGATAAAGGAGTCAAGACTCACCAGAATCGAAAGACATCTAGTATGAAAATAGATAGATAGAAATGATTATTGGATTAATGTGAATTAGTAGTTTAAGAGTAAAATAGTCTGGGCCTAAAATCCCGTCGTTCTATACTGTGCAGGAAACGACCGAAGTGGCACCAGCGCGCGTCGCATACCCCGGTCGTGCTGTATGAACTGGCCGGCGCGGTGCTAGCTGCTACTCGGCCCCAGCTACTGCATGCTGACTGTCTCGACTACTATAAAGGGTCTGCTTCTCTTACTAGCACCTAGAATGAGTGATTTAATCCACTATGGGGAGAAACCCTACACAATCACTGCAGACTTTGTATATAAATTAATTATTAGTCACAGTTCTCTGGATACCATAAAACTAATAGATTTATTGTTAATAAATAATATACGTCGTCATATTTCTGAATTATTCTTCGGGTAAGGAACACCGACATTAAACCAAAAAATAATCTCCGAAACTGCGGCCTATCCATCTACATGTTGGATAGAAATATATCAAGCGAACTGTAGTAAAATACGTCGCCAAACATTATCTGCATAATCGCCTTTATTCCCATATCTTATAATTTAAACATGGCACCAGAAACACCATTTTGTGCCACGTAAGCCATTTCCATTTTTGGCATTCTTATTACATCGATAAAAAATTATATTGGCTCTAATATAAGAACCATTATGATGTACCAGGGTAGAACAACTGGATCAAATCAGCAACATGCCGCCGGTGATGGACGAGGGCCTGTGGGCCACCATGTGCAAGCTGCGTCGTACCAAGATTGAGAATGAGATACGTGTACGTCAGTTTAAAGATAATTATAAACAGCAGAAAAAATAAACTTTTATCACTGCATTCCCAAATTAGTAGGACCAGTAAAGGATTAATAAAAAAGTAACTTAACTTGATTAAAGTACTAAAGAATATTAAAAAAAAACCTCAATGTACATAAACATGTTAGGTATTGTATATAGCTGCCGACTAACTAATGTCTTGATAAATACATTATTTAATATAAGTACCGCGTGCATTTAAATTATACACTGATCATAGATGCGGGCCGTAGTGCAAGAGATAGCATACGTAGATAGTATGAGCAACGGATGGAACAAAGCGATAGCAGCGCGGCGGAGCATGTTGGCGAACATTCACGAACGCATACTTCAGCACCGCGAGAAGACGGAACTTGCCGCCAGGAATAAGACCATACAGGTATCGTTTGCTATTCTGTTCCTGCTAATCCTGCACCCTTACACTCCCTGTAGAAGGATGCTCAAGGAGCCTGTCAAAATGCTAATGGTTGGAAGCGATATAACATTTCTTTTATGGATGTTCTACTTCCTAAAGTGCAAAATTACTGCCTGGTTATCGAGTAAGGTATTTCTGTACCATAGTACAGAATATCCTTAGTATCTTGATTCTGCAACTATAAGACTTAATGAATAAATAAATCCAAATAACGTCTGGAATAAAACAAGTTGGATTCAAATTCGTGAGTAACATTCAGAACTGGTCACGAATACAATGGAGCAACAAATGATATAACTATGTAATATTGTGTTATCTGTTATATAACTGACACTTAGAATGCGCTTAGCTTTTTTGTTTTTATTTCAAGAAGCAAATTGCAAAGCAATCCTTGATCTAATACTACTTTAATAGAACAATCAAGTGGCGCAAAAATGTTTAGGATTTATTTTAAATAACCTAATAAATACTGGACTTTTTTTCCTCCACAGGCATAGAGCCCGTGCTCTTATTATGTTAAGCTTTTTAAATTTGACTTAAATTATTAAATTTCGAGTAAATCAATAAATCGATTTACTGAAATACTGGACTTAAAGTAAATTACAAATTAATTACTATGACTATAAAGTTAAAAAAAATAAGGATAGTTTTACAAGTCTGTCTAATATTATCGCGTACAATAGTTACCTTGATCGATAGCTGGTGCTGCCTGCGGGGCAAGTGGAAATAATAACTACCGGCCACATTGAGGATTTTGAAGATGCCACGCTCATACTGCGCGAAGATATCGAGAAGATCAATAATGTTATTTTGGTAAGTAAATATTTAAGGCAACATTTAAATTAAACTAAACTATTTTGAATTAAAGCATATTATTTATTTCGATTACTTCCATATCTTACTTAAGTCGAACTAAATATTACGATACGGCAAACAAACATATATTCACAAACAAAAACCGAAATTCTAGAAGAGAGTATAGTAAGAAGATTCCACTTATTTTTAATTTAAAATATTCACCTATAGAAAGTGGGTGAAATGAAGTTGCGCATGATGCGCAAACAGGTGGAGTTCAGGAAGGGCATCCTCAGCAAGGAGTGGGAGCACGCGCAGACAAAGATGAAGCTGCGTCACATGGAGCAAGAGTTGCAGTCATACAAACGGCTCAAGGTAATACAGACAGAACTGGTAATGTCACGAATGAAATTTATGTTTTGTAAAGTGGAAGAGAGATTTTCAAATAGTAGGTAGGTAACCAAATATGTAAATACACTGTGATTTATTTCATATGTTTCTTAAATCTGTATACTAGAGAAAGTATGACGTATACAGATTTAAAAACTAACCACTAGAGAATAACTACGCATTTATCGTATATAATTTTTATCTTCAAACTTATTTGATCAAATTCTAGATCTGACAGATTTATTTCATATGTTGTCGTATCGAATAGGACTGGGATGCATTTTGTAGTCAATAATTACCGCCGCATGTCCACACATTGGCAACACTAGAGAAAGTACAGGTGTTGCGAGCCTATATGGAGGAATATGCGGTTTCTTTGTAATCCTTAGGGCATCCAATTTTTTTAAAATTTTTGATCACCACCTCTAACGATTTACTTCTGTAGCTACTAGAGAATAACTACGCATTTATCGTATATAATTTTTATCTTCATTTGAATCTTATAACAGATTCCGAAGGAACTACAATCATATCTGAAGAACAAAGAGCTGGGCTACACAGATGAGCAAGATTATGTGCGCATGGAAAAAGAAATGGAGGCTTCGAAGGTGTCAGTCAACAAGATGCTTACTGAGCAAATACATCAAGTTGAAGAATTAGAGGTAGGCGATGATCTAAACGAACTTGGAGTAACGAATGTGTAAATCTAAGGTTAAAAATTGTAAATACTTGGCTGTGGATGATCACGACGACATGGTTGAAGGTAATTTTGATTTATTTGTAGTGTGTCGCCTCCTTTATCGTCCGGTGACATTGTAAAGGCCAACTACGGCCAACAACATTAGAATAGTTCTCAAAACTATCATAATGTCCAAATGCATAACCATACTTCAGTTTTACAGAGTTAATTCCATTTTTAATCAGTTATTTTCACCTCTAAAACTATTTTTTTTAGAATATAATTTCAAATTGTAATATTTTTATTGTCTTATACTTACAGCTGAAAATTAGCTCAATAGAAGCCAAGTCATCGCAGCTGGAGAACATGATCGCATCGCTCAATGTGAAAGTGTCCGAGAAGCGACTCAACGAGGACCCCCTAGAGCCGATACGCATACGCAAGGCCTTTAAACGAAGGTGACCAGTTTTTAAACTCTTATTTTTAACTATAGGCAAAGTTGAGCTTTGTATAAATCACCTAATAGATTTAAATTAATTTGCATTTTGAAAATGTACGACTATCAATAAAAATAAAACGTAAATTAAGCAATCCTTACTTAATGTCATAAATATAAAAGCATGTTGGTCCATTCATTGCTTTTTCATGGCTAAAAGGCTGAACAGATAATAATGAAAGGAATGAAGATGGAATGACTATGGACATAGGCTATTTTCAATCTCTAAAAAAGCAAAATCTTGAGCGTTAGCTAGTATTCTGTAATTCTAATATTATTTATCGGCAAGTCAATTTATTTTTATAAATATCTGATTGCCCTAAAATTTTTATACTCCAATTCTCAACTCACACAGTCAAGTGTCTCGCATCAAAAACCTTCTGTATAGGCTTAACAAGTATTTTAAATTAATTTTGTTGTGTATTTAGAATGGAAACACTGGTGATGCGGAGTCAGCTAGTGCGCGATGTTCAAGCGAACCACACTAGCATCGTGCTACTGCAGACAGAGCTGGAACTACTGCGGCTTAAGACGTATCCCACGCTGGCCAGTTTCCGCACCATTTGCTAATTTTGTATGCGTCGCAGATAGATTTTGGTTAAAATATACTAATTATAAAGTTATTCCTTAATGTCTTAATTTACCTAAAAGTACTTCATATATCATTGAGAAATATAATATAATATAAAAGGAAAATATGCAAATTTTACATGTAGTAAACACGCGCAAATAATATAAAGATCTACTTAGAGACATATAAAATTACTGTAGTCCAAGACCACTGCTAATGGTTAGAACGACTACTCGGACAGTAGTCATTACCCGTTAAAATGGGACAGGAGCAGATTATAGAACGGTTATAGTACAATAATTTATTAAATATCCCCCATCTTAATAACTATACTTAGTGATCTGAAGTCCAGTCGATCTAAAATAATACGTCTTATTTGTAGGATTGGGAAAACATTGACTGCTGCATCCAGGAGGAAAGTATATATGGGTATTTATTAAAAGTTCAATTTTCGGTTATAAAAATTTATTTTCCATTAACAAATCTACAAATAGGTATTAATTGTAAACACAGATATGGATACAAATAGATGATGCATTGTAAGTTACTTCAATCCCTGAAGGCAACTTCTCACTTAATTTATTCTGAATAAATTTGAAATTTGAGTAACCAGATATAATTTAATCACAATAATCATTACAGATGATATTTTAGTAGAGAAATGAGATATATCAATAAATTACTGTTGTGGCATCCGTAGATTGATTTTATATTACTGTTGCTTACAATTCTGATTTTACTTCAAATATATAAACATTCAAAACAATTTACATTCAATTACAATCTGAAATCAACTACTCGTACAACCCTAATCGGAGTTTGTAAACTAGAAATACAAATAATCTTTATTACAAATAAAATTAATAAAAACATTTTTCAATAGTCTCTACCTCCTATTCGTAACACAGACTCATCAATTGAGCAAGAAACTTGCGTAAGTAGTTAGGATGTACAAATTCAACTTACAAATGTTCATGACATAAAAACAATCGTAATTTTTAATCTAGATGAAATGAGAATTGTTTCATCCAATTCAGAACAAGTAGCTTAGTTTCCACGATTATTTTTCATATATTACCTCATCTATCTTTGTCTATACCTGTGATAATACACAACCTTAGTAACACAATAAATCTATGGTATGGTGAACGTTTAGGGGTCACACGTTCTTACAGGTTAACAACTTTATCCAGATTATACAGGAAATAGCTGCATACTACCAACCTGCCCAGTTTTTACTGTTCATCCAATCAATAGTACGATCTATAGGTAACATAGGACTTTTGCCAGTTTCAATCCGGTCTAATAACTTAATATTTGCGGTCAACGAAACCTATGTGGCTTACTACTTTCCTACTATTGTACCTTATTAGGTTACTTTACTTAATAGATTTGTTTTATTTTATTTAATTCCACTATTATTAGCAAGTGTGAGACTACAAATCGCTGATAAAATGCCAAAGGCCTACATGACGCAAACGGTAAATTTTACAGGAGAGCTCATCAAAATTTTCACTGTGATATTTTTACTTTTTTTACGAATCTATAAGTGAATCTATGTATTAACTCTAGAATCATGGGTGTGTTTTTTAATATAAAAATTGTAACGATATAGATACCATTTTTGGAAAAAAAATGTCAGTTTTATTGCGTTGTGGCACTTTGGCATTTAATCAGCGAAATATTCAGTGCAATCTGACTACCGCTTCTGGAAGTGTCATGATCTTCCACATCAGTGATTAAGCTTCGACCGTTGTACATACGCGTAATTAAGTTGCTTTACTTAATAAATTTATATTAGATTGTTTAATTCCGCTATCATTAGCATGTGTGAGACCACAAATATTCTGTGCGGAAACTTGACCACCGCTACTGACAGCATTACGGTCTTCTCTATTGGTGATCAAATTCCGACCGTTATTAAGTCTACACCGATATTGACGTGTTTCGTCTCTTTACGAGGCATCACCAGGCATTTAATAGAGCTCGAATATATCTTGGAAGACTAGTGTATTTCATTAAGTAATGAAACGGACTTTTACAAAATAACACCTTTTTTTTACTAATAATTAAATTAGAGGCGATGTAAATTTATGACCACAATTGTGGTGGCATCAGCGACAATCTATCATGTATATGTACCATTTACATTTTTTGACTAACTCTCCGATGCTGGAATACACCGATAACTAATTTATACTAACATAACAATTTACTACATCTCTGTCTTCACCATTTGGGACTGTAGTCGTGAGGATATATTCATATCTATTCGATGTCAATATCCCTTGCAGCTGGCGAAAGACGTTAGCTATTTAAAAGTACAAAATGAATACTGCAATCTCGAAATCCATGACTACAAGTGGATATTTTCGAACAAGTGATTGTCTAGTTTCAACAATTTATATTACCTACTCTACAAAATGCGGTAATGAATGGTTAGTACATCACTAATCTCATGTAGCTCTTTCCATTACAATTAAAATTCCATTATTAATGCGTCTAGTCCTCGCTATTAAATATTGTCTCTAAAATAAAAAGTGTACCAGTTGAGTTTTGCTAGTTCTTCTCAACTGAAGTAGATAGCTGGACTTAACGATAGGGATGGTGATAAAAATTTGACGAGTACAAGGGGCTGAAAGTCCATGTAATTTTTTTTTTAATTTGAGTGAAAATGTTTTTAAATTCTTCCATCGATATCAATGTCCTCCGTATGGTTCTCCGTATTAGATAGCGAGAACGAGACGCCTATATAACTGTACAGACTGCACCTATAACTTAAAAAGTATATCGGTACAGACGTGTAGCAAACTGATTGACTTTTTAATTCTGATATTAATTTTACCAACGGTAAAAACTTTAATAAATATTTTTATATTTTTAGAAAAAGTTACAATTTACAATATTTTCAGATTATTTGGAACAAATAACAAGTTGCCTTCAACATTATGTCGACCGAGTATAAAAATAGTTACTACAGGGTAAGGAAATGGAAATCTGTTCTGATTCAGACTTCTGGGCAATTGATATGTTTTGAAGACAAGTTCTTGTTACTACCATATCATATCATACTCGTGCTTTATTATTATTTAATACTATTTATATAAATTATTCATATTGCAACCCATTTACCTTAACCAGAACCAAGGATGCCAACCGTTCGAGAATCCTTTAAAAAGTACGATATTTTTAGCCTTCGCTATGTGGACATGTTCATCCTCGTACAAGTTTTTTGGTTCTATGTACGAAATTTTTCTGTCAAAATGATTATGTTGAAGTTAGTATGTCAACTTTTACAGAATTTATTTCTTCGTAAGAAACTAAATGATTTAAGTGTGGCAAGCCTGGTTAGAACTATGAATTTAATAGAGAATGCCTCCGAATATATTACGGAACGGAACTGCTCAGTAGTGATTTCAACTTAATATTGTCTTATAACGATTGAAGACATATTCCTGAAGGACTGACTTGTATCTCTGGTTCCTACCATCTCTACACCAGGTGATACTTATAGGTATTTGTATAACAGATTTAGATATTGTTTACCAATTTATTTAGTATCGTCTAATACTCACAATTTCTGCATTTTATTAATAGACACAATACAAATAATATACAGAAAATAATTTTTGAAAATGTCTAAAACTAAAACAATCAGCGAAATAAACATTTCATTAGCGATATTATCATATAATTAGATTCTAAATTTGCTACCATACTCTCTTGAGCGAATACCTTTTTCTATGTGTTATTCACTTTGCTGAAAGTTTAGCATTAGATAACATTTATAGAAATACAAAATTAATGTTCACAGGCAGTTATTATTAGACCTTTTTAATTAAAAGGCGTATTAAAACGTACCAATTTTAATTTTAAAATAATTCACGCACTTCTGCACGCGACTATACAGGCAACCGTTTATAAAATTTAAAATTAGGCCACAATTTCGTTAACATAGGTATATCACATGATTCAAAATCACAATTTCGCCAATTTTTATACAATTATAGACATTTTTAAGAAATGGACAACGTATTATTATATTATAACATCAAAATTCTTATCTAAGTACTTATAATATTTAGGATGGGATCGAATTATATGGAATCAGTCGTAATGGGTTGAGCAAGTCGAGAGCTATAGTATCATGAAACGAGATAGATTTTATTTAGAATAATTTTGAAACTTTCATACAAACTGTGCGGTGGACCAGCGGCTTAGAAGACCTCCTTACTTGCGATGATCGTGGGTTCGATTCCTCGCACCGTACAAAGATGAGTATGACTATTTACTTTAGTGTGGGTGTTTTCTATAGTAATTCTATAGTAGTTCTAACTGTATTTAATATTTGTATCAGTTGTCTAGTACCCATAACACAAGTTATGCTTAGCTTAGGACTAGATAGCACTGGTGGAAGTCTAGGATTATTATTATTATTATTATTAAATTGATACAGATTGACTGATGTCAAATTAGTATAAAAAGTTGAAAATATATTTTGAAGTTTGCACTTTATTTCTTGTTGCAAATGGTTCAATTTCATGAGTATAGTATGTGACTTGTTACCCTTTACGCTGAACCCTGTGTATTGTTAACATCTGTGCGCATTATAACCTATACCACCTACTGCTGTCGCAGAATTCACTAAAATACGAGTATCAATAAGAGACCTTCCAAAAGTTAGATCACACATCAATTAATTACTTTTAACTACCCTCATTCTCATGAAAACTGATCGTAATTCTCTTCATTTATGAGGTGACGTCTTAGTACTAGAGTTAGATAGTGGATAGTACTTCCTACAGTAAACTAAATAAAAGTAGCTGTGCCCGCGACTTCGCGCAGCGCATGCAACGGAAGCCCTCAAATATGAATAGTTATTTTGATGTATGTACCGTATTTATATTCATATGCATGTAGTAAAAAACGGTTATTTCAATATTACAAACAGACACTCCAATTTCATTTATATGTATATATGTTGAAATGTATATCCTTACCATCCCTTGTCACATTTCGTGACCTTCCTTCCATTTTTAATGTGTGACCCAATTTATAGATGATCGCCAGTTACATCCACTGCATCATACTGATATGTAGGAGAAAAAGGACGTATCTAATTATATATATGTAACTATTTCTACTAATATTTATACGGCCACGGTGGTCTAGCGGTTTAACACACCGCTTTACATCCGATGATCGCGGGTTCGATTCCTAGCACAGTACAAACATTTGTATTCATGAATTATTGGTTTGGGTCTTTTCTGAAAAAATGTATCTAAGTATATTATTTGTCTAGTACACAACACAAGTTCTGCTTAACTTGGGATTAGATTGCGTTGTGTGAATTGTCTAGAGATATTATTATTATTGGACTATGCATATATAGATAAATATAATGAGCAATATGTTCTACACCTACCCCTGGAAACCAACATCATAAATTCCCGGTTAATTTGTCAGGATGACCTGACCTGACCTCATGCTCATCTTATCCTCCACTGGTGCCCCGCCGGCATATACCATTATCACAGGCAGGTGCACCATTCCTTTATCATCCATAACAAAAAATACCTTGAATGTTCAGTAAACAGTATGTTCTACCGGGTGGTACGGGTTCAGAGTGCGGTCCGTTGGTCGTAAACGATAACTGCATCAGCGTCGAAGAACTGTGTGTGAGACTTGCTGAGTGCTATGATGGCCGCGTGTTCACTCCTCATCCTGTTCTTGTACTTCTTGCTTAAGTTCACCTGTACCACAGATAATATAATATTACATACCTGTACAAAGTATAGATATTGTTGAATATATCTATGGCCCTTCCATAAATAAAGAAAAGTAAGACGATGACAGGTGAACTGTCAAAAGCGAAAAGAGCGAGCGAAGTGAAGACATTCAGAAAGGAATTCACACGTGCACAAAAGATCAATATATCTACAATTAATATTGATAGTTGATTAATATTCTACAAATAAACATTCAAATAATACAAAAGGCTTTGATTTAAAACAGATATAATAATAATAATATTAGGGCAATTAACACAGCGCCATCTAGACCCAAGTTAAGCTAGCTAAAGCTTGTGTTATGGGTACTAGATAACTGATACAAATATATAGTCAGATTGAACTCCACGCGGTTCCAACTGGAAACCATCGTGATAAATATGCCGAGATGGGCTAACTTCATGCTCATTTTATCATTCTCCACTCGTGCCCCGCCAGCGTAAACCGTTAGAGCAGGCGGGTCCATCATCCAGACAAGAAAGTCTTATTGTTGAAAGCAATCTTTTCAATATGTTTATACATGTATTACGGGAGAATGTATTTGCTTGTAAAAGTCAGTAGGCGTTAGGATTAAAATTACGACGACCTTAGTCGAGGATCGAACCCCTTGCGACCCCTAGCGGTGCCCTTAGGCTAAAATTATATCCGTCAGGTATGCCAGATGGACCGTATGCTGCTTTGCCATTGTAGTATAAAAAATATCCTCTCTGGCTGTAGTCTTAAAGCTGTAATATATTGAGTACTAAGTACCTTAGCGTATAACTGATGCAGGTCATCCTCTGTGGACAGCGGGCGCGGCTTCGGTCTCAGGAAAGCAGGAAGAGAACGAGTCTTTAGAGCGTCCATATTCGCAGCGCCCTCGATTTCATCCAACACTAGTTACAAAGAAGTAGAGAAGCCTTCATATTAACTCTTTGTGATTTACATTATTTTGTTTAATTACGCTACCATTGCATTACAACTATAATAATTGTGTAAGATTACAAATATGCAGTAGAATAGAATAGAATAGAAAATCATATTATTCAAATAAACTTAATTTAAGCACTTTTGAATAGTCAACATTTTTTTAAATCTACCACTTATTCGGAAAGCTGTCTCATCACAAGAAGAATAAGCAAGAAACTTGTGTGTTGCTCTTTTAAACAATCCTTGTAAATTCACATTTTACAAGTCGAAACGTGTGAATACAAACTACCAACCAGCACTAATTTATTTAGGCTCAAATATAAAAACAGAATAAGATTAAATCAGTCGTAGTGATAAGAGCAGACTAGTCCCTACAAGCAGCACTCGTTCACGAGTATGACGGATGAGCCAGCCATCACTGCGCTCGACCATATTTTAGGGAGCCCAATGACCAGGCCCACCACGCCGCCACATGTCTGGACATTTTAGTGAGCATGACTACTCATTCCAGACTTTAATGACTTTAATACCACCACTTAATAACCACTGTTGTGGCCTCAGATTAAAGTCTTATCCGTCAGGCAGCGTTGGCGACAGACCTCTTTTTATAGCTATTTCTATTTTTAAAGCATACCTACATTTTTTATTTACAATTTTTGACATATATTTTTTATTATATTGTTTTGCTACATTGTGTCATATATTCTACCACTAAATACATCACTATAAGTTTGTTAAGTTATTTCATTTATTTTACACTACTTCACTGCCGTTGTCAGCCGTAATAGGCAGAGTCAGCCTTCAGACGCTCCATAAATCCACCCACAGTTTGGCAGGCATCTTCACTCATCATGCTCACTCAATCATTTGTAACGATTTTTCTTGACCGAAAATATCTACACTCATTCTCAATCATTCATAATGCTTCGTGACCGAAAAATCCTAAAGACGGGGTATTCGTCTATATAGAAGTTTCACTTCAATAATGGGATAAGGCTAGCCAAAAAAAGGGTGGTGGTAGAGTTGAGGATACCAACCCGTGCTGGAGGAGTACTGTGCGGGCTGCGGGCGCGGCTCGGGCACGCGGTTCACGTAGCAGTGTCCGCGGCGGTCCCCACCACCGCCCGCAGCACTCGCGCCCCCGGCACCGCCCGCACCCCCCGCGTAGCTGGCCGGCCGCACCCCACGCGCACTACCCGACTGATCATTGATATATAGTTATAAAAAAATACATATAATCTCAAAAAAAAGTAAATATAAATGGCTTGAAGAAGAGGACATGAACCCACCCTAAGGTCTGCAGCTAACTTTCACTAGGCCTAGGTCTAGTGAAAGTTAGCTGCGGACCTAAAAGGGATTGTTAGTAATGTGGACTGGTGATCTTATTACTAACAATGTTCCAGTTGACCTCCACAAGGTTACCCCTGGAAAATCTTGATAAATTCTTGGTGAATTTGTCACTATGGGCTAACTGACCTGACCTCATTCTCAACTTACCATCCTCCACTGGACGTAAACCGTTAGCACAGGTTTTTTCATTGTCATAAATAAAAAAATATTTCACTAGGCTTTGTAATACAACAATATTAACCATTTTAAATGTTTTTGGCCGAGAAGAAATGATTGAGGAAATTAGACCCTGGTTCGGGGACTATTTGGTATGTATGCATTTGTCATTTAACTTCTCCTAAATACCTGGATTAATTTGGATAAAATTTTGTGGAATATTCCTTACTTTGATGACCATGATTAAAAATCAATTGGAATCGTTGGGCTTTTCAATGCTCGACCTTGTCTCCCAGGTCTATTAGTTCACAGATATACAATAATATACATATCTTATATATACAATTCTCAAGTCCCAATATTAGTTACCATACTATAATTTTATATTCAGTAGGTCTGAGAATCGGCTGCTATCTATTTTTCATACCTCTAAGTGATAAGGGGTGGCCAACCCTAACATTTTCTTTTTTATTTTTTGCACACAATTTTGCCAAACAATGTTTGTAGGGTCAGCTAGTATAAATAGAAAATTAAGTATAGTTAAATCAACACCTACCTCTGCATGTTTCACTCTATAACTATCTTGACTTGAGTAGGCATGACTTTCCTTGATTGCATAGTTTTCTTTCAGGTACTGCTCATCTGAAATTGAATAATATCAAATTATTGAATTAACCACTGTTTTAATACTGTATCACAGGAGGGAGGGGATTGTTAGTAATGAGGACTGATGACCCCATGGATAACAACATGGTACGTTGTTGTCAGGTTGTCCTCCGTCGGTTCCACCTGGAAAATATCGTGACAAATTCCTGGTCAATTTGCCACGATGGGCCAGCTGACCTGATCTCATGCTAATCTTATAATCCCTCACTGGTGCCCCGCCAGTATATACCTTTAGCGTAAGCAGCAAAACCATTCCATTATCATCTTTTAAAAATAATATCATTCACAGTAGGATCATTAATTAAAACTCACCAAACGATTTCTGATGGCGCGGCATTAGGCGGCAGTAACATATAATAATTAACAAAATAACAACACCGCATATACCGCCAATAAACCAGGACAACCAAATGATTATAACGCGACCCTGCAATGAAGTAATTATAAGTAAACTGTTTAAATTTTATATTGATTTTATCTACAGTGTATACCTGCTGAAACATTTCAATTCCTAAGTATAAAGCGATATTCGCTTGTTTTTGATCCCTTAATATACCGTATGCTTAACATCTTATATAGTAAATTCTTTAATTTCCTACTTAAATATTATTAAAAATTAGTAAAAATACTACAAACTACAACAATTACAACAGTGGAAAGACAGACCCCATTTTCAACTTTTTTTTCGAATATTCGCGCTTGCGCACCTATACTACTCGTTTAGAAATTAGATATAAAAATAATGCATGATTTGCTATTTTTATTTGCCATTTATATTAAGTATAATTGTAATAATTTTATAACTCATTTTTCATATTTGTAGTCATTGTTTTATATGATTTTGCTGATTATATAATGTATTTCCTATATTTATTAAGGAAATATTTATTTTGTCTTTTATGTTCTTTATTATTTGACATTGACATAACTTGTTGACTTCATGTTGACATTTAGTTTCATCGTCGTATGTCACAAATGACATGCAAACAGCAAAATATTCAATAACATTAAAAATTCAAAACAATATTATTTTTTGTTTGTTCTTAACTTATCTAAGTCCGTTTTGCTTCTAGTCTTATCAGTAATTGTTTTCTCTTGCCAGTGTTAACAACCTATATTTCGCAATTTTTGGGACAGGGAGAAAAGCAAAAGAAAGTGTTTGTAAAATTCGTCAGTCATACGATGTTCGACGTCATCTCACGCCACTCGTTGGAACCTATTAAAAAGTAGTGTATTTAAAGACGGGCGTTCCTAAATTACATAAAATCTAAAATAACTTGTTTTCGTTGACATTGGCTCTTTCTTTATATTTCTGAACGTACCTAATCCTATGAGCTGTATTAAAAAATGGATGGTGCAAAATTATTTTTAGGGTTCATATTTATTTATGGGTTACTTGCACAAAATTCCTTTGGACTCTCACCAGTAATTTTAAGTAAGTATTACTATTTCTTCATAACAAGGTTTTGTTTACTTTTTAAAGCAGCAATTAGCTTTCATATTAATAACTTTAGAACTTTCTTGATAAATTTTTGTCTAAATATTATTATTGCATTTCTATTTTTTTTTAATTTATTGTGTATATATATATATACTTTTAAATAATATACTTATTGTTTAATGATATTGGCAGATATTGTGATAATTATTCATTTGTAAAAATAGGAATATTACCTATTTAAATATATTTTATGCAATTTAGGAAGTATATATAGTAAGCAAGTGTACATTTTGTGTATATATGTTATGCACAGACTGTATTATTTGACATGATAATTAAATAATAATAATAACAATATTTTATGTTTTTAAACAGTATCATTAATTTTGTCATGACTAAATTATGTGATAATAATAATAGCAAATAGTAATATCATCTATAAAATCTGATTGTTAATGTATGTTTGTGGTATATATTAGAGTACAAAAAAATATTAAGATAAAAGTGAGAAGTGTTGTGTTATGTCTGTACCTGCGTGCATGTGTTGTTCATAAAAATTTTATTTAATAAATGTATCTACCACCATTTTGAGAATATATTTATTTTTATAATAATGTGTTCAATAATTTATAATATCAACTACTTAAATATTTTTAACACATAAACAATATTTTTATTAAAACTTAATAATATATATATTTAAGTTCAGTTTGAATAATTGATCTATACATTTATTTTAATTGTTCTATTTTAATATTTAATTAATAATATGTTGGTTTTATATTTATTCACATTCTTCATTCTGTCATTCATTTGATTGATATGAGTAAATTTAGGTATTCCTTTGATTTATTGTAAGGCATTATATTTATAGTAATACACATTAGGCACAGTACCCTAGGTATTGTGCCCTGTCAGCATGAACTATAGGCGGATGAATCATTGCATTATCTTATTAATATCATATTATAAATGTGAAAGTTTGAAATTATGGATGTTTGTTACTCTTTCACGCAGAAACTACTCAATGTATTTTGATGAAACTTTACAGTAATATAGCTTATATATCAGAATAATATATAGGCTATAAAAATTAGGTGTGTGACTGTAGGCACAGTTAGTCATCCATAAAAAATATCTATAAAAAGTTTTACAATTCTCGAAATGTTTTTTATTATTTTTTATTCCTTGTAGTACCAGGAGATGGAGGCAGTCGCTTAGAAGCAAGGTTGAACAGAACATCTGTAGTTCATTACATATGTACTAAAACATCAGACTACTTCAATGTGTGGTTGAACCTAGAACTACTGGTTCCTATAGTCATTGATTGCTGGGTTGACAACACAAGACTCGAGTATGACAATGTCACGCGAGCGACAAGGAATCCTCCAGGAGTTGATATCAGGATTCCAGGATGGGGCAGTCCCGAACCAGTGGAATGGATTGACCCATCGCATCAGTCATCAGGGTCATACTTCAATAAAATTGCTGATGCTTTAGTGACAATTGGTTATGTGAGAAATGTCTCCATAAGGGGAGCTCCATATGACTTTAGAAAAGCACCAAGTTAGTGTATTATTGTTTTTTTATGAGAGCATTTTTATTCTTAAATATATTTATTACGTAATTCGAAATAAGACAGAATTTGTATGTATGTTTTAATTAGTTTATGATTAATTACCAAAATTATAGTGTTATAATATATAGTGTTGTATATAAAATAAAAAGAAATCATTTCTTTATATACAATATTGATAAGCCTAATCAATTCATACAATGCCATATAGTCCCAAACTAAGCAGAGCTGGGTACTAGACAACTGATATACATATTTAACTACATTTAAACATTGAGACCATCACTAATCATACTCACGGATGCAAATGTTTGCATCGTGTGAGCAATTAAATTTTAATAAACTCTGTTGAAGTTCATTGTTGTTGACAGTTGACAATATCTGTCTACCCCATCTACGATTACGATCATGTGCAGAAGTAAGAAGCTAATTATTTTCACAGATGAAAATGCAGACTTCTTTGTAAAATTAAAAACCTTAGTGGAGGACACTTACACGATGAACAACAAGACAGCGGTGACGCTGCTGGTGCACAGCATGGGCGGCTCAATGGCGCTGCACTTTCTGCGGCTGCAGACACAGTCCTGGAAGGACCAGTACATCAAGAGACTGTTGTCATTGGCCACTCCCTGGGGTGGTTCCATGAAAGCTGTTAAAGTTTTTGCAATAGGTATGTACATATTTGTCATTTTTTTTTGACACGCGCAACCATATTGTGTACCTTCCAGCAATGGTATTTCCAAACCGATACGATATTATAACCATCAAGAAAAGAGCTTATTCATTTTTAAAAGGCTGACAACGCCCTTGCAATTCCTCTGGTGTTGCGGGTGCTCATGGGCGGCGGTAATCACTTACCATCAGGTGAGTCCAATGTTGGATTGTCCCCTGTGTTATTAAAAAATATACCATACATATTATGGTATATATTTTTAATAACATAAGGACGAACATGGAGCTCACCTGATGGTAAGCGATTACCGCCGCCCATGACTGGTGCTCATGGGCGGTCTTTTGGCGGCAAATTAAACTTCGAAACTGGCATTTAGGAAACATGTTTGATGAAACTTTTTTTTACTAGATACCGTAAAACATAAAGATTTCATCATCATTCGGAAGAATTTGGTCGCTTATCTGAGGGTCTACTGTGGTTCAATAGTTATTTTAATTTATTTAAACTGACAGTGTTACTCTCGTATTTATAATATTATTAACGATAATTTATTGGTGAAAACCGTCACTACAGGCTGATGCACCATTCCATTATAATCTACTAGCTGACCCTCGCAACTTTGTCTGCACTGCGCAACACTTATAATCACCAATTTACATAATATCTTTTTCAATTATAGCCTATGTGCTATTCTGATGTATAAGCTATATTACTGTTAAATTTCATCCGTTTAGCAGTTTTTATGTGAAAGAGTAACAAACATTCATCCATACTAACAAACTTTCGCATTTATAATATTAGATTTAAACAAAACAAGACGATCCATGCAAGCGCGAACATTTACGATTTATGATAAACTAGCTGTACCCGCGACTTCGTCCGCGTGGAATATTTCTAAAATAAAAGTAGCCTAAGTTACTACTTATTGCATTAGCTACCTGCCAAAAAAAGTCCAGTCAAAATTAGCCCAGCCATTTCAGAGATTAGTCGGAACAAACAGACAGACGGACAACAATTTAAAAAAATGTTATTTTGGTGTATGTACCGTATTTATATTCATATGCATGTAGTAAAAACGGTTATTTCAATATTACAAACAGACACTCCAATTTTATTTATATGTATAGATATCATACGCTATTATCACATTGTTATTATAATCTGTCTACATTATTATACGATACCGTCCGCATCGTACGATTTACTTAATAACGTAATAGGTCACTGTACCTTCAATACGATCTCCTTTATTTCGTCGGAAAACAAAGCATATAAATATTAGTAAAAACACAAAAAGGACTTTGGACGGTCTCTATGGTCTAGCAGCGAGGATCCCAAACTTTTTTGTGGTCTCCGACACAAAAAAGATTTCCTTCCTTGCCATACTTTTCGGTTTTGGTTAGACCCCCCCATTCTTACCTGGTGTTAAATTTTGTAAATGTCTTACTTTAGTAAAGTTTAGTGTTAAAAACATAAAGTAAAAACAACAAGATGACCGCTGTCGTAGACCCCTTGCAGTTTGTAATAGACCCCTCTGGGGGTCGATGTAGAACACTTTGGGAATCACTGTCTAGCGGTTTAGCACATCATATTACTTCCCGGTAGTCGCGGCTTACTAAATTACTTAATTTGTCACGATGGGCCAACTGACCTGACCTCATGTTCCTCTTATCATCCTCCACTGGTGCCGCCAGTGTATACCGTTAGTGCAGGCGGGTCCACCATAAATGTAATGCATTAAAAATATAGATTTTTAAAATTACAATGATACTGCACCAAATTATATTTCTACATTATTTGTTGTCAACATGGTCCACACTCAGCATATATTGTGACAGTTTTTTTTACGGATGAGATGATATCATGCTTGTCAACAAAGTAAAGAAATGTTTCGGTTTTTTTTATGGATGATAATGGAATGGTGCACCCGCCTGCGCTAACGGTTTACGCTGGCGGAGCACCAGTGGAAGATGGTAAGATGAGCATGAGATCAGGCCAGTTAGCCCATCGTGACGAATTCACCAAAAATTTATCACGATGGTTTCCAGGGGGAACCGCGATGGTTCCCCGTGGAGATCAACCTGACATGGTACATTGCTGGCAATAGGATCATCAGTCCACATCGCTAACAATCCCCTTTTACCCCTATTGTGACAGTTTATAGTCATAGTGCTGATATTCTGACTGATTGACACTGATCATCCTTCAGCCCTAGGGGGTGTAGGACGGAGCCTCGGGGTGAACCCCTTTGCCCCGAGTAGCTGGGTTGTAAGCCTTGTAGGAAGAGAGTTAACACATAAAGAGTAGGGAAAAATATTAATACAAAAAATCTGACGTTCTTAAGTCGCTAAAATGTCCTATATGTAATAAACGATTTTTGATTTAATTTCATTTGAAAGAAATTCTAAACTTATTCTGATTTAAAAAATATTGCCATACTTAGGAATAATTTTGTTTGTTTGAGTGTTTTGTTGATAGTCTGTGTAGACCATAACCACACAGATGGCTGATAACCATATCGCAGATTTAATGACGCAATCTAGATAAAAAAATCCCATCAAAAACATAAATGTGAAATGATAGCCGAGTTTAATATTATGATATATGCCTTGATTGTTGACTTCTACGACAAAAGAGGTGAGATCTAAATGGGTGCCAAGTTCAATGGTCTGTCCTGAAATGTATTTATAACAATATAAAATATCATTTCTTCTTATAACTTAGGATATTATACTGTAGCCTAAGGTCTAACTTGGCCAGTTCTCATATACCAAAATAGGAACCGACAAGTAACATGTTTAGAACTTTCGAAGGCTACAGTATATTTCGTATATGAAAACTAGCCAAGTTAGACCTTAGGCTACAGTATAATATCCTAAGTTATAAGAAGAAATGATATTTTATATTGTTATAAATACATTTCAGGACAGACCATTGAACTTGGCACCCATTTAGATCTCACCTCTTTTGTCGTAGAAGTCAACAATCAAGGCATATATCATAATATTAAACTCGGCTATCATTTCACATTTATGTTTTTGATGGGATATCATTACTTTTTGAACATAAATTATACGAGGTACTTATTTATAACTAAATTAATACCAAATTATTTTTGATAAATACTGTATTTTCGTATATTTACGGGGTATAATTGTCTTTTTTTTGTGTTATTTTCTATATTTTCTTGTAACTTTTAAATGTTCAAGTGCAATGCCAATTCAGTATCAGGAATTTTTGGGCAAATCGGGGCGGTATAACGTCCTCAGATGGTTGTACTCTACAATAGAGCTCTCGTGACTTGGATCTAAATTGTTAAGACGTACTCCATCTAAGGTTTTAACTCTGGAGAGTCCAACGTAAACCTGCCCTTTAATAAATATAGAGGAGGCTATCTTGAGAAGAGGACTGCCAAAACTAAGGCCTTGTGATTTTTTTTTTTATTTATTTAGGACTAACAAACAGTAATACAATATTAAATATACATACAATATGTGATGAGATGAAAGATAAATGTATCACCAACGACGTTAATCACAGTTTACTTAAGACAATAACTATATAATCATGCAAATTTGTCTAGAGTAGTGGTGAATTTTATACAAAGTTACAAATATCGACTCAAAATGCAACTTATCTATTAATATAAGAAAGCGTAAAATGAAATAAAATAAAATAATAATAATAAATAAAAAAAAGGAATTACTAAGAATAAAAATTAACATCTATTAAGTTAAATGGGTATGTGACAAATTCTGACCAACCATCTTTTTGAATAATGATGGTCTAGTAGCAAATATATCTATATTAGAGAAGTTATCATTATATGCTTTAACAATTCTATTAATTGGTGACCGAGTACCAGAGTTTGTACGACATCTGTTAACAGCGAACAATTCCTGTTTTCTTGACGTTCTCATTTGTGCTCGCGATGGAACCCGGTAACTTATCTGGTTTGTCAAAGAGGTGCAATCATATTTATTTTGGACTATATCATATAAAAACATAATCTCAAGTTGTGTGCGTCGCGATGTTAGATTTAATAAATCAAATTTCTTCAAAAGTCTGTCATAAGAAAGATGGCTATGGTAAAACTTATATTGTAATCGGCGTAGAAATTTTTTCTGTACCATTTCAATTCTATCCGAATATATATTGTAAAAAGGGTTCCAAACAGTTACGGCATATTCTAATTGAGAGCGAATAAGACTTTCGTATAAATATAAGTAAGTAGAAAGGCTTTTAAAATTAACACAGGTTCTCATAACATAACCATACATTTTATATGCTTTATTAATTATATTATCGATATGTGTATCAAGTACGAGCCTAGTGTCTAAAGTAATACCTAAGTCTTTGATTATTTCCACATTATTGAGGACAGAATTACACAATGTGTAAGAGAACTTGCTTATATTTCGCTTTCTGGAGAAAGTGATACTTTTACATTTTGTTAGACTAAGTGTTAGCTTGTTAGTTTTACAGTAACTGCTGAAACGATTCAGATCCTCCTGAAAATGTATATGATCATTGGGACCATCAATTACATGATATATTTTAAGGTCATCAGCATACAATAAAATTTTGCAAAACTTAAAGCATGAATTGACATCATTTATGAACATTATAAAAAGTAAAGGACCTAGGATAGCAATAGCATATGTTAAGCAAATACGGAATTGTTCTCTATCAACATATACATTATTTAATATCTGAAACTTCGTATTGACACGTTATAGTTCGTAAAGACGATTATGTAACAAATTGACTGTTATCTATTGAATTCTCAAGAAAACAATTTGTTACCAATGAGTTCTCATTCTCGAGTTAACTATACATTCCTACTTATAACTATACTAAAATTGTTATTAATTTTTGGTTTAAACTATTGTCTATACCATACGTATTTACTAAAATAATGTAATAATAATATAATCACAAATATATAAGTATAATTTAAGAAAGCTATAAATTTCGTAGCATAAATCGCAACCTTATAGGTTAGATATCGAGAAACAAAACATTGAGTTTTATCGTACCGCTCCCACACGCGCTGCCGCGGCGCCCTATACCGAAATGCCTATTATTTAATAATTATTTATAAAAATAATGATTTTACACTATCGATGTGCGCTAAATATTGAAACAATAATTAATACCAAAAAAAAAAAAAAATAAAAAAAATAATTAATACCAAATCTCAGTTAATAACATAATAAATACGAAATTCGACTATACTCCTAGTTATAAGTACGAGTATATTTTAGACAGAATCTAAATTATAGCAACTAGTGTTTTGAGCGGTAAATGCAATATTTGAACTTTGCTAGTTATCGACACTGATGTGAAGGGGTCAACGTAAATTGGTAATGATCGACGTTTTCATACAATATTACTTTCCGTCCAGTACAAGATGAGATTTTACGCCAGGGATCAATGTCAATTGGTGGCTATCGACGTTTTCATAGAATTTTAGTCTTCGTCCAGTATAAGTTGAAATATAATCAATTAAAGTGAAAAATTGTAGTAAAATGATAACAATTTACCAGTTTCAGATTTTTTCCTTTATATTCACCTAATTACCTATCTGCATACCAAATTTGAACTTCCTAGGTAATATGGAAGTGGGTTATAATTTTGATCTATAGTTGATCAGTGATAAAAATGACGATTTTTGGACATTAATATCTAAATAACCATTTGAGATATGTTTATGAAATTTGGAACACATATTTATCTCGCAAGTCTCAATATATGAACCAAATTTGACAGGTTTATGTGAAAGAGTTTTTGAGTTATGAGGGGGTCAAAAGTGGCTCCAAATGGTTCGTGTAAATATACACACGGTGCTGCAAGCCAGTTTACTTGAAACTCGGCTTGACACGCTGCCGCGTGTCTAGATATAAGAAAAACAAATAACTTGTTTGTTTGTTTCATTGTAGTTGGTTCTGGAACCGGTTGTTATTATTAGGGTTTGCGTTATTTCGATATATAATTACTCGTATTCATCGGTAAGATAGTGAAGCAATACAGTCCACTTATACACGGACGGATAATGTTACTAACATTACACTATTACACTTGCTAGTACTTGATGGTATTGCTTTTTTATATATTTGTTTCATATTTCGGATTTATTTATTTGCCATGTAAAACAAACTACATTTAGCGCGTTAGTTACAGAATTGTAAGTCAACAGTATTTTTTTTATTCGGTTGTTTGGGCTATTGTTAGATGTTTGTAGCACCTGTAGCATTGCGACCTACATAGATCTATTGTGCTCGCCCTTTTGAGAGTTCGCTACCTAGACCCGTCAGGGACAAGAATTGAAGGATATTCTTAGGAGCGATGGGTTTTATCTCCTCGGGAAAGAGTGTAAACTTTCCAAAGGAGATATTTCGTTTATGCATGAGTGGGCTACAACCACATAGGATGTGAAGCGGCGTTTCCTCTTCAGTTTGGCAGAATCTGCAGATACATGTCGTGCATAGGCCAAGTTTATCCATATTCATGTTCAATTTGCAGTGTCCTGTGAGGGCCCTAGTCATCATGCATATGTTGTTTTTACTCAATAGCAGTAGTCTATTGGAGTATTTGTTCGAGAAGCCCGATATTAGGTCTTTTGAATGTGTTAATCCTGGCATTTTTTGCCAGTGATTCAGTGCTTCTCGTTTGGTTATTAATTTGAGATGTCCCAGTTTTAGGCAACGAGGCACACCACAGAAGGGTTCGGGGCCCAGTTGGGCGGTTTTTGCCCCTAACTTTGCCAGATGGTCGGCATTCTCATTGCCTTCAATATTAGAATGCCCGGGGAAAAAAAAAAAGTCAACAGTAAATATTAGGATTAAAATAATAATACAAGTTTCTACTTAGTTTTGGTACCAGGGAACAATGTAAAATTTAAACAAAAAAATTGGGTGGACCACCCTTATTACTCAGGCTATGAAAGACCTCGGTGGTCTAGCGGTCTAGCACACCGCTTTACGTCCGATGGTCGCGGGTTCGATTCCAAGCACGGCACAAACATTTGTGTTCATGAGTATGATTGTTTGTATCGGTCTGGGTGTTTTCTATGTATAACATGTATGTATTTACGAAAACAATATATCTATGTATTTGTATCAGTTGTCTAGTACCCATAACACAAGCTTTAGCCAGCTTAACTTGGGTCTAGATGGCGCTGTGTGAATTGTCCTATTCTCAGACCTACTGCATATACTCACAAAATTTAATAAGAATCGGTGTAGCCATTTCGGAGGTGTTTCGTTACGGTGTCACGTGAATCAAATCTATTAGAAATATTAGATTTGATACTCTTTGACTTCAGCGGCGATTCTTTTCTTATTATTTTTATTTATTTAGGATCACCAACAATTACTACAATCATACAAATTTATTTATTTACATGTAATGGGTTATGATTAAATGTACAATTATTTATAGGCGAATATGGCGTCCATTTCGTGATAATTTAAATATAAATTACATTCGAATCTGTTCAGGAATTAAGCCATGCATTTTCTTGTAACAAACACGTAACAAAACCGTGTTTACACAGTCACAGTTGCTAAACTGTTTCCTTTAATTACATTTATATTATGGTAATACAGGATGTTTGGTAGAGTAGGTAGGTATTGTTTTTTATTTATTTCAGTTTTTCTATCTAATGGCCAATGCCAAAAAAACTCTGAAGAGGAAGTAATGTTTACGTCCTAATTGTATTTCTATTTTTTTTACTATGAATTAATTTCACATTAATAAAGGGCGGGTATTAACCTGATTATGCAGATAAAATACATCATGACACCACAACAACTGCTCGCGATTACGACTGTCGCCAGGTCGAAGCGCCGAGATAGCCGTATGTAAATCATTATATTAATACGTGAAGCAAAACCCACTGTACTTCTTTTTACGAAACATGCCCGGACGGACACTTATACTATATATAGAGAAAGAGTGCACAATTGCTAAAATTATTTGAAAATTATGCATAAAAAATACATTAAATCAAATTAAAAAAATACACCCTACAATGTATTTGACACAGACATGTATATATACTCTTTTGTTTATTGCCTGTATGCCTGCCATTGCCTTCAAATATAGAAGGCTGTATTGTCTTTGACTTATATTTGAATATAGTCTTAGTAATGTTCAAAATTATAATTTTATATAATTAAGGTCGAATTTCGTCCACTAATTATTATAAATATATATCGATCCAATGTCTTTGAAACTAAGTACACAAAGAGGCGTCCAAATAAATTAGTATATCCCGTAATAAAATCAGCACTAACAAACTCAAATTGTTACCCAATGGCAATAAAAAATAATTTACGAACTGTCTTGGAGTTAAAACAAATAAAAAAAGAACTGTTATAATGTAGACGAACCTTTTCCAAATGGTCAAATAGTGACTGTATGTATTAAATATAAATTAATTAATTATATTATAGTATGTTTGTGATAATAATATTTAAAATTAACAATGTATCCCTACCCAATAGACCACATATTATTAATAATAATAATCTTTATTTACTGCTCACAAGGAAACTTACAATATTGACAAAGTAACAAAAGTATGTATTTAATCTTACAAGCTATTCCTTGTGAGAGTCTGGAGTCTGGAGAGAGAGAGAGACATATTATACAATAGAATTTCAGTTCATTTATATATTTTATGTGTATGATCGGACTACCAATAGGAGCGGAGCTATAAAAATATTTCAAAATGTGGGGAAACGATACGCAGACGAAGTAGCGCGGGTCAGCTAGTTAGTAATATGTTACAGTTCTAGCTTAGTATACATTTTCCGACTAAACCTATATATAAACTTGTGCAGGTGACGATCTGGGATCGCTGATGCTACGTGAAAGCACAATGCGGACTCAAGAGATTACTTGCCCTTCTCTCGCATGGCTAATGCCCTCGCCCGTACTCTGGAAGCCAAACGAGGTGCTCATCCAGACCGACAAGTACAACTACACTGTCAACGATTTCCAGAAATGGTTCATGTAAGTTGCGCTCTACTTTATGTATTACTAGCTATCCCGGCAAACGTTGTTTTGCCTTAAAATAAAAAAAAAAAATTAGGGGTGGACTACTACATTTAGGGGGATGAAAAATAGATGTTGGCCGATTCTCAGACCTACTCAATACGCTCACAAAATTTCATGAGAAGCCGTTTCGGTCAAGCCGTTTCGGAGGAGTATGGGAACGAAAACTGTGACACGAGAATTTTATATATAAGATATATATATTATTATTATTATTATATAGTATTTTAATATTTTAGATCGGTACAGACTTTGGTGGCATCTGGGAGTCGGAAATAAAATCTATAAAGTAATAATTTCTTGAAACACAGGCGTCTCTTTGATAAACATTTAGAAAAGTTTTTATTTCTTATTTGATGGCCTATGTGGTCTGGCGGTTAAGACACCGCTTTTTTACAATGGTCGCGGGTTCGATTCCTCGCTCGTGTACAAACATTCTATTTATTCTAGAATATGATTGTTTGTATTGGTTTTTCGTGTTTTGTATGTATTTCCAAAAAAAATGTATCTAAGTATATCTATCAGTTGTCTAGTACCCAACACAAACTGTGCTTAGCTTGGGACTAGATGGCGCTGTGTGAATTGTCCAAGAATAATATATTATTAATTTAAGAAGAAAAACAGAAATGGAAGAATGCAGTTAACCTACAATTATAGAATAGACTAGCTGTACCCGCGACTTCGTCCGCGTGGAATTTAATTTTTCTAAAATAAAAGTAGCCTAAGTTACTACTTATTACATTAGCTACCTGCCAAAAAAAGTCCCGTCAAAATCGGCCCAGCCATTTCAGAGATTAGCCGGAACAAACTGACAGACAGACAACAATTTAAAAAAATATTATGTTGGTGTATGTACCGTATTTATATTCATATGCATGTAGTAAATAACGGTTATTTCAATATTACAAACAGACACTCCAATTTTATTTATATGTATAGATTGTATACTCTCGCCTGAGGACACAAGAGTCTTCGAAATTGGCGTGTATATGTGAAAGGGACTTTCAAAAAGGTACAAGTAACTTGGTCCACCTCATTTAACGTCAAAATGGCTCTTGATAACAACATTTATTGACTTCTTTTCTTGAAGACCGAGTTCGAGTCTTCGACACATTAATTTACGGGTTGTAATCATACTGCATTTGATTGCACGATTATTCAATTTTGTACTGTTTGCTCCGATAAGTTTATGGCGTGATATTTTTGTGGAACTAATTAATAAAACCTTGAATTTTATATTGATAGTCCGAATTTATATATAATATGACCTTATTAAAATAACTCCATTATCTCAAGTGTTATTAATATTGATAATTTGTTTGTTGTTGTACGGTTGAAGATAATACGGCTTATATGCTCAGGGATATGGACCTGCTGGATGCCTGGGAGATGTTCAAGGACACGCAGAAGTATAAGGGTGACTTCACAGCGCCAGGTGTGGAGGTGCACTGCCTTTATGGATACAATATATCCACTGTGGAGAGGTTTGATTTAATCTTCTAATTGTTACTTCCTGACTAATATTATAAATGCGAAAATAACTCTGTTTGTCTCACTTTCACGCCAAAACTACTGAACCGATTTAAATAAAATTTGGTACACAGATAGTCTATAATAAACCCTGAGATGTCTTTTACATATGCTCCTTTTTAATGCGAAAAAAGGTTGTAATGGATTAAAAAGGGAAATGAAAGTGTGTATGGAAGCATTGTCACTTTTTAAATTAGAACGATGAAACTTATTTCTTGTAATTTTTTTTATTTAATCAAGGTCATTATATGAACTTTTATTTATATATATGAAACGCGGACGAAGCCGCGGGCACATCTAGTATACATACAAGGTATTCGTGTTTGTAACAAAATTCATGAGAACGGATTCGTAATGTAATATTATGTTATCTGTTTCATATGAAATTTTGTGTGTGTATACAGAAGACCTCAGAATAGAACGTAATCTGTTTTTCATACACCTCGGTGGCAAGGGTCCACCCCAATTAATTTTTTGGACAACTATTAAACTATTTTTATAGATTTCACCCTTCTACTATCAACCCCTATTTTTTAATAGCTTTACTATCCCTAGATATGGTTGATAAAATGAGAGTAGTATATAGGGTAGTAATAAATTGCAAGTACGTTCAGATATTGATGGATTTATATCAACCACTCCTCAATTGCAATACAAGCTGTCGAGGGAAGATTTAGTGGTAGTATTTAGTTTACATATATCCTTTTTTTCGGACTACTCTAATGCTGTTGGCCGCAGCTGGACGATAGGGGGCGAGTGCAGATGGCACTTCAAACCCGCAGAAGGGTTTATAGAGCGTGTTTGGGAAACTACTCTGCTACCGAAATGTTAGGGAAGCGTCAGTCATTTACCTGTATGGTTCTGCGGATTTCTTGGGCTTCAGGGTCTTGAAGATATCTTCGCTAGCTTTCCAGTTTCACAGTAGGTTTAACACAGTTCTAATTTATTTTAATTCACAACACAATGCGCGCGCGTCAAGGCCGCCGTACATTCGGTTCAGTACTAGGTAAGGGAGGGGAAGGAAAGACGCGGGAACAGAAAACTAACGGACTCTAATGTAATAATCTGTGCTTACGATGGTACAGGGTAGATTTTGAACAGAGCGGCTAGTGGCCAACTCTCGCCTGACGGATACTGAGGGCACCGCTAAGATTTCGAACCTCGGCTCAGGCCGTCGTAATTTCGATCCCCGTTTGAATTGGACGGGGGATCGATCGGAGGAGGCAGATACCTGTGCAGACAACTTTGTATAGTTTCTCCTTTTATATTTGATTTTTGTATATATACAGGCTGGTGTACAAGCCAGGTACGTGGCTGGACGGGTACCCATCGTTGGCGATGGGCGACGGCGACGGTACCGTCAACATACGCTCACTGTCCGCCTGCCGCTACTGGCGCGGGAGGCCGAGAGGCTTGCACGCCCACAGACACCACAACCTCAACGCTGGGAAACCCATCAAAACTCTGGCGCTGCCGAACGCTGAACATCTCAAGATCCTGCAAGATCAAAGGGTCGTCGACTACGTGCTAACAGTTATGAAGAACTGACTGTATTAAGGTATATTCAGATGAGTTGTAGGTTACCACAGGATTAATACTCAGTGATGATTTTTTTTATACTACGATAATGGCAAACAAGTTATCGGTGTTGGTAAGCGGTTATCATAACCTACGGACGCCTGAAAGACCAGGAAAATCACTTGCGTTACCTTTAAGAAACCTAATGATGGTAAAACTATCTTTATAACCAGTTTGAAATCAAAGAATATGAGAATAGTGGCTGTTGGTATTTAATTCTCTCTATCAACTTTGAAAAAAATATATAATTTAACGTTACTAGTACAATAAATTCGTTTCGACGGACAGTAAGTTACATTATAATCTGTTGGGTGCACGCTCTCTCCTTAATATATAAGTACGTATATATAAATGAAATACTCATTGAATTCTCATTTTGGACTGTATTGCCGCGAATTATAGTAGAATTACAGAAATAATTGCAATTATACGATAAGTCGTATATAATAATTATAAGTATACTTATTCAAATCTTTAATTCAAACCACGCAATTAATATATACAAAATTATTATCAATTCTGTAATTTGTCATCTATGATGACGAAATTGTTAGTAGGTACATGTAAATCCTTTATTATCAACATCATTGTTACTTTGATAACTGTACAGACAATGGCTGCATTTTCATGATTGATGTTTTTTTATCATTTTTTTAATGCGTTTCTTTTTTTAGATACTTAAAAATATACTACGTAGTAAAAAATTTAAGGTATTTACTTAATAAAGAAATTATAATGGTATCTGTGGATTTCGGGAAGTATATATAAATATATATGAAATTCTCGTGTCACAGTGTTTGTTACAAAGCTCCTTGGAAACGGCTTGACTGATTCTTATATAATTTTATGTGTATATTCAATAGGTCTGAGAATAATGCGTAAATTTTTAATACTTCTAAGTGATAAGTCCAACCCAAATTGTTTATTTTATATTTTGGACAAAATATTAAATATCATTATTTAAGTAATGATTCGGCACTGAAAATACATACAACCCTAAAATTTTCATATCAACCCCTATTTTTGAATAGCGATATTAGTACTTTAATTTATATGGCAACACAATGTTTGCCGAGTCAGCTAGTACATATATATATTAATTTGTAATGGAAGAAAGGAAATGCCTATTTCAGTCAAAGCTTTGTTTATGTCTACACTAATTGTAGACTCGGTCGTAATGTGTTAAGTAATGTATAATTAATATAATTATTGAAATTAAAGAATAATAAAAGTAAGAGAAGTTTAAGATTACAAATGCATATGTAAATAAGTCAATAATAAGCGTCTGTAACTTAATAGTAATAAGGTTTAATATCATAACATTGATTTTATTATATAACTAGTTGTTCCCGCGACTTCGTCCGCGTGGAATTTAACTTTATTTTTTTTTAATAAAAGTAGCCTAAGTTACTTTTACTACATCAGCTACCTGCCAAAAAGTCTCGTTAAAATCGGTCTAGCCATTTCAGTTCCGGCTAACAAACGGACACAAAAATTATAAAAAATGTTATTATGGAGTATGTACCGTATTTACATATATTCATATGCGTGTAGTAAGAAACTGTTATTTCAATATTACAAACAGACACTCCAATTTTATTTATATTATATGTATACATATAAATAAAATTGAAGTTTGAAAGTTGCGCCGGTTATAGAAAAGTTGCGAGGTAACAGATTGAGCTGGTATGGGCATGTTATGCGGAGGAATGAGGACCATGTCTTATGGAAAGTGTATAATATGAATGTGGATGGATGTAAAGGGAGGCGACGCCCTAAGAAAATATGGATGGATTGTGTGAAAGATGATATGAATAAAAGAAGAGTATGTTCAGATATGACGACCGATAGAGAGCAGTGGAAGAGAATGACATACTGCGCCGACCACAAATAATGGAATAAAGGCAAGGCAATGATTAGATTGTATAATTGTGAGGACACAAGAGTCTCCGGAATTTGTAGATGAATAATCAATAACATACTATTGTAAATATGCAAACAGAAGTAGTAAACATACGATTTGCTCGATAAATACTTGACCTTTGGATTTTTTTTGCTGATAGAAACTAATTCATAAGGCCGTAGTTTTTTAATTATTTATTTTTTATAGCATAGGGGACAAACGAGCTTGCGGCTCACCTGATGGTATGTGCCCATGAGTGCAACACCAGGGTAATTGCAAGTGCGTACCTAATGGCGAGTGCCCATGAGCGCCTGCAGGGTATGTGCAAGTTCATTACCTGCCTTTTAAGAAAGAATAAGCTCTTTCTGTGTAATGTAATGCTAAAGAAAACTAGTTTTGTTACCGGTGTGTTGTTTACACACCAAGTCACATAAAAAATAGTTATAAACCTTTTCTCATACCTACTGCATATACATATAAATATTTTTCAGAGAAGTATCATCGCCTGACACGAGAATTGTATATATTAGATTTTAAACAATATTCGAAAGATTGAGAAATGTTTGAATTGTTACTTCCTATTATTCCTATAGATCTATCTGCTTGCCGCTTGTATATACAGTATATTACTGATAAGAGATATTGAACTTAATTGAACTATTTTATCTTCCTATTAGGATAAAGATAATTAAATAATAAGAGATCTCAGTAAACAGATCTATTCATATCTCCACGCTAGATTCATTACGGTGTACACAGAGAGAAGACAAAAGTTTGTCTGCGTTGTCCGTACAGAATTAGAACTGTATTTCAGTTAAAGGTAACTCCTATTATATATGGTAAAACCGGTACTGTGAGACATTCACTCTAATGACTTATCCCTCCGATCGATCCCCCGTCCAATGAAAACGGGGATCGAAATTCCGACGGCCTGAGCCGGGGTTCGAACCCCTAACGGTGTCCTCAGATTAAAGTCGTATCCGTCAGGCGGTAGTTGGGCTTTCAGCCTTTCTATAAGTCCTTCCGCCGGTTTCGAGTACCATCTGCACTCGCCCCTATCGCCCGGTGAATCTGTAAAGGCCAGCTACGACCAACAGCATTAGAGTAGTCCGAAAAAAATGATGATTTTGTACAAAGTGTACATAGTTGAAATTTAACTCACTGCGCACGTTACAACATCCCCCCTCCTAAAGAAAAATGTTTGCAATTTTCTTTCTTGCCTATAATACCATCAATACTTTTACGTATATTGCGTAGAATATAAACACAATCTTTACGTAATATAACGATAAATAATATCGCTAGTCATAAATACGTAATTATTCAATGTTATTTAGAAAATTATACTTGAACATTGTTTTGTTCATACACTAATTAATCGACGCATAGACGGCCTCGGTACTCTAGTTTAACCACTAGACACACTGCCTTTCGATGGTCCGGTACAAACATTTGTATTCATGAATATGATTGTATCAGTCTATCAGTCTGGATACTGCTTGTAGCTATGTAATATGTATGTAATTTGCATGTATTTACAAAAAAATGTATGTATGTATTTATATCCGTAGTCTAGTACCCATAACACAAGCTCTGCTCAGCTTGGGACTAGATGGCGCTATGTTTATTACATATCCCGAGATATTATTACTAGCATAATTTTAGTCTGTGAAGTTCTTTACATTTGCTTTTCATTTGCATTGTAATTATTATAATAATACTTCCAAATTACATGAGTAGTGTAGTAGTCATAATTTAATATATTTCTTATGTGAGTAGTTAAATTATATATATTAACTCTTTATTTGTTAAAACATTTTTAAAATGCGTTCTTTTACCACTAGTTGGTAAAAGAACGCATTTTTGATAGAATGTAATGTAACATAGCAATAGTAACGATTTGGTTGTATATTTCAGTTTTTATAAATATGCAGATCAGATTTGTAAATAGTTATATAAGTTCGTTATATTTAATTTCTATAATATAAATATAAATACTACTTAGTTTATATATATAAACAATTTTATTGTTTTATTAATATTAACCCAGGTTATTAATACGTAATATTTTATATAAGAAAAATAATTATCTATGCTCATAAATAATTATTATTATTGTATAGTAATAAGAAAATGTTATATTAATATAAATTTTAATTAAAAATTATAATTTATGTACGACAGCTGGATTATGATCTAAGACTTAGTAAATGTGAATTAATTTTAGTATATAGGTTATAAGAAGCCGAATAGCTCTATATGATTGAATTGGGAATGGTAAATTCGATTGGTAAATATTAAGTTGACACATTCTCCCGCCAACAGGTTTGCAATCTGTGTTTCGGCTTGAACCGTGAGACAGTGCAATGTGGTAATGGAATGACTCCTATAGGAACTCATTAGAGATGCAGATCCTAATAGGACCCCGTTGCTAAAATTATAACATGTCTGGTGGACCTCCACGCAGTTCCACCTGGAAACAATTGTTATAAATTCCTGGTAAGAAGGCCACGATGTGCAAACTGACTTGACCTTATGCTATATTATTATCCTTCACTGGTGCCACGCCAGCGTAAACTGTTAGCGCAAGTGGTGCACCATTTCATTATCATCCATTGACTATGTTACATACATGAACAACATTATAGACGTCATAATTATTAGCAAATTCCCCAAGAATTTATCACGATGGTTTCGTGGACGATTCCAGGAGCAACCGTGTAGAGGTTAACCTGGCACACATTGCTAGCAATGGGGTTATTAGTTCACGTTACTAACAAACCTCTTCCCTCTGTATATAAGCGTTTCATCAAGTAGCTCGCTATATCTTGTTTACCATTCCAATTATATATTTAAGTCTGAATGTTTACCATCTTTAAGTCTGAATGTTTACCATCAGGTAGATGAATGATTGTTTGCTAACTTTAAGGAGAATAGAAAAAATATCACGCTACTCATTTGATAACTAATCACTAAGTGAAATTCATACAAAAAATGCTTTATACAGCAATTTATAAATGTATTTGTTTTATACACATTATTTATATTTTAACTGGGTCTTGACAAATTTGAGTCAACTCACTTATTGTAAATAATATAAAGCTGTTTACACCTTTATATTATTTACCATAAAATTACCATACCCGGTGAACAATTTATATAATTATCAAAACTTATTGTCGAGAGATAAATATCTGTATTTATCATATTTATTCAGGTTAAGATCCGATTAACTATATTAATAAATATCTTATTTAGTGGTGTTTTAAGACTTCTTTGGCAGTTTCTAAATATAATTAAGCAATATAAATATAATTAACAAATAGATTGTGCGGTGCGTGATATTAAACTCTTTAATTAGTTTTACCTTATATTTTAACAAATTGATTTAATTATATCTTAACACATCTATAAAATTAATTAGAAAAAAGCCAAGCTTTTACGGCTGTGATATATACCTCTCTATGATTTTTTTTATTTTCAAATGACATTTTTAAAGTTTGAAATAATTATTTATTAGTTCATATTGCGACTCTATTGACAACAAACAACATTCGCGTAATTTCCGCATTTATTTTCATTTAGAAACCATTGGTACAGTTCGTGTCATATTTACGAAGTAAAAGTTTCTGTAAAATTATCTCTGCGCAGAGCTAAAAGGTGGTATTAAAATTATGCTCAAATTATTTTGCTTGTATCTGTTTTGTACATTTTATACATGTTATTAGAAACTCGCAGATATATAGCTATATTATATTGTATCGAGTTTATAAATTGTAATGTAATGTATATTACTGATTATAATATAGGTAATATAAAATATTACTGTTTGTGTTTAGATTTGAACTCCGACCAATTCTTCGGTGCTGAAAAGACAATCTGAAAGAAAGCGGTAGGCTCACTCCCTTTCATGCTATTTGTTTTTGTAATGCCCCGGTAAGTTGTGAGCAGGCCGAGCGTTCATTACGCTCAGCCCTGTCACTCTGTAATTAAAAGTGCTCAGTGAACGGCCGAGAGCTAAGGTGCATTTAGATTTGAGTAATTTTCTTCCCCTAATCTTCCAATATTGTAATGTTTTTAGAAGATTAGAAGCATTTAGAGTTTCAATTGCATTCGCCGAAGTTGTTTTTTATGTTTGAAATTAACCGTTCACTCGAACGATTCTCTTTAGATAGTTTAGTTAAATCTATAAACCGTTAAGGTTATTAAAACATAATCAAGTTTTAATGCTTTGGAATAGATAGAAAGGTTCTGTTTTAAATCCATCTTTACATTAATTACACAAGCAAACGTTGATAATTGCAACTGACCGCTCCATTTTGTTTTGTAGTGAGCATGTTATGTTCTATATATATATAGACGTTATAATTTGACAATTTTAATATATTATGTTATAGATGCAAATACCAACATCACCATGTTACTTAATGTAAGAGAAATGAAGAAAATAAAAGTATGAGAAATAAATGCCACTTTTATTGTCAACGCAATATATCCCTTATTGCTTATGCCTCCAGAGTTGAATGCTCGCGGTCCCTGAAAGAGTATTAAAAATGAAAAGTGCATACCTAGCTGATATGATCTGAGTGCAAACACAATTAAATTCATGCCTCAGGGAAGTATTACATTATCAAACGTAAATTACATATAAATTAATATCAATCATTAAAGACTTTTAGAATGTATTGAAGAGCTTAAGAATATTGTAGTGAAAATAATTTGTCTCTATCCTGTATTTATAACTACAATGCTAAACACAATGCCTTACAGTTGATAATGTAATGCGGTCTTTTTAAATAATTGCGTGGCCCTTTATTGAGAGCAAACTTTTAAGAAGTATAAATTATAAGATTTTCAAATTAAATGTAGATATTGTGCTAATTCTTTTCATTTAGTTGGTTTTTTAGAAATATATAGAATCATATAGGTTTCATATAACATATGAAACCTATTACAGGAACTTTAAATGGTTCAGTATTGTGTGATATATAATAATAATAGAAGCGATCATATCCGAAATATAAATAAGAAAAAAAGAGTATAATATATTTTATAACAATACATAATATAAAACAATATTTTATCAGGTTTAAGCCATGCATATATTACACTATAAATAAAAAGATATAACAAAAAAATATAATAATCAATGAAACACATTCAGGTATTAAATATTATTATTATTAATCGTTCATTTCAAACTCCCGCCGTTTGCCAAGTCTATTCTTTGTCTATACGCGAAGCCTAGTCAACCATGTTTTACATCCGTATAAAATGACGTACAAACATGCAAATATATGAAATAAATAGTGCAAGAAGTACAAAACCAAATGGACTTGGCACATTGTAGTGCATTAATAGTATATTACAATATAAGTGCGTTATGTTGGTTATAACACACGAGTCGGAATTTAAGCCCGACCGCAGGCGAGGGCGTAATAGAGCCGAGTGTGTTAAATACATACGACGTTTTTCAACACACTTGATTTAAAATAAACTCAACCATAAAACTGATGTATACCGTTGCTTTCCAGCAGTTTTATTTTTTAAGTCAGCGCTACTTGCTGTCTAGCGACGCGCGGCAATTAGTTCGAAATTTGATAAAAAAAAAAGCAAATAGTGCAATTATGGAATATAACTTCACTATTTGCGTTTATAACGCACGTGTGTTTTATATATCGAAACCCGGTGAAATTAGATCCACTCTACGAGTAAGTGGGTTGAAAAACCTCTTTATTCGATCTTCTATTTCCAGGCAAAACCAAGACGAATTATCTTCTGTCTTGCTTACACAGCTATGATATCAATACAATCAAATATAAACTTTACAGGGATATATTTACCGTTTATTTTTCTCTTTGCTAAATCTATTCGGTTTTAACCTCCTTGCTTGTTTATCCGTAGCCCAGTATATAAATTACTTAAGTACTAATTCTATCTAAATAAAAGTTAATTATTGATATTTCAATCTCAATATACACAAAGAGGTTATTCTAATACGATTATACTATTTTATTATCTGTTTAAGATATTTATGTAGGTAATTTTAGTTTATTTCGTGGAAACTAGATGGCGCTGTTCTACAATGTAAATAGCGCTATATATATATAAGAAATAGGATGTTTTCTGTTTTAATGAATTAATAGAAAGTCGGATCCGTCAGGCGGGAGATGGCCTTCAGCCGCTCCATAAGTCCTTCCGCGGGTTTGGAGTGCCATCTCCACTCGTCACCTATGGTCCGGTCAAGCTATAAAGGCTAACTGCGGCAGCATTAGAGAAGTCCGAAAAAAAAATTGATATCGAATGGTAGTTTCAATTGAAAGCCCTAATAACAGCTTTTTTATGGTACCCACTACACTACTACCACACTACCTTGTCTGTTTATCTGTTAGTTTTTAACTACTAAACAGCTGATATTAATGAAATACGATAATGAGTGATATATGATAAAAAATAGTATAATCATACTAGTCACATGTTACCTAAATAAATTACTAGTTTCACCATACAACATACAAAGATCTTTCAATCACAATATTTTCCTTTCATTTTATGAAATAAAAATTTATATAAACAATAAATTGAACACAAATCAATAAAATACACGAATATTATTCTTACAGTACTTATATACAAATTTAGTTTGTGATTTTACACTTTGTTCACTATCTATTATGATTTTATTATCTACCAGGAAAATTATTTATGTATTTATCAAATAGGATTTTTATAGCATAGGGACCGTCCATTAATCACGTGAAAAGGGAAGGGATTCGGCAAAAATCACGAAATATCAGGGGCGGGGGCGTCCCCACGTGGATCACGTGATATTAAACGCTCTTGGGACATGTATTTATTATTACGTCCAACGCGCCCTAAACCGAAAAACGATGTGTAGTGATCTTGACTTTTCTAGAATAAAATTATACCTTTGTATTTACAAGTAATATTCTAAAAAAATTTAAAATCCTTATAGTCCACCAAGGAGGAGAGGGGAAGGGGTTCAAAAATGCTAAAAAACATCACGTGATTAATGGGCGGCCCCATAGGGAACAAACGAGCTTGCGGCTCACCTGATGGTAAGTGATCACCGCCGTCCATGAGCACCCACAATTCCAATCGTTTTCTTATTAGAAAACAAATCAACTATTATCGGTTAACTACGAGGAACAATCACAGTATTATTGTGATTATTTATTTAATATGGTATACATTATAAAACAAACATTTTAAAATTATAAATGCTTAAAGTTCATCCGTCGTGACATGTTAAACTTTAAATGTATTCAGATAACGCAATGTCGTTAATATACAAATGTGAGATGAGAAAACGAGCACCAAATATTTTTTTATAAATCACACAACGCCATCTAATAAGTGTTATAGGTATTAGATAACTAATAGAAATACCTAATTACTTTTTTTTTATTAGCACATTATACATAGAAACTTCCAGATCAATATCATAACTGTCTGTAATAGACATACATGAACAAATATATTTATATTTGATTGGATATAACAATGCCCTGGATGTTGAAAAAATAGAAATATTTAATTGTGGGTTCACAGAAAGTAGTTAGATTACGACGTTTTGCCTGACAGTCCAAACAGGAATTAGTAGAATCCTAAAATTTTGTCTGAGATTCAAACTTGGTATCCCCGAAGAGAGTAAGCGGTTTTCCCTAGAAACCATCGTGATAAATTCCTAGTAAATTTGTCACGATGGGCTAATTGATCTGACCTCATGTTCATCTTATGATCCACTCCACTGGTGCCCCACCAGCAAAAACTGTTACCGCAGACAGATGAACTGTTCCATTATTATCAATTGAAAAAACTCATAAATGTAGCATTATTCCTGATAACTAACTAAATCAAGTACAAACGCAATGCATTATCTGAATATTATGTGTTAATGATGTACTATATTTTCTACATGAGGAATGAATCATAAACCTATACAGTAACAAAATTAATATCACAATTGATCATAAACAATAACGACTTTTCCACACGACACCGCAACCAATCGCAATGCGTAATATGTGACCCCGCGATGACGTGTGAAAGGGCCCTAACTCAATACAAATGAGATAACATGACTATATACATTTTAAAATTTCTCGATTACATTATTAATTTAGTTATCGGGTCAATATTGTTCAAAAATGTAGGTAGGTATTTTTTGCATACCATCTTTTTCCCTACCATGACGTTGCCAGTTGTAAAGACCACACATTACGCCCCGCCACATGCGTGCTACGTGCCTAACACGTAGTTAAAAACGAATGGCCAAACTAAGTATTTAAGGAGTGACATAGTGATAACACATACCGAGGACCCTGATACGTGTTGGAGAACATTGAAACCCTCGAGCATCGATTCACTTTTCCCCTAACAAATATTATATAAATAGGTTAAAAGCTCGAAAAAGGTACTCTATTTAACACAATTTTTTTTCGTGTAAATACCCCGTTAACTATAGTAATAATATATACATTTCCCAACAAAAGAAACAAACTAAATAACAAAAGGAATTCTTGATTTCGACGAATTATAGACGCCCCGAATGTTACCATTTATAAAATATACACAAATATATGTACATTAACGAGTGAACATAACATATTCAATAAAATTTTACCATATTTTAAGTTTGAAAGATTTCATTGTAACAATTAAATGTGATGGTTTTGTTTAAAATTCGATAAAATTCGAGGCATATATAAATAAATACATATTATTTATGTATAATACAATATACTTAAAATCTATTAACTACAAAAAAATCAAATGTGCATATTTAATTATTAGTACTATGTCATAGTAAGTTTAAAAGTGTTTAAAACGTTTTTTAGATTAAATTAATATAGAATAACTACGACAGAGTACTATATTACATGTAAAATAGCACGTGCACATAAAATACTACTAAAAGTATTAAAAAAGCAATATTTATACATCAATATACCTTATAATGATATAATAGCATCATAGTAGTCTTTATTTGTATTTTCAAGCCAAGGTGTACTCTGTGGTAATTTATTTATAATTCTATAAATAATTAACAATTTGTACATACAGAGTATCTCCGATGTATTTACCACAGATTAAAAACTATTTAGTCCTCAAGCACTTTTATTTTTAGGATCGAACCAGCACTAGACATAGCATCGAACGTTTGGAATCCTATACTGGACCAGATTAACCATTACGCAGCGTAGATATAGCTTTGCATAGGAGCCTGAGACCTTCTTTGTGGACGTGGTAGAGTGTTGACGCGACCTCGCGCCTCCGGCAATGGCGCTCGTACACCGTTTGGTTTCTTAGTGGCTAAGAATCCCACACACACTCGGCGGGGGATTTTTGAAGATTTTTCCACGCGATGCACGGCCCGAGCCTTGCAATGCCTAAGGACTCGACGTGGTTAATCTGGCCCTACATGCATAACCATCAATTAATCATTGGTTGGTTGGTTTGTGTAATGGTTTAGTTTATGTTATACTTTGCTGGCTATAACATTTTTCTTGTGTGAATAAAACTATAAGTGCATTATAGTAGAATCCTTTACATATCATTGTACATACACGTAAGGCCTTTGTATGTTAGTATAAACATAGAGAATGTAGTGAGCGAAACTTCTAGAAACACAATTTCTCAGTCATTCATACCATCCCTATTTACAAAAATATGCAAACGATACCTTAAATGATAATAAACAAAATAATATGGAGACAAAACTATCTGGCGAGTAAAGTCTACACGAACAACGGTTCATATAACAGGCTAAATGCGAAAAACAGAGTCTAACATACGCCGGTCTAAGTCTATAATTCTGATTGGTCCATGATATACGAAAGGGGGAGAGTTTCTTTTGGAAATGTAGAAAAGACAGTTATTGAGATTATAATATTAAAACGATGCGGTAGCGCGTCATTAGCTACCTTTATACGACACGTTTATCACGCGCATCAGGAGCGCGCGATTTAGCGCGGGAAGATAGCGCGCGCAAACGTGAGTGATTGGTTCTTATCTATATTATATATATATTTTGTATTCACTCTTTCGATTATATCATTCATTACACTTTCTTTTAAAATAATATTTTATATTCAACAGATATTTTTTTTTTTCAAAAATACGTTTATATCAACAACTTTATAATTATGTCTTTCCTCTGTCATTTTTCAATAATAATTTAAAATGGCCCTAAAGCATGCACGATTGAAGGATGTGGAAACGCGCGTGCTGGCGACGTGCGGTTTTTCTCGTTCTTATTTACATGCTCATTCTTTCCTGCGTGAATCATGCGCTGAAAGTGCGTACGTGTAAAGGTAACACAAAATATAATATGGGCCATGTAGCCTGTATTAAATAAATAAAAATAAAATGATCCGACTGAATCGAATAATATGTAATCACACTTAGTACGTCGTCAAGTATCTTTCTAAAGCGGATGGTGACCTTTGGGTAATTTATTTGATTCCCCAATACATTCTCTATGTCTGTTTATATGTTACTTTAAGTATTAATAATGTTTTCCATAATATTATTATGTTGTAATATAAAGACAGTCTCATTAAATATTATTTAATTCACAATTTGACGATAATATTAGCTATTGAACTCTTTTGTCCTTTTATTACAAACTATTACCTTCATTTGAAAGAAAGCGACAGAATACTGTAATAGCTATATTTGTTTTGTGAAATTAAAGGCTTTAGTTTTTTTAAATAGTGGAAACTTCGAGACATATATATAACTATAGCTTTTGCCCGCAGCTTCGCTCGCGTTAATTTATCTCCTTAGAGGTGGAATTTATCAAAATCCTTTCTTAGCGGATGCCTACGTCATAACACCTACCTGCATGCCAAATTTCAGCCCGATCCGTCCAGTGGTTTGGGCTGTGCGTTGATAGATCACTATGTCAGTCACTTTTATATATATACCTATATATATTTAGATTTTAAACAGATTTGTGTAATTGTCAATTTCACATCATAATAATATATGACTATTATATTTTAAAGTATTAAGCTTAGTCTAATATACTTTATCGCCATCTAATACTATACAACAACTTAGCCCAATACTGCGGCCACTCAAAAATGTCCTCTAATAGCAATAGAATAAAATCGGTTATAATTTTCCTTCCGCCCAAATCAGTTTGCCTCTCAATTTTCGCTGTTGGTATAGCATCAAGATGTTTTCATAGCACGTCACCCAAGCACCATGTTTCAATAAAATTAGATTCGTCTTTCATGTATCAATATTAATGTATTAAATCACAGGAAATTAAACTTTAATTTCACTATAATAAAATGACTTTTTCTCTGATTCATTTAATTTTACAACTTGTAGTAATAGTGAGCTGCAGTAATATTCTTACAAACAAATAAAAAAAAAACAAGAACGCGACTTTAAAAATAACATTGATACAAGAAAATATTCACTAGACATCATATTGTAATACTTGAATATAATTTTGTCAATCTGTCTTAATGTATTTGTTATACGCGTTTCAATGTTTTTGAGGTGATATAAATACATTTCTCAACGTTTTTCATGAATCTAAACATCACAATCAAATAATGTATAGCGAGTTTATTTCTATAGCCGTATTATCTCTTGTTTTCATTATAAAAATCACTATTAAAATCAGCCGTTCTGTTCCCACATTTCAATACCTGTCAATGCATATTATACATGAATCGTTTAAAAAAACACCACAGACGCCGCTTAAGGTCTATAATAATATTAACAATCAAAAGCGACTCTAACAATGTCACTAGAAAAAGCGTGGCGTAGTGTAGCACGCGCGTTGAACTTGGAAACATGATCGGTCGGGCGAGACCGCACGAGATCGCGCGTGACCGCACGAGACCGCGCGTGTACGCACGAGTCTGCGCGGTGACACCTAGAAGCGGAAGAGGACAAACCGATAGGCGTGGCGCTACCTGGTGAAGAGCAGGTCGGGGCGGTAGTAGATGGAGACGCCGAGCAGCACGGTGGCGACGGCGAGTGCGGCGTGGCGCGGCACGTGCGCGGGCAGCAGCCGCAGCCGCAGCCACGTGCGCAGCCACAGCGGCGCCGCCGCACGCGCACGTGCCGCCGCGCGACGTGCACGTGCAGCCTCCTCCTGCCGCCGCATTTCCTCTCTGCGTATCAAATCAAATCAAAAATATTTATTCATAGACGACATTTTAGCCGCTTTTTTCCCTACAATCCAGTTCAGTATACACATTCAATTGACATATCTTTTGGAAGAATTACGATAGCGTATGCTGGTATAATTTTAATTTAATAATGAATTTGTATTTTTGTGGAGCGGCCACAGGTTATATATATTAATAATAACCAACCAGGACAATTCACACCGGCGTCATCTAGTCTTTAGCTAAGCTAGCTTGTGTTCATAGACAAGTGATAGAACTACTTGAACTTACTTTTTGTAAATTCGTACGTAATATATATAGAAAATACCCAGAGCAGTATAACACAATATATCTTGTAAAACCTACATCTGAATCGGTTAAGTTGGTACGGTGATTAACGCACATAAACGCACTGACGAACAGGCCAACCCTCTACATCCATGGTAGTTTGAATACAATCTTTTGCTGCATTATTCTTTATATCAATCATGACCTGTATGCACATATAATTATACCAAATATTTTAGATAAATGTAATGAATTCGTTTACTCACTCTTTCTTCTCCATAGCTATCACTTCAGGCTCGATATCCTTGGGGGGATACAGCTCATACAGTTTGTCGGCGGTCACCAAGATGTCTTCAAATGGTAAGTCATCCGGTAACTATTAACAACAAAATAATATATTAGATTTCAAAATTACATAGAAATTGTAAAAGGTTAACTAATAAAAATAACTGTCAAATGATTCCAGGCATTATTTTAAAGATCTCGTACGTACCTTTTGTTTGATCAGCACGTCCATGTCGCAGTCGGCAGCCAGCAGCTGCAGTGCTCTGCGTGCGTTGAACATGCGAGGGAGAAAAGAGAAACAGGAGAGAGAGAGAATGAGGGAGACAGGAGCTGCAGCAGCTGCGGCGCGCGGTGCAGCACGATGGCGGCGGTGACGTAGACACAGAGAGAGAGGTACCCTGGAGAGCATGCAGTGCAGCACGGCCATGTCGCAGTCGGCGGCCAGCAGCTGCGGCGCGCGGTGCAGCACGATGGCGGCGGTGACGTAGACACAGAGAGAGAGAGGTACCCTGGAGAGCATGCAGTGCAGCACGGCCATGTCGCAGTCGGCGGCCAGCAGCTGCGGCGCGCGGTGCAGCACGATGGCGGCGGTGACGTAGACACAGAGAGAGAGGTACCCTGGAGAGCATGCAGTGCAGCACGGCCATGTCGCAGTCGGCGGCCAGCAGCTGCGGCGCGCGGTGCAGCACGATGGCGGCGGTGACGTAGACACAGAGAGAGAGGTACCCTGGAGAGCATGCAGTGCAGCACGGCCATGTCGCAGTCGGCGGCCAGCAGCTGCGGCGCGCGGTGCAGCACGATGGCGGCGGTGACGTAGACACAGAGAGAGAGGTACCCTGGAGAGCATGCAGTGCAGCACGGCCATGTCGCAGTCGGCGGCCAGCAGCTGCGGCGCGCGGTGCAGCACGATGGCGGCGGTGACGTAGACACAGAGAGAGAGGTACCCTGGAGAGCATGCAGTGCAGCACGGCCATGTCGCAGTCGGCGGCCAGCAGTTGCGGCGCGCGGTGCAGCACGATGGCGGCGGTGACGTAGACGGGCAGCAGCGGCGGCGCCCACAGGAAGTAGTCGTAGAGGCGCACCACGTCCACGTACCGCGGCAGGCTGTGCCCGAACCACGTCAGGTACCACGGCAGCGCGAACATCGTGCCCACGCCCGCCCTGCACAAACACACATCTCTCTAATTATATTTCATATAAGATCCTTTGAAGTCACATTTGGCTGCGACGAACTTTATACATATAATTGGTATATTTGAGAATAGGTTGTTATATAACTTTTATACCCCTACATCCTTATCACTATAAGGATGGTCTACCCTAAAAACAGTTCTTTATTAATTTTGAATTTTATGTTTTATAATTTGGTAAATTTTCAGGCTGCTATCATCGACTCCTATTTTTTAAAATGGATATTAAATTATATGGCAAAGCAATGTTTGTAGAGACAGCTAGTATTACAATATAGTATCATACCATAGACCATTGTCTATTACAATATTGAGTAGAGTGAAGAAAGAGATTGTTAATAAGGTGGACCGATACTTGCATTGATGGTACATTGTACCATGTTACGTTGACATCCATGTGGTTTTCCCCAGAATCCATCGTGATAAATTCCTGGTAAATTTCACAAGATCTGTTAACTAAGCTGACCTCACGCTCATCTTATCATCCTCCACTGGCAACCCGCCAGCGTAAACCGTTAACACAAGTTTTATCTATGTTTAAAGGAAATGGAGTAGCGGACGGTTACTTGTCTAGGAAGTGCGCGAGGTCTGGATGTACGCGGCCTATGACTGGCAGCATGTAGGAGAGCAGGCGCTGCGTGGCCACCATGGTGGGCTCCATGAAGGGCGCCAGCGGACCCAGCGACAGCCGCCACAGCAGCGGGAACGACGCGCGCTCCCCGCACACCAGCAGCAGAGTGATCGCCACGTCGTGGTAGCCCTGCACACAGCATTATATCTTAATAATATTATAAACTCGAAAGTTTGTAAGTATGGATGTTTGTTACTCTTTCACGCAAAAACTACTGAATGGATATTGATGAAACTTTCCAGTAATATAGCTTATGCATCAAAATAACATATTCTATATTGAAATTGAATGCAGGGGGAACCGCGGGACAACTAGTAATATATAATAATAGAATAGAAACCATTTTTTCAAATAAACTTACATTGAAGCAGCTTTGAATAGTCCTCGATCTATCACTCATTCAGAAAGCTGTCTCATGACAAGATAGAGAAAGAAATTTGTGTGTTGCTCTTTTAAATAATTTAACTGTTACTTTACATGTTTAAGTTGGAAATATAATATAGTGTGTGTGTGCATGAAACCCACAACACAGAGGGTGTTATTTCAACAATCCTAGACACAATATTTCTCTCTCTCTCTTTCCATGTCTCTGTAGAACTAATATTCTTATTATGCTTCATTTTCACAGCTTTTGCTAGTTTGTGTGTGCGTGTGCGCGCATCTGTGTGAGTGGGTGTGAACACATTCATCTTAGCATTCGTTATTCGTTAGCGCAGGCATGTGTACCATTCCACTATCATCCGTTAAAAAAACCTATTATTATTAATATTATGACTCCAAATATTGCCTAATCTTTGATTAATGTATAGTTAATAGTAAAATTAAGTACTTGATTTAATTTATCAACCTAACAAAGCATTAACAATATAAACCAGTAAATAGGAACATTAATTGATAAAAGAACAGTGCAACTGTTTTTGATAAGGCCAGTAGTGGGTACACAATAGATAACTATATAATAGATATTATATATATAAAAATTATCAGGTATTTTATTTATATACACAACTGTTGCATCACATTAAATATAGGCTTAGTAATCTGAGGAACAACACTAAATATAAAACCAAACAGTAAAGCTATTCTGTAAACATCAGTTACGAATTTGAAAGCGAAATTCGCGGTAGGATTGTACTTTGGTATTCTGTAAAATGAGAGCAGGATGGAGGTAAAACAGGAACTGGTTGGATTTCTTTAGAAATATAGGTAAATTCTATAGCTCAGTAGGCATGTTATATTTGCAAATGGATATGAGTGCCTTGAGTGATCGATTAGTGAAAAGAGTTGAAAGACACTTACAAAATACCAATGCTGGACAGATATCTGAATAATGTTCCTGTTCAACCAGCATATAGATGCCTGATTAAATGGCACATATTAAAGATATAAAATAGCAGATTTCAACAACATGGCCGAGGCTAGATTCTCAATGGAGAATTACCTGTCCGAGAGTCTGGCTAGTTTATCTTTTAAAAATATAATATTATCTTAGATAGTATTATATTTTTAAAAGAAAAAGTAGAAAAAAGGGTTTGGTATAAATGATTAAGATACATTTTAATAAATATTTAATAAGTTAATAAATAGTAAATGTTACTAAATAATTAACTAATGTATATGTAATATTACTATGTCAAGTTGTGATTAAGAGATTGATTATTCACCTGGTAATATTTTAAATTCTCTCTCTCTTTATGTCACGAGATTTTATAGTCTGTAAGACTATAAAATCTTAGTTTATCTTTTAAAAAAATAATATTATCTTAGATAGTATTATATTTGAAAAAGTTAAAAAAAGGGTTTGGTATAAATGATTAAGATACATTTTAATAAATATTTAATAAGTTAATAAATAGTAAATGTGGTGTTACTAAATAATTCTCTGATTAAGAGATTGATTATTCACCTGGTAGTATTTTAAATTAGGAGACTTCTTGATGACTCGCAGAATTAGCACCGTGAGCTGGTCCTGCAACGCTATACGCTGCTCGTATGGAATGCCTGGTGGAAACCTCTTTAGAGAACGATTTACATCCAACACCACCTGGAAATTTCAATAATCGCAATATTATTTGTCTGATTAATATTGAGATAGATAGACAGGCAACATTTTATTTACATGTTTATTCCTTTAGATCAACTCGGATCACAGATGAAATCAAAGTCTGTAAATCTATACATATAAATATAATTGCAGTTTGTAATACGGAAATAACCGTTTTTACTACATGCATATGGATATAAATACGGTACATACGCGGAAATAACATTTTTTAACGTTTATTTAAAATGTTTGGACTACTTTTTGTTGGGTTGTAATTAGGGATAGGGGCAGACACCAATAATAAAAAAAAGTATTCATAGATATTAATAATGAAGGCTTGAAACTTCAGATTTTATGAAATCATAAAAGCTGAAGTTTCAAGCTCTCAAATGACATATTATTTTTATTTAAATGTTGTATAATTTTATGTAGAATAATGTTTGAATTTAGAGTTAGCGCTTGAGTAGATTTGGTTGCTCGGAGTGTATATTTATTATTTACATTTATTTTACTGTTTATAAAGTTCTAAGATTTAGTTGATCAGTATACAAGTAATATAAATACATACCTGGTTATACTCCTGATGTTTAGATAGCTCGTCCAGAGATGGTGGCTCAGTCATTTCGTCACGAGTTACGCCAACCAATAGAGGCCATATAACTTTTCTGTAGTCATCTGTATGTATTTAATATTAATTACACATACAATCTGTTAACAATCTGTTGATATATACTAAGGTACACTTGTACAAAGTTTGCTGCCTAGGCATCTATCTTATTTATTTATAACTAGTTACTCAGCCCGACTTTGGTGTAGATGTATTATATTTATATGTAAAACCTTCCTCTTGAATCACTCTATCTATTAAAAAAACCACTTCAAAATCAGTTGCATAGTTTTAAAGATTTAAGTATACATAGAGACAGACAGCAACAGCGACTTTGTTTTATACTATGTAATGTAATGATATGCGTTTAGAAAAATCTTCAGCTACAAAATTACACTATGTCTCTTAAACCATAATGTTGACGGAATCAGAGATGAAAATTGGTGGCAGTCATTTAAAATATAGAAGAAAAGGCGTGTTTTAGTTGAAGGGAGAGATGAGATATGACATTTTAGTCCTAAACGGCAACTGAGGGATACCCTGGTTGTCCCATGACAATGTGACAGTAAATTATTTTTTTTAATTTACTTGATAAGTTAGTGTTGGTTTTGTTTATTTATTATTTCCCTGCCTACGTTCATCAGCTTGTCCTAAGACATAGCCTCCTCCAAGAGACTTCATGTTCCTCGGTCCAACACTTTCCTTCTCCATGTTGGTCCCGCCACTGCCCTTATATCATCCTCCTACCTCTTTTTCTGACACCTTTGTTTTCCTTTTTGTGTTTAATTACGTCATTAGAGGAATATCAATTCTTTTTACTTCTACCTAAAGATTAGCTGGTAGAGAATGCCATATGTCAATAAGCTCGCTTTTTGTACACTCGTTATTGTGCAATCTTATAATAATAAACGCGAAAGTTTGCGAGTATGGATGGACGTTTGTTACTCTTTCATGCAAAAAATACTGAACGGATTTTGATGAAACTTTATAGTAATATAGTTTATACATCAGAATGTATATAGGTATGTATAATATATAAGTTATTAATTTCACGCTGGGGAAACCGCGGGAGCAGCTAATAAAAAATAAGACTAAAAAAACTGTTATTTATTTTAAAATTTTTTGCAATGTCATGCAATATATATAACATCATGACAATGTGATGGGTTGTCTATGATTGTGTGATATCTTGATTTATATCATTACATCCCTAATACATTGATACATGTTATATATAGGAATATAACATGGTAGTCCTATATATATATCTACAACAAGATACATAGTCTACATATATATATATATAGTCTACAAAGAAGATTCAGTCTGCAATTTTACATATAACCACGTTCGAAGAGGAACATCTGCCCCGTGTTGTATTTCATCCAAAAAAAGTTATGTATCTGCCAAATTACTTGAATATTTAAGCTGTCAACATTTGATTTAAATTATTCACTACAAAAACATATACAAAGATCAAATTAAGAGCAATAGATAATTGTGGACGCATATATATAGCTGACGCATGCAAGAGTAATAAATATGATGTAAACAATCGTAATTAAATATGACAGTTTACCAGATATCAGGCCCGCTTTGCTCCGTGAAAAACTCTTCCACTGATCCAAATTTACCACGTCTGGATTGCTGAGACATTCTTCAATTTCTTTGCGTTTTCTAGTAATGTATGGGTCCTCTGTATCCAATTCTGCATACAATTGACAAATTTTAATCACTTTCACTTAGTTTTTTTTATAAAATACAATGTAATTTAAAAAAGTAACATAAGGCAACGGACACACAATTATATATTATTTTAAACACTGTCCTTAACAAAATTTAAATTAGTAGCTACAATTATTACTGTACTTTTAAATACCTTGATCGAAATTCAATTCGGAAGGCGTAGAAATGTCATCGATATTTTTCGTGTGATTCAGGTCGAACGCCTCCTTTTCGGAAAGCGGTGAACAATCCCCATTCGAGTTACACTTATCACTAATATCGGTGTCTGTATATGTAGACTCCATCACCAAAATTTTGTTAATTATCCGAGCAAAAACATTACAACATTTTTAGTACGTGATGACATTTCGACTATGAATATATGGGTACGAAGGGGACAGTTGCAAACGTCAAATGCAAACTGACTTATGAATGAGGCGCCCTCTATATTTTCTATCCAAAAACAAAGGAAACATTTTGAGTGATGGCAATCTAATGAGAACCATTAGAGGTTTTGTGTCATTTTATTTTGAATTTACCTTATTATTAGAGTTCATGTAGTGTTCTTAAAATTTAATCCTAATTATAATATAAACGGAAATGTCAGTTAGTATGAGAGTCCATGGAACTCTGACGATGGAGACGATTATTAGCCTGAGATTGGAGTTTTTTCGAAACTTAATATCGTCATCAATTATAAAATATCAATCAGAATTAATTTAAAAAACAACATTAACGCGAACAAAGCGAGACGGACGCAAACCCATCAGGTTAGCGTTGACATTGATTTTGTGTTCGTAAATGCTAGTACATAATATATAATTTTATAATGAAGTTTGAGCTAGATTACTTTTTATTATGATTAAGTAGTAGTAGTTATTATAAGTATTTAAAATATAAGTAGAGTAGATATAATTCTTATCAGAATTTTACTTTCAATCGAATTTCCATATTTTCTTTTATGAGAGGACTTTATAATAGAAAATATGAGAATTCAGTTAAAGAATCAGAATTCAGTTAAAAAAATATATAAGTATTAGTTAAGAAGATAATTTTCAGAGGGCGTCATTACAAAATGATTTATGTAACACAATAAATCTTCACAAATTACATTACTTTTTACTAGCTGTGACCATAGAGTCCACAAATTCCACAAACCATCACTAGGGCATACCGATACAATAGGGGAACGAAACATACCGTTTTTTTTTATTAAAGATGATAATGGAAGGGACACCCGCCTGCGCTAACGGTTTACGCTGGCGGGGCACCAGTGGAGAATGATAAGATGAGCATGAAGTCAGGTCAGTTAGCCCATTGTGACAAATTCACCAGTAATTTATCACGATGGTTTCCAGGGGGAACCGCGTGGAGGTCGACCTGATATGATACATTGCTAGCAATGAGTTCATCAGTCCACATTACTAACAATCCCCTTTCCTCCCTACCGAAACATACCGTTGGTGTTGTCCCGTTGTACATATTACGTTAATTTTCCTTCAAAGGTAAAATTCTAACACCGATAGATAGGTAATTTTTATAGGTTAGCAACATAATTGTAGACTACCCTGCCCTTAAAAACTTTCAATTAGGAATTCATCATCTATGTTACATAAAAAAGAATATGTGTATTGCTAATTATAAAACTCGAGAACGTCTAGAACAATTTTTCAATTTTTTTATAGTTATAGTTACTTGAAGTTGAGTTAGTTAATTATGCAGAGAATTAGAAAAATAACCAGAAGAGCATACAACTCTACTTTACTTTTTTTTTTTTTGTTCAGTTTTTCCCTTTTTAGGGAAAGGCAAAAGGACTCAGCCCATACAGCCATTACTTTTCTTTTTCCCATAGAAAGTGATCATAGATGTCAATTTAGACATTTCATAAAATAGATAGACTCAAAGAATAAAGTAAAAATACCAAAAGGGATAGACTATATAGAGTAGAATGTGGTGGAACAGGGTAAAATGGAGTCGAATTGAAGGGAAGGGGGTTGCTTAATTTGGACTGTTACACCCATTGCTAGCAATGTGCTATGTCAGGTTGACTTCTACGCGGGTACCCTTGGAAACCATTGTGATAAATTTATACTAATTTGCTACGATGCGTTAACTGACCTGACTCATGTTCATCTTATGACCCTCCACTGGTGCCCCGCCAGCGTAAACCGTTAGCGAAGGCGGTGCTCCATTCCATTATCATCTATTAAAAAATGGAGTTGAATAGAATTGCGAGAAAGGAGAAGAATAAACTTATATTTATGCATAGATAACTTTTTTCTCCTTTTTTTTTTTGTCTATCTGCGATCAGCCAATTAGCTTTTATCAGATTTTATAGCTTTCGTTATCTGTAGCTTTGAATCATAGATAACTTAAAAAAATAAAATCAGTATATATACACATAGATCTGAATCTGTGAAAGCCACTGTATTTCATAGTAGCTTGCTGCGCTCATCTGGGTCCATAGTGCTCTTATACTTAATAACTTTATGTCAACCTTTGTTGTAACACTGGAATGCAAATGAATAAATAAATAAATAAATCTGGCATACATATCAATATTCATCGCAGATTCCTTCCGGTGTAGGCAATTGGCTTGGATTATTTAAACCTCTTGCTACACTTTCGTAATCGATCTCAAGTAGGCGTACATATTATTATAGTATGGTATACATATTCATGATGACTCTTCCATCAGACGATCGAAATTAAATCGAAACGTTCTTGAAATTGGTCGATTTTAACTCAAAGCTTACGCAAGTAAGTATGATATAAAATAATACAAGGCACTTACATATATATAATATATACACAGACAGCACTTGACATGCATTCTCAATATTAACACAATCTAATTAATAGTAGACATGGGTATTTGAACGATTATGTCTGTCTTCATTTTATATAATATTATTGTATAATAATAAATAGCACCAGACAATTAACACAGCGCCATCTAGTCCCACGGTAAACAGAGCTTGTGTTATGGGTACTAGACAACTGATATAAATGATTAGATACATATACTTTTTTGTAAATACATACATAATATGCATAGAAAACATAAACACTTTTTATAAACAATCTAATACAAATGTTTGTAGGTACCGTGCGAATAATCGAACCTGAGATCATTGGAAGTAAAGTGGTGTGCTAAACCGCTAGCTCCACCAACCACCAAGCTCGTCATACTTATATTATCTATATGTATTTTATGTATTATGTACTAGCTGTTCTCGCGACTTCGTCCGCGGGGAATTAGACTTTATTTAAAAAAAAAAGATATTTTCTAATATATAAGTAACCAAAGGTAACTGATGTAATAAGGAGTAACCTTATTACATCAGTTACCTGCCAAAAAAAGCCTCGTCGAAATCGGTTTAGCCAATTCAGAGATTAGCCGGAACAAACAGACAGACAGACAGACAAACAAAAATTATGAAAATTTTTATTTTGGTGTATGTACCGTATTTACATTCATATGCATGTAGTAAAAAACGGTTATATCAATATTACAAACAGACACTCCAATTTTATTTATATGCATACTTATAATATTTATTATTATTCTTTCCGTTTAATATAATTTAAATTGTTTTAATAAAATCGTTTTTTGTACTTTCTTACTTTATAAATTATGTTGCGTTACATTTCCGGTGCAATAAACAGATAAAATAAAAAATGTCTCGTAGCGCATATCATTTACGATTCTATAGAATTTTTTTAACGATGGACGTATTGCACCAGTACTAAATCTTTGTAGGTATATGAAAAAAGATGACTTGCTGTATTAAAATAGAACATACTATTATTATAAGGATGTTGATTACTATAATTGTACTTTGTATTGACTGCTTTACGTCCGATGGTCGCGGGTTAGATTCTTCGCACAGCACAAACATTTGTATTCATGAGTATAATTGATTGTCTGGGTATTTTCTATGTATAATATGTATGTATTTACGAAAAAAAATATCTATGTATTTGTATCAGGAATCTAGTACCCATAACACAAGCTTTAGCTAGCTTAACTTGGGTCTAGATGGCGCTGTGTGAATTGTCCTGAAATTATTATTATTTTAATATTTTGAAAATAAGTACGGTGCCTTTAATATAAACATAAATGAGAAATCATTCTATATTTTCCATTCAAAATGCAAAATACAAAAAGTATCACTATCATTTTCTATTTAAATACATTTTGTAAGCAATTTTGACACATCTTCCTTATTATTATTGATACAACTCATTCGTTATGAAAATTAATACAAAGAAGATGTCAATAATTTTAAATATTATATTATATGTATGTTATTCTCTAAGGTATTTATAATATGGGCCTAGTTGCCTGAAATAAATGAATAAATAAATAAAATAAAATAATAAATTTCATAAAGAAAAAATAGTCTATAACAAAAATAATTTCTAATATGTCATTGTCAAAAATTGACCATCCTGATTGGATTATTTTTAAAGTATTTCTATATAAAAATTTCCAAAATATAAAATATCAAAAATACATATTACTTCATATTCTTTAAAATGGATTCCAGTGTTTGTCCACAGGATGCGTGTATTAGAAAAATTGAAGATATAATAGATATAGAGGAAACGAATGGGAATTGCAGCGTCCGCCAAGTGGCATTCAATTTACCATCAGCGGATACTACTGACAGCACAGTCTCCACGAACTTGACGAGGAGTCTGGAGTCTGGCTTAACTGAAGCCAAGCAGGAGTACACCAATAAGAAGTTCATGAAATATAAAGTTAGACGTCACAAGAGCCCTCTACCAGACGTTGTATCATGGCCTAGTGATTCTGACATCACTGTATTGCGAATGAAACTTTGTCTAAACAGCGGTTTAAAAGAAAACGTGTCCAGTGTCACCGGTGATGGTCTTCACCAGCCAGACAGTTCATCCATGATCAATTTAGCTACACTTATACTGCACTCACAGCATCCGTCTAAACAGAATATTAACATTGAGGAATATCTGCTTCCGTTGAGTTCTTGGGAACAGAGTCAAGATCAAGAAATCGGGGTAAAGGACCCATTGATTGAAGACCACATCGCTGATGATTCTAAAAAGATAGGCGATGATATAAAGTTACATGAAGCTATTTGTAGTTACAGAGGCAATGACGATATAAGCCTACCCGATAGGGGCATTTTCAGACGGAATAAAACATCGAAAGTGGCAAGATTTCTACGACTCTACTTTTGTCCTTGCTGTACCTGCCTTTATAAATTAGAGAAAATGCGTGATACGCCGTCTGTGTGTTTCACTAACCGCAAGGAATTTAAAAATGTGATCGAAACATGATTGTTTAATTGATTGCTGCATATTTGTTAATACATTTCATTATAAATTGATCTTGCATTTGTAAGTATTATTTATTTTTAGAAGTCTATCTATTTTTCTTCACGTGCGTGCATTCTATTATTAATAGGAACTTATAATTGTTAAGGAAAAGTTATTAATTTTAAATAGATCATGTAAGAACTGATAGAATGATCATTGGATTCCTATCTGTCCCAGACGCCTGTTGTAAAAGTATTAGATGTCAACCAATCGCACGCTAACATATACTTGCCTGTTGATGATTATATATTTTTTAACTTAAAAAAGACCTATAAAATAATAATCACTCATTAACTAAAATAGACGTCATATCTTTTAAGCGATTTCCATTTGATTTCAATTCCATTCTAATACATATTAGACTTGTCCTCTGCCACGTTGTATTCTTTTTTCTTTTGAATGATAAAGGAATGGTGCTCCCGCCTGCGATATGGTCATTCCGACATGGCACATTGTTGGCAATGGGGTCATTATCTCATTGCCAGCGATGTACCACATGTAATGATGATGTCCACATTATTAACAATCCTCTTCTCCCCGCCACATTGGATTCAGATTGGTATACCAAGCTAAGAGTTCACCATCATTCAATATCATCAAGAAAGAATGAATTAAGATACACAATCCATTAGATTAAATACATATATATGAGCATATTTGATCTAACGGAATCAACAATTGACGGCCTCGGTGGTTTAGCGATTTAGCGCACCGCTTTACTTCTAATGTCCGCGGGTTCGATTCCTCACACGGTACAAACATTTGTATTCTTGAGTATAATTGTTGTATAGGTGGTTTGTATAAATATTATAAATGTTACCATAACATAACATGTAGCCATAACATAAGCTCTTCGCAGTTTGGGACTAGATGGCGCTATTAAGGGAGGGGTTATGGTAATGAGGACTGTTTTTGGACTGTGGACTATGGTTGGTTGACCTCCACTTGTCTCCCTTGGAAACCATTGTGATTAATTAATGGTGAATTTACCACAATGGGCTAACTGACCTGACCTCATGCTCAACTTATAATCCTCCACTGGTGCCCCGCCAGCGTAAACCGTTAGCGCAGGCGGGTGCACCATTCCATTATCATATACAACAACCACTATGGGCTATCTAACCTGACCTCATGCTCACCTTATAATCCTCCACTGGTGCCCCGCCAGCGTAAACTGTTAGCGCAGGCGGGTGCACCATTCCATTATCATATACAACAACCACTATGGGCTAACTAACCTGACCTCATGCTCATCTTATAATCCTCCACTGGTGCCCCGCCAGTGTAAACCGTTAGCGCAGGCGGGTGCACCATTCCATTATCATATACAACAACCACTATGGGCTATCTAACCTCATGACCTCACTGTTAGCGCAGGCGGGTGCACCATTCCATTATCATATACAACAACCACTATGGACTATCTAACCTGACCTCATGCTCACCTTATAATCCTCCACTGGTGCCCCGCCAGCGTAAACTGTTAGCGCAGGCGGGTGCACCATTCCATTATCATATACAACAACTACTATGGGCTAACTAACCTGACCTCATGCTCATCTTATAATCCTTCACTGGTGCCCCGCCAGCGTAAATCGTTAGCGCAGGCGTGTGCACCATTCCATTATCATATACAACAACTACTATGGGCTAACTAACCTGACCTCATGCTCATCTTATAATCCTCCACTGGTGCCCCGCCAGCGTAAACCGTTAGCGCAGGCGGGTGCACCATTCCATTATCATACACAAAAAAAACACCACTAGGCTATAATAGATATTCTCATTGGAAACTAACTTAGATAAGAATTAAGTAACTTTATTTACTCTTATTTATAATACATTACATTACAAATAAGTGAAGTTACTAAATAGTAGTGAGTTCCTCTTCCGTAAAAAGTTAATTTAATTTCGGGCTTTGTATAGGGTACTTGATATTAATTTTTACAGAAATTCGTTCAATTCGCGCGGCATTGCCAAATGGTTTCATTTCTTCGCCCCCCAGCTTGCAGGCTGGGCCTGCGCAAGTTATAAAGCGAGAGAAAGCACACCGTCGCGCAGTCGCGTCTTGTACCGTTCATTCGTTGCGTACGTTCCCGCGCTTTTTTGACGTTCAATCCAGTGCTTGCCGAACGGACATTATTTTAAGTGTTTAAAAATGGAAATGAGGTAATTATTATTTTTTAATTTGATTGATAAAATAATTTAGACAATGGAAGACTTGTACGAATTTACAGAACATTTTATGATATAATTGGAGTAGAAAATGCGATTTATAAAAAATAAGTTTTTAATTAAGTACTGTTTCCTGCGATGTAAAATATATATTACTCGCTCAAAATATAAATTTCTATAGATCTTTCTATAAGTTAAATATTATATTAGTTTAGGAATCAAGCAAAAATTAAATTAGCTCCATTTATATACATATATTTGTAGTATTTTAGATATATTATTATATATTATATATATTATATGTAATTATTATTATATTGCTATTATATAATTAAATTTATATATGTACACTCTGATAATAAAATTATATAGACAAGTACAATACAAACATCAAACGCAACTTAGTTGCAATTTTATGAGCGATAACGTTTTGAAATCTTAATAAGCAAATCTTTGCTACGATTGAAATTTACAAAATTAAAATATAAAATGAATGATTCAATCTTATTATTAAAAAAAAACAAATACTCGAAACTAACTTATGCCAATATATGATGTAATATTTATCAATGACTAGTAGAATTTTAATTGAATATCTCTCTTCTGATTCTTTTTTTTTACTAAAATAGATTAAATAATTGATACTAACAAAATGGACTATGTTGTCTGACAATATTTTTTTATATACTTCTATAGACATATATGATAATTAAAATATTTTACAATGAAGTTACAGCAAAATCAAGTAAGTGGCAAAAATTGTTCGATAACTTATAATTTCAAGTCACCGTGTGCCGATTCATTCACTTTCTATGTGACAGTCATACCTAACATTACATATTACATTCTAATATGCACTTACAGTGTTATTATCAACTAGTATAATTACACAGTACGAGCTATCTGGTATTAATGCATACGTACATCTAGGACTACATAATACAGAGATAATATCTAATATATAATAATAATATTAACCCTGGACAATTAACACAACACCGTCTAGTCCCACTATAAAATTCTCGAGCATGGCTTGGCCGATACTTAAGAAAGTTTGTGTTTTTTTTTATTGGGTTATTTGGGCTATTATCAGATGTTTGTAGCACCTGTAGCACTGCGACCTACATAGATCTATTGGGCTCGCCTTTTTCCAAAGTTCGCTACCTAGACCCGTCAGGGACAAGAATTGAAGGATATTCTTAGAAGCGATGGGTTTTATCTCCTCGGGAAAGAGTGTAAACTTTCCAAAGGAGATATTTCGTTTATGCATGAGTGGGCTACAACCACAATGGATGTGAAGCGGCGTTTCCTCTTCAGTTTGGCAGAATCTGCAGATTCTTGTCGTGCATAGGCCTAGTTTAGATTTATGTACATTCAGTAGGTCTGATTTACGCACGAAAACTATTTTTGATTCCCCTAAGTCGTGGTCCACCCCAAAACTCTGTTCTTTATTTTTTGGACAATATATTTTTTATAATTCGGCATTCAAAAATAGATAGATACAACACAAAATTTTTACCATTTTACCATCAACTGTTATTCTTTAATAGCGATTTTACTACTTTAATAATTTACATCTTCGGTAACTCATTTATTTGCAAAACAACGTTTGCCGGGTTTTTTAAATAGATATATTGATTCAAGAGGAAGGTTTATATATATAATACATGTACACCCGTGCGAAGCCGGGGGCGAGTAGCTAATTACTAATATAATACAGATTTCGGGATCATATGACGTTTTTTCGAATTCCCAATGTTTCGCAGATGTTACACCATCTCGATTTTGATCGAACTCAACCTGTAAAACGTGAAAATACCGTTATTCTTTTACTCGATTCTCCGAGTGTCTTCGTTTATTTGCATTTACTTATGTACTTTTAAATTCTATATGTGCTAGACAGATATAATGTATTTGTATTCTTATTTTGCATAATTAATACCCAGATATTGTAAAAAAACATTGAATACGCAGTTTTTTTTCATTTTATTTTACTCTAATACTGAATAAGATACGCTAATAATAATGGCCACATAATATTTTAGTTATACTAATTATTTTTTACAGCTCTGTCTACAGTAATTCGGTAAATATATCGATAGAGAAGTAGGAACAGATTAAAAAACATAAGTAGAAATTATAAATTTCACAATTACCCGTCGAAAGTTATTTTTTTAAACATTGCAAAATGAAAACTGCGTATTATTGCGAAATAACTTCCTACCGTATCGTTTATTTCCAACTGATTTCGAAGTGTTGCGTGAATGAATTTAATTTCCTAGACGGTTGACGACGACGAGATCCGCCGGTGTTGTATGAAACATCGTAACTGATCGTAACACGCGTAACAATTATTTACACGTTCATTGTACTATAATTACTGGCAACATTAAAAAAATAATACGACAACAATGTATTTTATATCGAGCCATATGAATGTGTTAATCAGAATATTAATAGCAACACTTTGTACACCTTTTTACGAATTTTGCGCGGACTATGATTATGAAATTTCGCATACTAATAGTTTATATAGAGAAGTAGTGCAGATTGCTATTTTTTTTTTAATTATGCATAAAAATATATTAAATCAATAAAAAAAACCTTACCATGTATTTGACACAGACGCTCAGATGTACTCTTTTGTTTATTCTTAAAATCTGTGGTCAAATTGGGAATAGATGAATATATTTTTGCTTTAATTTTATTTGTCTAAATTCTTACTGGATGTAAAACATAACTATAATTTGGTTATGGTCTAAGTGGTCTGTAGTGGTGGTATTAAAATAATTTCAACCATCGGGACTAGTAGGTACAATATACCTAATAATTTACACGTTCATTGTATCGAGGCTGTAATTACTCAAAATTAATTGTTGCCAATGTAACTATGTTTAGAGGAGATGGTTGCGGATCTGGTGAATGATTAATTATAGAAAATTTCAAGGTTTCAACATTCCCCCATAAACGAGGAGTCTATAACTGAGCTTCGAGGTTATGTCACTCACGACCTTTGCAATTTGTCACTCAATTCTAATGTGACAAAGTAGTGTGGTACCTGAAGTGTTATTAAATACAGTATTAACTTATAGATAAAATTTTCGTGTCACAATGTTAGTTACCATACTCCTCCGAAATGGCTTGACCGATTTATATGAAATTTTATATGTATATTCAGTAGATCTGAGAATCGACTACTATATATTTTTCATACCCCTAAGTGATATTGGTTGTGCAACCCTAACATTTTATTATTGGGCAACTTTTTAAAATATATTTTATGGCATAAAAAACACATTTGGTCGGCAATGCGTACGTGGCACCCCTGGTGCTACGGTAACCATTAACCATCAGATGGGCCGTAAGCTTGTTTGCCACCATAGTAGTACAATAGTATAAAAAAAAACATACAACCCTTAATTCGAGGCCAGTTACTATAATTGAAGTGTATCATCTACCCGTATATATTAATAAAGCTAGTTTTTATAAATAGTAATTAGGGAAGTCGGACATTTCGGTGGTATAGCTATAAATATATAAAAAATACAGAAGTTACGACTTATTAGGATAATTATCGATTATAGTTGACAGTATTATAATAATTAATATTATGAGTTTTGACTATTCACAAATCATCTTGCAATAGCTCATAAAGTGTCAGTTAGTTACGTCACCGGTCAGTATCCACGGGTCACAGATGGTCACAGCTGGGCTCAGCTCAGACGAGCAAGATAATATCGCTCGTTCCGGTTCTCGGTGAAAATGGTGTAAACGAACTCATCGATTCTGATAATGGGAAATTATTGTGTTATACAACAAGCCATCAACAGCTATAGTTTGTAACTTATATTAATACTAGTGGTCGTCAAGTGGTCGTAATTCGAGCAATTAGATCTTTGAACCAGCATTAACAAAAAAACAAATCTTCTTAAATATATATAACTCAGTGACTGACATAGTGATCTATCAACGCGCAGCCCAATCCACTGGACGGATCGGGCTGAAATTTGGCATGCAGGTAGATGTTATGACGTAGGCATCCGCTAAGATACATTTTGATTAATTCTACCCCCAAGGGGATAAATTAGGGGATGAATTTTTGTATGAAACTTTGTCAATTTCAAACCGATCGGGCTGAGACTTTGCATGCATAAAGCTACTATGATGTAGGCATCCCCTAAGAAAGGATTTTGATGAATTCCACCCCTAAGGGGATAAATTAATGCGGGCGAAGCCGCGGGGGTAATATATACATGAAAGCGTGTGTGTTACGGAAGGAAGGATGGACTGTATTAATATATACACGTTCGAGCTAGCAAAAATATAAGGTGGCATAAGTGTGTGTGTCAAAATATAAAATTCAAATATATATCAAATACATGGCAGTGTGTGTGATGTTTTATTTTTATTGATATAATATATATTTTATCCATAATTTTAAAAATATATTAGTAATCTGCATCTTTATATAAATTATGAGTATGCGAAATTATGTACTTCTCTGTCTGCCCAAATATTGTAAAAAGGGGTTCAAAGTTTTAAAGCTCACGTATTAATATATAGATTAGGTATTAATATTATTATCTCAGATTGTAAACGGCATTTTTTCAATGAGTGATAATGGGATGACGTCCACGATCCTCCGTCAGAATTTCGTCAAAGAAATTCAAACGGGGATCGAAATTACGACAGCCTGAGCCGCGTTCCGATCTCCTAGAGAGGCCCTCATACTAAAGTCAGGCAGGAGTTGCCTTCAGCCTCTATATAGGTACTTCCGCGGGTTTGAAGTGCCTGCAATCGCCCCTTATCGTTCGATGAAGCTGAAATGGTCAGCTGCGGCTAACAGCATTAAAATTGTTGAAAAAAAACTCTCCGACTCTCGGAGCGGTGACAAATATTAGTGTGTATTTCTAATCTCTGAAATGGCTTGACCGATTTTGATTGGACTTTCACCAGAAGATATTTAGGCTTATATATTTTTTTTAATTGTGAAA